GGGGGGGAGAATAATCGAATTTGGCCATAGTCGGTTATTGTCCCTCCCTCTTAACCACTACACTACACTTTGCTGTTTCTCACCGCTTCACCAATTTGTATAAGAAAAGGAGATCACGAGAAACAAGAAGTGAAATTTCAGGTGCATTTTTTCAGCTTCTAGATACATCCGGGCAAGAAAAAAAAGTTCATGTGTACCAATTTTCAAGAAATTCTCAAAGCCTTTCTGAAAACACTTCCCTTGTCAGTTTAATCTCATTGATCTCTTTTGTTGATCTCAAAATCAATTTTTATTATTAAATGGAACTCGTGCAAAAAAAAAAACGTAGAAGGGACCTGTCAGTAAAATTTGAGCATCTGAACTGTAAAACAAAAAAGAGTTGTTTTTTTTTCATTAGATATGGATATTTACAAGTAGTTTCCGTAAAAACTCTCAAAAAATGACCGTCCTATGCTTGCAGTTTGAACTTGATTATCTCAATTTATATGATAGATACCAAAAATTTTTAAACTGATTAAGTGTTTTTCAAAATACCGCCAACATTTTATTAGTTGACAAATTTTTTAATATCTCTTACAGAAATTGAGATAACTGAGCTCAAAGTCAAATTATAGGACGACCGTCTAGTAGAGTGATTACGGTATGCGTGTTTATACTTATTATTTTTGGTGCCACGGGCGCCAAAATTTTGTTGTAAATGGTACTGTGGCATACTTCAGGAGTGGAAAAAGATGCTTACTAAATGACATTAAAAAATACGAATCAGCTTCTCTGAAATCTGTTCAATCGAAAATACAATCGAATACCATTCAGGATGTTTCCGTTGAAGATCATACATCCCGTGGGCACTAAATCGAAACATAAAGATTGTCATACAAAGTTTTGTGTTTATAGACAACCCAAACTGTCCGGGAGATCCATTTATTACAGTCATCCTATTTTCATCACCACATGGCTCTTATCCCCAGCAAAAAAAGAATATCTATAGATATCCAGAAAATCTGAGTAAATTATTCTTTTGAAAATCAGTAAAAATTCACGAGGAAATTGTTTTCGCACATAATTTGGAGGGTACAAACCTTTTGGAGTCATTGGGATACAAATCAATTTGATGGTACAAAATCCTCAATTCGGGAGTACAAAACAATTGACGAATCCGAATTTTGTGCCCCCGAGTTGTGGGTTTTGTATGCTCGAAGTATTGTACCCTCTCAAATATATGCCGATTCTTTTGAAGCGTTTTATGTTTTTGTCAAAAAGTTGCCTGGGGAAATTCTTGTAAAATTTGCGAAGAGGACATTCGTGCAGGTGAAGGCCTAGCGAAGAGTTCGATCAGGTGAAGGCCTGTCGAAAGGACGCGATATCCGTAGGAGATTCAACAAAAGTCCGACATTCTTTTGAAGGAAAGCTTTGTTTTCAGGCTTGAAAATGACGTCGATCGGGAGCAAGTCAAGAAGCAACAAGGGCAAGTCGGTGGATTCCGAGAAGAGTGCAGTGAGGACGGCGACGATGGAAAGCTGGACAGGAGCGATGCAGAATCAGGTAACGCTGAGAGAGCGATAGAAGCTTGTCAAAGGTTACGCTGATTTCATCGGAACCAGTGAGACAGTCGTGTAGAGTGCTTCATAACCATTTGAAATTGTTGCAGGACGGCTGGCGAAAAGAAAAGGAAGAGCTCGAGGAGGAACTGTCAAAATCGAAGCGAGAGAACGATGAGGTGGCCAAGAAGCTTGAAGAAGCGTGGGAAGCCGCCGAGAAGGCAGAAGAAACGATTGAGGATCTGGAAAGGGCACTACAGAAGGAAAGAAAGACGTCGGAGAGATGGAGAAGCCGATGGGAAAGCGCTGAAGGTAAGAAGGTAGAAACATTGTCAGGAAATGAAGAGAAAAGTCAGGTTCATGCAAGCAGAACGTCGTCAAGGAGTTCAAACGGATCTTCTGTGGATTGGCACGATGAGAGGAAGGAGAGAAAGACGGGTGAGTATTTTTCTAAGAAGTGTGACCTGAAGAATGACAGAAGTGAAAGTGGAGACCAGAGGAGATCGTCAATAAAGTGCTATAAATGTCAACGAATGGGGCATATAGCTAGAGATTGCGATGCGAAGGTGATTCACCACGTTGAGACTGATGGAGCAGGACGCGGTGTGGGAGCGAAGATGAGAGAAAGATTTGGAATCATTTGGAATCTGATTATCATGTATTTTAATGTTTTTTTTTCCTTTTTTTTCCACGATTCTTGCAATCGTAAATAAATAAATAAATAAATAAATAAAAGAGTGGAGTTGTTAGGACAACAACGCTCAATGGTGATTGACAGCGGCGCAGAAGTATCTGTAATATCGACAAAAGTGTGGGATGCACTGAAGAAAGGGTGTGTGAGATGGAGGCAGAGAGTCGAAGTACTGACGAATCCAACGTTTGCATTGAGGAATGCTTCAGGAAAGGGAATGCATGTGAAAGAGGAAAAAAAGCTGAAGTGTGGTTCCAAATAGTGGAGGATAGAGCTGAAATCCTCTTGTTGGGAACGAATGCTTTTGAAGGTATCGGTGTTGAGTTGGCATGGAAGCCAAAGCAAGAAGAGCGCATAAAGGAATTAGGAAAAAGTCCAAAAGCGAAATGGAAGAGAAATGCTAAGCGTGCGAAGTGTGAGACAAGTAGCGCTACAGTTAATCATATCATGACTGAGGAAAATGTTGTTGAAAACAATCTTTTTTGCAGGAAGCTGATGGAAGAAGGATGCGGATGTCAAAAAAGAAAGTGCACAGTCCAAGAAGGAGACAACGTTTGTTCAAGTGTGCAACAACTCGGAGTGGTGCTGTCAGCAAAAGGAAAAGGTGTGGATTTGGAAAAGTGGAATTTGTTCAAATATTCCAAAGAATTCCAGGCACAAGTGACTACGGCTGAGAAGCTTTAGTAGAAGCTTTGAGGAAGTTTGCCAATGAGTGTCCGGAAGTGGCAGAAGCCTTGATGAAAGAAGGGGCAAACGGCGAATGGGAAGAAGCGGCGATGAAGATCAGAGTGGCGCTGAAGAGTGAGATCAAGCCAAGGAAGACAATCATCAAAGAGCCAGCAGTGATAGCTTCACCAAGATTGAAAATCTCGGGAAGAAGGAACATTCTGGAAGTTCGAAATTCGCATGGAAGCGATTTCATGGAGAAGTACGAGTGGAAGAAGGTGAAGAATGTGATATGGCTGTGGAGAGTCACAAAGGACAAGGAAGTCAACCAACGGATCTTCGAAATGATCGAGAAGTTGGACAAAGAAGGCACAGAAGTCACAATGATTCCGTTCAAGCTGGAGTGTGTCATGAAGGAGGTTGACAAGGTGACAGAGGAGTGGAGAAAGAGGCTGAAGACGTTGAACAACGTGAAGCTGATCGATCCAAGGAAAAAGGTCGGAAAGCGAGAATTGCCGTTAATTGTGACGTCATCGGATAAGTATGAGTCGGGAGAATCGCTGGTGCGATATCTGGAGCAAGTGGCAGAGGATAATCCGTGTGTGAAACGACTGAAGGCGAGGTCGGCGGAGAAGGAGGAGCCACGTAGCAAAATGACCAAGTCCGATAAGTAATTAAGGACATTTTTGGGATTTAAATGTTTCTTTTTGTGTTTGTTTTGTAACTAGTCTAGGGTATGGTAGTAGTTTAGGGTTTAGTAGAGTTAGGTTAAGTTCTATAGGTATTTTATTGTAATGTTATGAGTGTGAGTAGGTGAGGTGCGTTAGCAAAGAGTGTATGGGTCGGAGAAGAATGTGAGTCGTGGCGAGGGTGATACCTTTCTTCGGTCAGGGGTCCGGATTTCTAGAGGAGGGGAAGTTGCCTGGGGCAGCTACTCTCCAACCCCTTCTAAAGGTTCCCTCTATCCACGCAACGACACTCCGCTATCCCGCTCGGCGCGCGCGCAGTTTGAAATTCAGTTTTGAGCGATTGCGAGCTTGGATTTGGCTCTTAGTCTTCGAGAGACTCTTTTTAAGGATTTTAAGTGAGTTTGCTTGAATTCTAAACTTTTATTTGTTGTTTCTTTCTAACTGGTTCATAATAAACCGATTTTGTTACATTTCTTGTTGATTTTCTTCTATTTTATCACAGGAACTGATACCCGGACATACCGCGGGCAATTAAAAGAAGTGCTATTTGCAATAATCATTTTCCCATTCTTTCTATCACAATTGAAAAAAAAGTGTGATTCTCAAATCAATCTAAGAACTAAGGAGTCAAAATGGTGATTTGAAAATTTGTAATTGGTAAAATTCAATTTTGTTTCTTTTCTGCCATTTTGGTTTATTAAAAAATTTTTTGAAAATAGATTAAAGGAGGGCAGACAGCAAAAATTTCGGGGAAAATTTCAGGGAATGTGTATTTTGCCGTCGCGGTGTTCGCACCTAAAGCACGCAATCCCACGCGCAAACATTTTTATTTTTTTATTTCCCGACTTTATTTTTTTCAATTTTTAACGACTTCAAACATTAAAAAAGCTCTTTTTTCTTATTTATTATAAAACGCATATAAAGGTGAATTTTTTATGTAAATTTAAAGTTCTATCGACCGATTATTTTGCCAGTCGCCGGTGTTTTTTATAGGCATGCGAAAAAAACTATTTTCTCTTCGATAACCGTTTCTTCACTGTTCCTATTTATCTCATTACTTCTCGTTATTACTCTAGGAATAAAAAATTGTTTTATGACTAGGGTTTTCAGAGACGTCTCCATTTTTACTGCTTCCTTCACCTTCCGACGACCAGCCCTGCACGAGGATTGTTTTAATTATGTGGTTTTTTTTTTCAATTGTTATGTCTCTTTCTAAAAATTAATTGTAGTTTTTTTCATAATTTATTTGTTAACATAATAAAACAAGTTTCTTCATTTTCAACTGATTTTGGTACCTCGGAGCGAGGCCTCGGCGGCACGCTGGTAGCCCTTCAGAAATTCCGAGTTCAAAAAGTTCAATCCGAAGGAAACAAGGGAAGAAAAAAGTAAAAACACCAGCAGGGATTGAACCTCTGACCTCCTGAATACTAGCCTAGAGCGTACCCACTACACTACGCGTGTAAGAGGCGACCATCGCGTTTTTCACATTATGAAGCGACGCCGCAGCAGCAAGCTAGTGAAGAAATTAGGGTGACAAAAAAAGAGCATTTTTTCGTCCTTGAAGTGTTTTTTTCAGGTTTTTAAGTACATAGCTATATTTATACTTCAGAGTTATATCTTATCAGTAAAAATGAAATTTTTGAAATTTTTGATGTCTACCCTCCTTTAAACCTTGTTTCTTTGTTTTGAATAAAACCAAAAACATAAATAACACATTTTAGGAAAAAAGAACCTTCATCGTTCGGCAAAAAACATCTCAAAACTCAATTTACGAGTAAATCTGAGAATTCAATGGTCCTGGCCGGCAGTGATTTTTGATAGTTTTGGGGTCTGGATTTATTTTTTCACCTAACTAGGGAAGGTTGTTATCTGGGTGAGGAACTTCGGTAAGAGACATATATCATTCGATAGCTGAGAATGAGTCATTTTCAAATCTATATTCAGACTTTGCTACAGAGCTACCGGTTTCGAGAAGATCAGCTTCGAAATCTGAGAAATTGCGAAAGCAAAAGGGGGACCCCATTGCGTTTTTTTTTTGCAAATTTTTTTTTCGAAAAAACTTGAAAACTTCATGGGATAATACAATTTGAATATATATTTGAAAATGTCTCATTCTCTGCTTTCGAATGGTATAGGTTCCACACCCCGATTACAACCTTCCCTAGTAAATGTTTTCATATTATAATAAATTGGAAATAGAAGAGAAAGGCGAGAAACAGTCTGATGAATGTTAACTTTGTCTTGTTTTCAAGGACTCCAAAGCCAAGTTTCTTTTTACACTATAGCCAACGATCGTAAATCTACATTTCTCTCTGTGTCTCAGGACTCAACGTATACTTTTGCTTCTGTAGGTCCGATTTCTGCTATTCGCATGGAGTCGACCTTGGGAGCATCGGGTCCAGTTAGCTGTCATTGTCTTGAGAAGAAATATTACACGGTCGAAAGAGACGCATACATTCTTGTGAGGAGACACTTTATCTCATCCGAGTAGAATCTTGGCAGAAATAAAGAGGAAAGATGAATAATGAGAAGAGGAGGAAGAAGAGAGATATTTTACTCGTTCCTTTTGTTTCTTGACCGGTCAAACACACATTAATGATGACGTATGAGACAAATTTATAGAAAGATGGGTAAGACAAATGTTATTTATTGTATTGTGATAAAAATAAAACATTGATTTTGATGAATATGGAAATATGAAAAGAATGCTGAAACTGTGAATCGGTGTAGAAATGAAATTTGTATATTCAAGACGCGGACTGGTATCAGTTAAGGACTAATATGTTCATATTACAATTTGGTAGACGGTAGAGGGTTTGAATTGAATGTTTAAAAATTAAATCACATTATTAAATTTTTGCAGCAATTCACCGCTGTTTGTCATCAAACTAATAATGGTACCCAACAATGATCCAACTGAAATAATGATTAAAATCCTTGAAAAACACGATTTCTTCACTTACGTTTCTCCCAAGTTTCATTGTTTTCAGTTTTCTGACCTACGTCTTCTTCCCCTTTATTGTTCGGACTAGGTTTCCAGAAAAATCGTACTACCATGTTCTCAATATTACAGATTTTCAAGCCATAGATCTGCAAGAAAAATTCTCAAAAAATGTATTGCGCTTAGTATACGAACATGATAGAATTTTGGAGCTTCACCATTCACCCAGATTCGGACTCGGAACTCTCTCTCGATCTGAAACTTGTATAACTTATTTTTTTGGGGATTTTTAGTTACCTCAAGTGGGAGGCCATATTGTGATTGTAGTCGTATTGCAGTCAATCCCCGTATGCGATCGAAATCCTAAAGGAAAAAACATTTTAAGGATTTTCAGGTTTTCAGACTTTCATACCTTCTTATCCAAAGTGTGCACGGTTGACTTGTATTGAATAAATCCAGGTAAGTTTTGCTGCAAATTCTCAAATAGGATATAACTGAAAAATCTTAAAACTTACCGTATTATTCTTTTCCAGCTCTCCGAAATCAGCAAATGTTGCTATGATACATGGCATGCATACTGGCTGCTCGGCTCGTTTTCGTGACGGGGAAAATAGGGAAAACGAACCCATATAGAAACTGTGTTCTGTAAAATGTTTAATGTACACAGAAATTTCACAAAAAAAAACCAAAATTACAAGACAGATAGGTAAACACTAACTCTCACGGCAACTAAACAAACAACGATGTGTTGAAGACCTAATAATAATTGGTTACGAATCCGCACCTAGGTGGCACCATCAGACGATAATGAGCATGTCGTTTGGACGGGATTAGGAAAGACGAATGGTTCGCAGACAGTCCTAAGAAAACATCTGTTGTCCATGCACGGCACAATTCAAATTAGGGTCTCGGAATGGCGGAGATGGAGGAGAACATCAAATACATAATCTGCCGGAGATCGGTCCGAGATATTGGAAACAGATGTTTGCAATTAACTGCTTGACTTTTATCAGATCATGTTCTCTTCTGTATTGGATTGAATAGCGTTTCAGGTTGAGCAAAGTGAGTCTGCATAAAAATATGATTGTTAGGCTCATTTTCAAAGGAAGCTCAAACCCTGAAATTGGTTGAAGTTCTGTTGGATTTTCTGTGTTATGAGTACCAAGTAAGATCCGCAAACTGGAATTAACAAACGATCTCTTTGACACTAATTTCTCAGTGTACCGTGTTTGCTACAATAGAGAGCTACCGTGTAATTTGAGCTCAATTATCTCGCTACCTACAACATATATCAGAAATCTGTCAACTAATAAAATGTTGATAGTGTATTGGATAATAATTTACCAGTTGACAAATTTTTGATGTCTCACAAAAGAACCAAGGTAATTGTGCTCAAAGTGCACGCAAATCGTAGGGTTTAACTATAGCAAACATAATACCTTGGTAATGATTTGTGACCTGCCAGCTTGCCGGACTTTGCCCGATGGATTTTTAAAGCAAAGTTTATACGAATTTTTAACATTTTCATGGAGTTAATAACGTTTGAAACCTTTTGTCTGAAAATACGTGTGCGTTGAGCTCAATCATCTTGGTTCCTAAAAAAAAGCAAAAATCTATCAACTGATAAAATTTTGGTATAATTATAATTCATAATTTATCAGTTGTAAATTTTTTGATATTTTACAAAGGAACCGAGATAGTTGTACTCAAAGTGCACGTATATGGTTTCTTGGCCAGGATTAGCGGCTTGCCAGCTTGTCGGATTTGACTCAAAAATCTGTCAACCAATACAATTTTGGTTATACTATGATTAGTAATTTATCAATTGACAGATTTTTGATATCTCACAAAGGAACCAAGATAATTGTGCTCAAAGTGCAAGCAAATGGTGGGCTTATATTATGGAAAACATAATACCTTTGTAATGATTTGTGGCCTGCCACCCAATAAAGTTTGAAACTTCCTTTTGGAAATACGTACACTTTGAGCTCAATTATCTCGGTTCCTATGAGAGATATCAGAAATCTGTCAACTAATAAGATATTAGTAATGTGTTGATAAATAATTTATCAGTTGAAGTTTTTCGATATCTTCTAAGGGAATTGAGATAATTGAGCTCGAAGTGCGAGATTTAGGTCCTGCGAGGACTTTACCCGATGGATTTCATTGAACATAATCTCAGGAAAGTGCGATTCTTATATTGTCTTGAAGTTATCCGTGTTTCGAACATTTCAATAAAGTTACCGTTGTTTGAAAACTACTTTCCGAAAATTCGAAGAGCTTTAGAAACGTCCTTTCATTGTCGCCCCCTCACTCAAAAAAAAATTGTTTTCTTATGTAAATTTTTTTTAGTATCGATATGGTCTTTGTCCTCATTCATATGCAAATAGACACGTAGCTTTTGGTACCATCCATTCGCTTGTCAGGTCATCACTTTTCATATTCCTGTGTTGCCTAAAATGTTTTCGAATTATTCAAAGGATACTGCTCCTGAGAAGAAAGATACTGTTCCGGAGAAGCAAAAGGTCGAAAGCTATCTCAATGATAAAAGCTACCCCAAAACTGATAGATACCCAAAAACATACGAGGCTCGAAAAGTAAGTGATTTTTAAGAAATGATGTTACTTCAAGTTTTTTTTCAGGCCGAAGTTTATAAAGATGTGTTTGGTTCAAAAAAAACCGCGCGCTTCGATGAGGCTCAAAAGAAACAATACAACCATGGTGCTTGAGATTACTATCAAGTAAACACAATTTAGATTGATACATAATTTGATTAATAAATAATTTGTTAAATGTATATCTGATATTTTCAATGGTTAACAATTCTTGTATTTCCTATGATAACGGAAATGAGAAAAAATCAAAAGATAATCAACTCATATAACACAAAGAGTGTTTCTATAGCATTATCAATGCGCATTTTCATGTCTGAGCAGTGTAATGGCTTGTATAACCTTCTAGTTGAAAGGGTTTCTTTTTCTGGATTAAAATTCTCCTTGTCAACGGAGCTCAAAGCTATTGGCCTGTTTTTAATCCGAGCGACATTATCCTAAGAAGTAGTGACATTTAAAAGTACTGTTATCACATCGTTCTTTTTCACAGCAGAAATCACTGAAATAGCAATTCAACTTTTCTGGTTAACCTGCGGCGATCTTTAATTCGAACCATAACTATAATTAGCGTGGGCTTATTTTCAACATCACGCCTGCTATAACCACTTATTATCCAACATGGGTGGAGCTCACATTTTCTCTCTTGAAAACCAGCGCCACCACATTTAGCCGTGTTTTAGTTTTTTCTCTTCTAGTATTTTCTATCCGCCGCTTATTCAATTCCAAAATTCTGTTACATATTCCAAGAGTTCTCTGGTCGAGCGATTGTTTGCAAAACCTTTCAACGAGCACATGAAAATCAGTTGAGGTTTGCCGAATAATCACTGGGGCAGTTCGAGCTCATTTATGTAGCTATGGTAATGTTCTGGAATGTTTCTCGATGAGAGCAACAGATATGTATTCAAAAAATGGTTCATACTGGGACAAGAAAACAGAACAATTAAATCGGGCAAAACGAGGGTGAGAGAATCGGGAAATAGAGAGGAAATGGTACATACAGGTGAGATGTAGGAAAAAGTGGGGCGGAAGTAAAATTTGATATATTTTGCGGAAAGAGCAGGTTTGGGAGGTTGGCGGCTCCAACTCTTTCGCGTAAATAGTGTATTCATGTGACGTTTTCTTGTATTGTGTTTTTAGAGGATAAGCGATTTGAGCTTAACGGCGAAAGATCCAGACTTGACTTTCTGAAGCAGTTCAACTACGCTGTTATTTTTTCAGCAACCACGCTGTTTTTTTTATTCAGAAGTCTCGGAAGAATAATCACTACTCTACCACGAGGATGTGACTTACTGCAAAAATATATAATGATCTATGATTTCTACGCTCTCCAACGCAGAACCTCTGCTAGTTTCGTCACAAATCGGAGGCTACCCAGAGATCTCAATTTCCCACAAGAAGCACAGCACAAAAACCGTCGTTGCTCTCTTCCCCTGCCAACAGTAGGACAATTGATGATCATCTACAAAAATTTAATCAAAAGACATAAGTGACCCCTAGCAACCGTAGTCTGCACCGAAAAACAGGTCACCAGGCCAGTCGGTCATCTCGCTCCACTGGAAGTTGAAACACTCAACCGAACCGTTAATATGAGCTCTGACATCGACTTGAATGACCATCAGCCGAACACACCTGTCAGCTCGAACACACTCGAGCCAAGCCGACTACCACTGCCTACCCATGCCACGCTGGACACCTCAACCACGGTCAAAAGACTGGATGAATGCGTCGAAGTTTTCGGAGCCGGTGAACTGTTCGATGAATTTCACGGAAAAATCCAGGTTGAGCTTGAGATCGTGCGAACTGTGGCGGTCATCTTTTGGCGAATAAGATCTGGAGCGGGAACGGCGGTGAGCTCTGCTTCTCGACTTGGAGTCGGAGTAGGCAGTACGCGTGTAGTATTGCTCCTCGTTCGCATTTTGGGTCTCAAACTCATCGACTTTAGAGTTCATCGGTTCTGAGCTGTGAGCGTCATGGTCGGCTGATGCTAGCTTCTTGACGAGTTGCTCTAGGCGGGCAGTCCGTAGCATGTTTTGTTGTTTGGATCGTTCCTGCTGAGCAGTAAGGTGGCTCACGGCAGTCATGATGTTGGCCAACATGTCCTCTGTAGCCGATGAATGATTTGAGATGTCATGAGTGGAGTTATGACTGACATTGATGTTGTGGACAACGTTGTGTGTGGAGCTTGGCATTTCAACTGTAGCATCGTGGGAGGCAGTAGTTGGAAGGAATGCTGGAGCTCGTTTCAAGTTTTCCTGACCTGACATCAACTGATGGATCTTGTGTTTAAGATCTGCTTCCATCTGTAGTCTATGTTGTGTTTCAAGTGCTTTGGCGCGGTTGGCCTGGTGAACTTGAACTTGGAGCATCTGAAGCTCATCGATCAACGCTTTGTTGATGAGTTCGGCCTGCCTGACGTCTACCGTGATTGGTGGTGTGTCAGCGGCACTCTGGATTCGAGTATCCTGAGTGGGCAGACTGACGTTGTTGGCGGTGTTACTGCAGTCCATATTTGGTGGACTAGTGGCAGTGGCTTCCTCAGTCGAGACTGCGTTCGGAGACGAATCATTCGTTTGTTGGTCATAGACGAGATGGTTACGGTCAGTCGTGACGATTTCGAGGCACTGGATTGCGGTGGTGAGCTGTTCCAGTAACGCGTCAGCGTTTTCCTCGCCGAAGTACGACCTGGTGCGGCAGTCTTGGGTTTCGGGAGAGAGGATTTAGAACGATGAGGAGACATCTTCAATAGAAGTTGGAAAGTAACGATACCCTTAGTTCTGAAAAAAGAAAGAATTTTGTAGGGATTTGAAAGTAATGGGTGGAAATTATGAGAAGGATGGATAATGAGAGAAGGGATAGAGATGGATTAGGTCCATGCCTGTTTCCTAAGTGCGGTTGCAGGACTTTGATACATGAACTCCGTTCACACCTGATTCCTAAGTGCGGAACCAGGTTGCCTAAGTGCGGCTGTGAGCTTTGTTCATGCCTGCTTCCTAAATGCGGTTGCAGGATTTGTGGGTGTCTGTGGCCTAAGTGCGGGCACAGACGGGGGCCTTTCAGGACTCGCGAATTCCTGGGGCAGTGTTGTTTGATACCAAACGAAATCAGTGCGTTGCCCTAATTCCAGGGTCAGTCCATCATGCGGTGTCCTTGACTACCTGGCCGGACTACAGAGGTAGCTGGTTTTTTTGTTTTTTTAAAGACTAGTAAATGGGATGTGTCCCGAGAGATTTTTTTCAATCAGGATCTCCAAGAGCATTCACCGGTTTGGTCGCTTGGATTCTCCTCCTCTACAGATCAGTACTTGATATGTATTGCCATGACACATAGTGTCAGTATATGCAGGGCGTTGAATACTGGATCCGACTTACCACTTCCCATTGGGTCACTACGTCTGGTGGCCACCAGACACAACTCAATTCCAGCTTCGATGATACTATAGCTGCCACTTTAGAGACTCATGGTCTTATATGGGCGGTTTGAGTTGTGTTGCAGTGATGGGCATGAGTGGATATTTATCTCCATATGGTGGACCCAGAGACGTGGACAGGACATGAAAATGGGTACAGATAAGTGGAGTGGAACAACGAGGAGAGGTCAACAAATTTGTGGAAAACTAAGACCGGGATGAGGACCCGTCAGTTAGTGTCCAGAAGTGTGTTGGCAGTTGTCCTTCGTTATTCCTGCGTCTGTGAATTCAAACGCCGGAGCTCCTGGCAGTTGCACTACGTCAGTGTCTGCGGTGTTGGAGCTCAACACCTGTGTACTTCTTGGCCGTTGTGGCAGAGCCGCGTGGGCAACTCTTTCGAGCCGCGTTGGCGGACTGGAAAAGGTGAGGGTAATTCTTATGAAGTTTGAGAGTTCTTTAAATTTCATATATTTATCTGCTGGATGTTTATTCAAATATGCAACGTTGTGATTGTCTTTCCATTTGGCGTTTTACCTGCACTATCACAGCTAGCACGTAGCATAAACTTCTCAGTACGCAGCTCGCAGGCTGCGAGTTGTCGTCCCGGTCAGACTTAAAAGTGCTATTGGCCGGCGGACCGTACAGATATTGGCCAATTACTGGGTGTGCCAAACACCGTCGAAATTATCGATTTTTCGGGGTGACCGTTGGAAAAAATCGATAATTCCTGACTGCTGTCGACCGGAATCGACGATGAGGTACCTTTCGGCTCAAAATCGGAACGACTCCGGTGTAGTGAGCTGCTCGGAGTCGATTACTAACATTCAGGCTGCTAGAGCCCGGAAAAATAATCGACACCCAAGCGCATATGGATGCGGCTCACTACTGGCGGCGAATCTGTTGAGGGCGATGCTCATCGAATTCGTGCTGAGCTTGAAGGCATATCTTCCAAGAGGGCAGTTAAATGGTGCTCTCAAAAATAAAACGGGCTTGTTAGCTCAGGCAGGTCACTTCAAGAAAAATCAACGAGGGCGATGCTCGGATAATTCTCGAAGGTCCGATGTCTGGGTGTGGGAACCCTGACGTTTTTAGCGTTCAAGACGGGCGAAGCGTCTGAACACCAGCAGAATTTTTTTTTCAAAAAAAAAAGGAAATTTTTTCAATAAAAATACTCACTTTTCCTCTGGCTCCACTCTTCCTTCCCGATAGTTCCGATGTTGGCGGTTCTGGCGGTGTAGAGCCGACGGGCTCGGCAGTGTGGTTGGCGGCAGTGTGTCGGCGGCTTGCTCTTCGAGGTTTCATTGCTGAGCGTTCTGAAATTTCGAAAATTTGTGGAAAAATTGCCGAAAAGAACGAAAGGAAAGCTTCGGAAGTGCAAATTAACGAGAATTGGCTGAAAATGTGGTGATTTTAGGCCAAAAAAGGGAAGAAAATGGCGGTAAATGTAAGTAGATTTAGGCCAAGTTCGTCTCGTTCGTCTCGCCGCGACGCGTTTCCGCAGTACACCGCGCACCGCGGCTGCGTACTTGTGTTTGTCGACCGTAACCGCGACAAAAATTAAAGCACATTGAGGCCATTTTCCGTGTAAAAAACGGAAATTCTGATTGATTTCAAGGGAAATTGTGTTCAGAATCGTCATGAAAGACATTGAACAATCAAAAAAAATGGCATTGGACGCTATCGGAAGGGGAAATAGGGTGTTTTTCAGGAAAAACAGAAGGTATCGACTGTTTCGAAGGCTATGGACAAAAAATCGATATATTGGCAATAATCGGGGAATTTTGGGGTTCAGTGGTAGATTATCGATGATTGTATGCTTTGATTATCCTAGAAAACACATGAAAACGTATGAAGTACCAACAATTTCTTGAAATGGTTCTTGAAGCCGAAAATCGAAAAATCGATATTTTCGAAAAATTTCGAAAAGTTTCGAAAGACCAATTCTCAGCAACCAGATCATTTTCGGAATGGAAAAATGAACCGGAGATGCACCATGCGGAAAGAGCAGGTTTGGGAGGTTGGCGGCTCCAACTCTTTCTCGTAAATAGTGTATTCATGTGACGTTTTCTTGTATTGTGTTTCTAGAGGATAAGCGGTGCAAGCAGATAACAGTACAAAGTTAATTCAATGACCCATTTATTGAGGAGGGCAAAATAAAAAGGCAGTAATTTCTAGGAGAAAGGAACAAAGTCTCCGGCATTGGCAGAACGTGGCTTCTTGGAGAGACAGAAGGTTCGGATAAATTACACACGAAATGCGCGGAGCTTCTAAGATTCAGAGAATCGGTTAGAAGCCGGCAATTCTAATAAAGGAATCAGGAAAAATTGAAAATATGAGAGAAAGAGAAACAGAGACAGGGACAGAGGGAGAGAGGGGGAGAGGGAGACAGTGAGAAAGATAAGGAGAAAAATGGTGAGCAATTTGAGAGACGCAAATCAAAGATTGTTGGAAGATCCATCTGGACCCGCAGCAGCAAATACGATGATGACAACGATCTCTGAAAAATCAATTGTTTGCAATAGTCATTCCTGGAGAACTTTCTATTGTTGTTTTTTTTCTTCTTTCAGACAGTTCCGACCCATTTCAAAGAACTTCTCCGCTTCAGCAATTGCAGCTTGTAGAGCATCATTTTTCTTCCTCTCCGCGATGACATCTCTGTCCATCATTTTTTTGAGGTCTTCCACTTCCTTCCTGTCCGCCCAATGTTGATTTTCTAACTCCTTGATCTTCGCTTGATTTGTCAAATTTTTAAGCCGGAGTTCCTCTTTCTCAGCCACCAAGCTTTGGTGCAGCTTCGTGATCTCTGCCAATTCCTCCTTGCGATGGTTCCGTTCTTCGACGAGCTTTCTTTCTGCGGCATACAACTTCGCTTGAAGTTTCTGGACTTCAGTTTCTTCTCCTTCGCGTGTCTCCAGCGTGTTTCCTACTGAAATCTCTCCTCCTTCTTCATCTCCTTCTTCCTCCTGGATTTGCACATCAGCTTCTTCACTAGCATCTCTTTCGGTACCTCCTTCCGATTGATCCTCCACCTCCATATTATTATCTTTATTGATGACTGGCCAGTGGATGACCAGTCCATCTTCCACCACCTGGAGTGCAGCCAACTAAAAAAAAACATTATCTCTACTATAGACAAATTCAAAACTCACCGAAAACAGACCCAAGTTGGGACTGGACCTGACCACAAAGTTTTGTGGTTCTGACACCTGAAAAATTTAAGCTTTAAAAAAACGTCCCAAGAAAACAAAACTCACGAAAACACTGTCATCCTCTCCGGCGTTTTCGAACCTATCGAAACCATCTTTCAATTGATGGTCCTTTTCCCACATTGCCTTTTTCTCAGCCGTGGCTTTGATAAACGTGTGTTTGTAGGCGATTCTGCCTCCAATCTTAAAATCTTGAGTTGTCAATAAGTCTATCAAAAATCAAGATAAAAACCTACCACAGGATTGAAAGAAAATTCCTCATCGTCACTCACTTCCAATAAAATTTTGTACCCTCCAGAAGTAGGGAGCTTTGATCTTGTGGCCTTCGGCATCGTTGACAATTGAGCCTCGAAGAAGAAATACCTGAAATTTTTTAAATATTATAATCAAAAAAATTGAGATATGAGTTCACTAGGAAAACTGTGCAAAAAAAAAGACATATTTAAAACGATGTTCTCAGACAAGACTTTCTACACATAAAAATTAATTCTATGAAAGGGAAAGATTTATTGGAACTAATCCAGAAAAACATAAGAATTCTCTTAAGGTAAGAAAAAGTTGGAAGAGTTTTCAAGTAAATAAGAGAAAATTTCATAAACATTTAGATTCAAATGGCATTAGCTTGTTTTATTCTGTAGGATTGCGCTCTCTCTCCAGTATTTAGTTTGAATGCGATGTGTTCAATGGCGCGCGCTTGCATTTCAAGCGCTAAAATGTGTTTTTCAAAGAGCAGCTAGGACGAAAAGTGAAAGAGGGGGTAGAGATCTCCGAATTTTCCAAGGACATTTCTGGTTTTTTTTTTGCATTTTCGGATGTTTTCCAGAGAATCGGCATGAAAGCTATCTTCGAGTTTCAAAACTACTGTAGAATGTGTCCGGCGCTTCAAAAACGAAATGAAAAAGCAAAGAGTTTTGCTACTAACGCAAAAAGATTTTCTCAGAATGAGTTTTTTTTACGATTTATGATTTAGAAAATTCTAAAAAAACGTAGAATTTATCCGTATTTTGCATATTTATTTTGTACTCGTTCTATGCCTCGAAGAAATCAACCGCGCTTTGCTAAGCAAAGAGTTAGCAGTTAGAAAAAAAGGAGAGCGGCAAATAAATCAACGATTAATCAACGACTAAGTTTTTTGAACGCGTCGGGAAGAGGACGTGTGTACTCTGCTTGCAACAGCTACATAAGCCTCAAAACAGAGAAATAGTGAGGGAGGAAGAGGCATAGAACGAGAGAGTAAGAGAAAAATAGTGTGAGGGAGGAAGAGGCTATTGATATGTTTATTATTATTATTGACCGGTCGCAATGAACCTTTGAAAAAGAGCAGCAGGGCAGCAAAATCTTTGGATTGTGCCGTTAAATTTCAAGCGCCTTTAAAGTTTCTAAATTTTTTGAAAATTATCACTTTTACCTCAATTCTCTTCATTCAGTTTTTCCTCGTTTTTTCTAATTCTTCACATTTTTTGAGATAAAAATAGCAAGAACATTCGATTAACCGAGAAAAACAAGCTAAAATGATTATTCTCAAAAAATCAAGAAACTTTAAAGGCTTATGGAATTTTTTCGGCACAAGACCACGATGCACATTCAAATAAAATTTTGGCCGGTTCATTGCCGCCAAACAAGAATTATAAAAACGGGGAAACCCAGAAAACGGTGAGGTTCAAAGAGCATTGATAATCGCGCAAAGGGCAAAAAAAATGGGGAAACTGGCTCGAAAAAGATGATAAGCTAGTTTGGTATCTAATTTGAATGTTTGGCTTAGTATTTCATTTTAAATTCATTAAAAGCAAAAATAATAAAAATATACAGATGGAAACAAAAATCTATGGTTGTCAGCAGTTCACTTTCAGTTGTAAAATTAAATTCTACTGACAATTTCAGAGATAATCTTGAACGGCAAGGCTGAGAAGCATGAATAAAATAAAGAGCCTAGTCCCCGCAAGTAGGGTGGATCCAAATAAGCCGCTTCCCTCTTGCTTTAAGGTACAAAACAACAATTAGGGTGACCTTGTTAACATGGACCACACAGTCATTGTCTACCTCACATCCAATATTGGGTGAGCCTATAATTGGCCAATTAGTTTTATTTCTCAAATAAATTTATTTTTCTCCGAGAGAGAGGTACATATTACAATTAAAAGAAGTGCAAATCGTAATACAAATCGGGGGTTTTAATTAACGACGACGCATTGGTTTTGGTGGTGGTTGAAGTGGTAGCACTGGTTCGTTGCTCCCATTTCCTCTAATTTCCCGCTCTGTCTTGTTGTAGGACACGTTGTTCATTAGAAGGATTGTTCGCCATGCTTCGAATTTTTTGTGATCCTGAAAGGCTTTTGTTTGACACAAATTGGCTCATTTATTGAGCTATTTTTTTTTGAAAAATTATATTGTAAAATTATAACAATTCAAGAAGCAACATACCGTAAATACTCTAACAAGAGCGCATCCTAAACGTGCACTTCGAGCTCAATTATCTCAGCTATTTCGAAAGATATCAAAAAGTTGTTAACTGATAAAATGCTGGAAATTTTACAAAAAAAAAATTTTCCAGTTGACAAATTTTCAATATCTTTTTTAAAGGAGCCGAGATAGTTGACCTCGAATTGGGCATGCAAAACCAGTCAATAAGACATACGAACACGTTTTTTTTTCGTAATTTTTGGCCATTCTGACTATTTTCAGGAGTTTGAAGCTTGGTTGTCAAGTTTCCAACTGATTTTGAAAAAGTTAGAGTCACAGAATTCTTAGAACCACCTTCTTTTCAACCACCTTCTCAGGTAATTAACAAAAACTGAAATCACCGGAGTTTTTTAAAAAAGAAAAGACAATGGTTGTAATAACTAAATAGACGAACTTCACTATACGAACTGCATTAACTGAACTGCATGAACTTCTGTTAGAGGTTCCGCTTTTATGATTTTAAGCACATCGGAAGGTGGGCTTCAATTAGAAGTAGGCTTCAATTAGACGGTATATCTTGATTCGTTCTGAGCTTTTTCTTTAACAAAAATCACTTACGATTCTGATCGCATCTGGGCCCATCGCAAGAAGGACGTTGGCTGCATTGACAACACGACGCGCCCTTGTGAGTTGGAGCTCATTGAGTACTCCATTGGACAGTGGATCTTGTTGATGCTTCACAATTACAGCCTCAAATCGCACTTTAAAGCGAGTTACGTACTCCTAAAAGGGAAGGTGTGAAATAATCTTAAAAATTGGAAGCTTACAATCATGAAAGTAGCCATTCTTAAGCGAATGCTGGGAATCCTGAACCCTGGAAAAATGATTTTAAATTGAAGTGAAACAGGAACACAAGATTTCAGCAGAATAAAGACACAGCGAGTGATTGAGTAGCCCTAATTTCGTGGATGTTGTTTTTTTCGGAAATAATAAATTTGAGAATATGTCAAGCTTTTTTTTCTTTGTTCAAAACTTGACATAGTCACAACAGAGACAAACAAATATATCATTTCAAAAAAAATACTCGAAGAACAGAAAAACATTTCTGATTAGGATTAGAGTTTTTATTCCGTTCAAATAAATTGTAAAAGGATTAAAATACATTTTTTATTTCACATTGAGAGTCAAAGAAAAATATTGATGCGATTAGTTTGTGAGAAACTAGATGACACAAGAATGTCAGAATAAAAGACAGACGTTCTTTCAAGAGAGAAAGTTCCGTTTGAATGTCAAGTGCTCCAATGAAATATTCATCGAAGAAATAAACTGAGCACTCAGAAAAGAAAACTCAAAAAGACGAGATTCTAATTCTTTCTTAGGTTCCGGGAAAAAAAGGATTTATGACTATATACATTTCGGTTTGTGTACGAAGAAATTTGCTCTGAAAGGTGAGCAGGAGCGATGAGGATTTTGATATCTAAATTCTCAGAAGATGCGCGTTTTGGTTTGTGTAGCCTTTTTAATCCGATGCATAATTCTGCGTTCTAACCATTTTTAGTGATGCTTCCAGGAATTGTCAATCCACATTTAAGAAAAGCTAAGGAGAGGTTCAAAAGAACCTTACTCAAAAAGCTAAAACAAAATGGGACAAAATGATAAAATAACATTAAGAGAAACCAACTTTACTATTTTAAAGGTGTATCTCAAGTTCAAATGTTTCATGAAATCATACAGCATACAAGCTGTAACCGTAAAATGGACCCATTGCTTTTGATATTATGATATTATTTTTGATATTATTTTTGATATTATGATAAACATTTTGTTAGTTGACCACGCTTCTGATATCTTTCACAAGAAATGAGCTATATAGGCAGAAAGTTGACAGTTCGGGGGTTTTGTAGAGTGTTCACAGTAATATGAAAAAAGAGGAAGAAAAATTAACTATTTATGTTAGAAACCCTGAACCACTTGTCCAGACCGGGCCAAGATTTATATTTGAGCTCATCTACCGTAAAAACTCTATTAGATAGCCACCTCTAATTGAATGTCAGCCTCTAATATAGTGCCATCCTAGAGCACCTCCGAACAATAGAGTGCCAGCCCTTAATATGATGCCACTGCGGATGGTAATCTAGCGTTTTTTCAGCTTAAAATAAGTAATGTATTTGTCAAAAATGTTTCAAGATAATATCATACTCCGAAAGTCTCTAAAAAGGAAGTAGAAAAATCAAGAAAAACTCGAAAGTCATTTTATGAAAAAGTTGAATATCGAGAACTTTTGTGATGAGTTTCAGTAGAAATTGACTCCGAAAAATAAATTGCCAGCCTCTAATTGAATGCTACCCCCTAATAAAGTGCCACCCCAGACCACCTCCGAACAATACAGTGTCATGGCTAGCTAATAGAGTTTTTACGGTATCTCGGTTTCTGTGAGATATAAAAAAGTATTCAACTGACAAAATGTTTAGAATAGTATCAAAAATAATTTGTGAACTGATCACTTTTTGATATCTTACACAGAAACCAACATATATGAGCTAACAGTTGACGGCTTGGATGGCCTTCTATTAGAGTTTTCACAGAATACTTAATTTATCAATGACCAAACTCAGCAAGGAAAACAAAAACTAAGTAACAACCTCAAATATTTTGTTGTTGTTTTTGGAAATGAAGTGTAAAAAGAGAAGACACGAAAAAATGTCTTCAGTGGTGTTACTCGAGGGTGTCTATTTAACAACTCCAAATTGTGTTCTATCCTCACTCATATAGAAAACCTCCCTCTCTTTTTCCCTTCTTTTGCTCCTAGATCTTTTCTTGTCGGCAGTCAGTATCAAATTGGCTCTTGTTTCCTCTATTCGTGACGGAAGAGAACACTCTACGAGAAACATGAAGATGGGGGAAAACACAAAAAAAAGGGTAGCAGTTCTTTTTCTGAGCAGGATGCGTCGTCGGATGTGGAAATGGGAAAAGAGCGAGGGCTCCAGATAAGGAAGGGTGTCCTGGATAAGCAAAAGAAGAAAAAGAAAATGAAATAAAAAATCTGTCAGAAAAAAGAACATTCCCCACAACAAATAGGTTAAGTGTTCGTTTTTAATTATTTTTGAAGTCGAAATTGGAGATTTTTCAATTTTATTCAGTTTTCCAAACGCGCATTCTTGAATTTGAAATCCAGTGAAAAAAATTACCACAGAAAAGATTCCAAAGATGAGTCGAATGTTTGTAATCTTCATTGAGTGGGCTCCATGTGCACCTCTCTATCACGACTCCTCCTCATTTTATGTCTTTGTCAGTAAAAACTTCCGAATCACAGAACCACTCTTCCCTTATTAGTTTTGTTAGACTCTGAAGCAGAAGTAGGAAGCAGGAGAAGGATAAAAAAGAAAGGGAAAGTTCAATTCAGATTTTGAGACAGATAAAGCAACATATGACATTTGCTCAAGATAAGAACTTGCAGACTATTGTAGAACTTTATCTTCAAATACTAAATTAGTTCCTGACAGTCGTCAGTCATTTTTAGCTTTTAGTAAGGTTTTTCTTTTTTTTTGAATGGAGCTTAGCAATTCATCGGAACTGAAAGAAACAAATGTTTGGAACGATTTTTTTTCTTTCATGGACTTTATTTATTATAGTATTGCGGTGAAGAGATTGAACTAGATAATTTTTTTCAAATTCAATAGAACTAAAACAACAAAAAAAGGAACTTTTTGAATAACTTTTGTTATACTAGTTTCATGATTTACTGATTCCTGAAAAGTAACAATTTTTAATCAGTTTCATGAGTTAAATGGCTTAATTTTTGCAGAAGTTCATTCGAGCCCTTTGAGATCACGTGCCGCTTATCAAAAACTTTAATCTGTAGATGACCTAGTTTCGATTGACATCTGAAACACCTGAAAACTGTTCATAAACTCAAAAATTCTTTTTTTCATATTTTTGCTTTTCAAAACAGTCTTGAAGTAATACTTCACATTTACGTTTATTCATCATTAGGTCGGAATCGGTATTTGTGAGTACAAAGAAGACACTGGAAAGAATCTAGATATTGGTCAAATTTTCAGGATAGGTAAAGAATAGCATGTCTAAACATGTCTGAAAATTTTAAGGTCCGCTAGTCAGTCAGCAGAGTTATATCAGTTTCAGTGCAAAACAACGATTTTCAAAAATGATTTTCTCAACTTTTAGGATGTTTCAGAGCATGAAATTTGATGTGTTATAATTTAAATTTTATATTCGATTCATGTTAATGTTTTCTTTTTCAAATTTTTCCACGATTTTCTAGGTTCATTCGAAAATTGAAAAATAATTTTTTGAGAAAATGTCTGAAATATGTCATTTCATTTGGTTCTCGGTAAAACATAACAAGCTTCATGTTTTGAATCGAACTATTATAGTATTTAAGAAATTATCCTAGAAAATTGCTGTATTGCACTGAAAAAACGATTTTCTGTACTGAAAATGATTTAACTCGATTGAAATTGCCAAGCAAATTCTGAAATTTTCAGAAATGTCTAGATAGGCTGTCCCTAACCTATTCTGAAAATAACAGGTCTCGAATTCCCTTGTTAAATAAATTCGTGACCGTACCATGATAAACTTCACCATCGAGAAAAATTTTGATCGGAAATTTAGGGAGCCAACTTTTTTTTGGTCAAAAAAAAATCGATCAAACCATCTACATCCCATTCTCAAGATCATAAAATGCAACGTTTTATTGCATTATCTTTTTCTTTCTGTTTGCTAGAAATATAGATTTTTGAAGAAAGAACCCTCCATATGCTGACTTTCAGATTTTTCACTGAAAAATAGAATATTCTTACAATATCTTGAAGATTTTATCAAAACCTTGGGTTTCAAGGTGTTGAGGTTCCCTAGTTGAACTATTTTTCAGAACCCTAGCCATAAATAAGCCAGTGAGTCACAAAAACTGTTTTTTCTGACTTCCTAAATTTCCAAAAAAAAAAATAAAAATTATTTCTCAACACCAGTTGAAAAAGGATACTCCAATTCGTTTAGTTATACGTCACAGTCTTCTCTTGGCACCAAGATTTTAATCCTTCAGATAGCATATTTCCTTTGTTGCCGAGAGTTTCCATATTCCATACAATAGATAGAAGTTCTGTCATGAATAGGAGTCAGGGTTCTCTAATTTTTGAATACGTCTGGAAAATTAAGCTTCGAACACATTCTATCTTTGTTTGGGGAATTATTACCCAGATGTTTCACACTTTTTCGAAATTCTAAAAAACGTTCAATCCTTCAAATTGTTTGCGAACCTTATTCCACACTTAACTCGGGACTTAATCGAAAACTTAGTCAAAATTTTTTTTTATTTATTCCTCAATTTCTCCTATTCTCGTTATGGGGTCTCTATTTTCCTCGCAATTGTTAAGTGACATGTTGTATACATTTTTGCCGGTTTGAATGAAAATATTGGTCCATGCGCATAAAAAAATTAGTAACAAACATCTTACCCAACGTTGTCTTCTTCTTTTTTTTTAAATTTTGCATAATTTCAGTGGAGAGTCCAATTTTTTTATTTCTTGAAAGAAGAGTCTGAGTTTTGTGTATCTTAGGTTTTTCATGTTCAAAATTGAAGAATGAAATACAAGAATTGTATTTTTCAGTGAACAAAAAACCTTAAAGTGCATTGTTTTTAACATTTAATCAGATTTTTTGTATCTCTTAACCAACTGTTTTGTATCATTTAAAATTGAATGTTTGTTAACCTGATTTTGATGAAAAGTTCCCGATAGGTCAATAATAACCTATTCAGGTAATTTTCAAAATTCGCTTGCTATTTATCAGTTTCAGTACCAAAAATTGCGGAATCATTGCAAAAAACGACTCTAAAATAATATTCTCCGTAACTTCTAGAATGTTTCAGAACATTACATTTGTAGTGTTATTCTTAGAATTTAACACAATCGTATTTCAGACATTTTTCCGAAAAAATCTTTTTTTTCAAATAAAAAACGACAAAAACTAACAAAAACTGAGAGAAATAGGCATAAATTAATCAGAAAACTAATTTCCAGATTATTCATAAAATTCAAGAAAATTCCCGAAATTCCTGAATTTCCCGGCTGAAACTGCAGAGCGGATTTTAACATTTTCAGAAATATCTAAATAAATGGCTATTTTCAGCATGTCCTAAACCTTTTTATCAAAATTTGGGTTTACAAGAGGTTGAGGTTCCATTTTGAATGTTGTTGAAGTCTCAACGAATTCAAAAGGAACATTCTGTCGGCACTCCGAAAGGATATTTTTCAGTTTCTCAAAACATATTCGTAGATAAAAATTGCGCAAATAATGTGGGATAGAGCGGTATGTTGGGGCGCAAAAGGAAAGGTTGGCTAGGAAGAAGAGAGGAGAGGGGTCTTTTTTGAATGAAGCCGCTAGAATATTGCGCAAGAGCCTTGATTTTATTGTTTTTTTTCTCTTAGGCCGCCCCCATCAATCTGTTCTGAGATTTTCATTCAAATCGGGGTCGACAAACTGTTGAGCTTTTTTATATTGCTGTAAAATGAGACTATTATATGTATATTCTTCTCTACTTTATGAGAATAAATTTAGACAGTAGAATTTTGAGCTTATGGTACTATTTGAATATTCTAAACGGTCAGGGCACTTTCTATTTTCTATAGCGTTATCAGTTTCTACACATTTTGTGGTGAGAGCAGATATGCCCTATTCCATTTTTTTTTCAAAAGTCGGATGTTCCCTACCAGATATACATCCTTCCTGCACATCCTTTCTATTGAGCAAACGTTTTATACCGGATGGGCTAGATTGGTGGCAATTCAATTTCAATGTAATATCAATGTCAAACGCTTTCAATTTTCATTCGCTCATATTATTTTGGGTTTCAGACTTTTCCAGCAATCTATGTATATTTCAGTAAACAGCCTGATGTCTTCAACAAGTACTGAAAGCTGGTACAGCCGTCTAGAACGGAAAGGAGAAGAAGTGGATTGGGAAAAGTTTCGAGTTACAAAAGAACAAGTGAGTATGGTATTTTTTCTTTTTGAGTTTGTGGGAAATTTCTTCATCCCACACTCTGTCGGCTAGGGTCAGATTATGAAACTTCGAATTTCTGAATTTCTTGAAAATTCTCAAGTTTTAATGAAACTTTCCAAAAATTCAAAGCTTTGATACTTCTGTAAGAGCGGAATATCTCTGGAAATTTTCTTTAAATTGAAATTCGATAAAATGTTTCTCAAGAACTTTCAAAATGTTCGAATTGGCCCGGAGTTTGACAAGTATAGTATGGAGGCATCTAGGATACATCAGCCAAATTTCGATCAAACCGACACGGTAGCGTCCAAAAAATTCTCAATTTCGCAATAAAAAATGTATTTTTTTCTTGATGGATATAGTGATTAGATTAGAAAATGACTTATTTTTGCAATTTTGAGATTTTCTGAGTGGAAAAAGTTGAACTTTAGAGCTGAAAATCCTCATTTTTGTACCAACTTTCAAAAAAAAGTTTTCTCCTTGAACAAGGATAATTAAAACCTAGAATTGAACCCAAAATGTATTGTCTCTAATTTTGATCAAACACGTAACAGATTTAGCATGTGGACTGAATACCAAGATTTGTTTTCATAGCCTCTGTGCTTTTTTTTGCATCTTTTACACTTAATTTTTACCGGAAAAAATACTTTACAATTAGAACAATTCTTACAGCTTTCTTGTTCTCCGCAATAAGTCGATGAGAAAGAATCTTGATAATTTGCCAGAATTTTACCATGTTTCTGGTATAAATTTGTTTCTGGTATAAAATGTTTCTGGTATAAATGTTTTGGTATAAAATGTTTCTGGTATAAATTTGTTCAAAGTTAAAGATTTTCATTTTTGGGTGGAATTCTATTAGGTTGTTCGGAGAGTCCTTTCCACGTTTGATATGTTGTTTTCAAACTTCGTTTTCTTGAAGGGGATTAAAGCGTGAAAGTTGTCGTTTTATCATTATGCTGTTGAGGTCTAATAGTGTCTACACCCCAACGGAGATCATTCTCCTCTTTTCGTGCAGTGAGATTTGCCCACCGTTTTCGCCTCAAATAATTTCCATTTTTGGACTACCATTTTATTTGTATTTCTATCTGACCTCAGATCAACTGAAATCAATCACCAATTTGTGGAGGTTAACAACGAAGATGCACCCTTTCGAACAAACTTCACAACCTGGATTCATCAATTTGAAAAATTAAAATTCTCGTTGGACGAAAATCCCCCTCCAAAAAAGCATACGGGCTCAGATTTGGACGCATTAAAAACCGGGATTGAAAGGGACCCGTCTCAAACTGTGCGGGATATGTCAAGTACATCAGTGGCAAACCTTTCGTCAAAAAGCCATAAATTGGGAACTCTCGGCAAAGTAAAAAAAAGTGGGAAGATATGGATCAAACCTTTTCGCTTAACGCAACTTCGTTTCACTTGTGGGCACCTGTTTGAATCTTCTCATCCTGCGTTGCACACATGAATGTTGTAGTTAAATCATTACTAGTAGTGATAAATGGGTAATGTATAATTACTATAAACAACAATCCAAGTGGGTTGACAATGGCACTCAACCACCAGAAGTCCCGAAACGTGAAATTAATGTTAAAAATAGGATGTTTTCGGCATGAATGTCTACCAAGGAGTGGAGTATTGGGAGCTGCCAGATAATGGTGTCACTTTTATGACCGATACCTATTTTTGTCAGGTGATATAACTCAGACTCCATGTGGATCTCCATTGGAGAGAAACACAAAGGTTTATTTTCAAAATCGAATTTCGCAACCTCATGGGGGAAGGAGAACGGAGACCGATCTCACTGTATACGGCTAAACGGTTTTGTCTTATCTACAGTATATTCCAAACCTTGTACTGTCTGACTACCCCCTCTCCAGCCATTTCTACCGACCTCTTGATTGAAAAAAATTCACTTCAAAGCATGATGTCAAAAATGGGTTGACCTGATTTTCAATGCACTGTGACCGGAGTTCTGGAAGGAAGGCATTCACAGTTTGGTGGGACGTTGGCAGATAATCATTGATAACAATGACCATTACATCCAATTTATCTGACATCGTTTTGACCTTTTTTATATCGATTGAATCTGACGCTAAAAATGGAAAGGACTTTCCGAACAACCTAATAATTGCCATGTTCATATAGAAACTTTTTTGTATTTTTGATTAAAAACTCATGGGGCTCAAAGTTTCGAAATTCTGATATATTTTTTCTGGTCTAATTTTGCAAGCTGCTTCCCGAATTTAATGATATCATTTTCAGAATGATGTTAACGTTTTTGGCGAAAACACACTTTCAGTAATTTGTTTCAACATTGGTACATAAATAACATTTTTAGCTATACGAGTTAGGCTGTTTTTCAATCCAAAAAGAGCTCTAAATAACAAATATGAATCATTCCAGGCCCAGTTTTTTAACGAATTCGGTCCCTGTTTGGACAGTACCTGATCGGCTTGGTCAAAATGTGGCAGTTGTATTTTGAGAACCTTTTGGCATTTACTTATATTCATACAATGTCAATGCTAAAACATGTGTTGAATTTTTTGTAAAGAACTACAGAAAACACTCTGACAGCAGGCCATTCTGAATTTTCAATTCGAGCCCAAAAATCTCGGTTTCTATGAGGAGTAATAAGAACATGTCAATCGATCAAATGTTGGTGATAATATGACGAACATTTTATCAGTTAATTGAGCTCAAAGAGCAAACTATCATCTATCAGAGTGCTCACGTTATTTTAAAACTTTGAAAGAGAATATGTCTTTAATAACATATTCAGTTGGAAACATGGACTCGAAGTAGACATGACGGAATAAGCCACAAAGATGAAGTGAACCAGAAAGGAACAGCTTGTGATTTGATCTACAAATACGTCGATCATTTTCCGAAAACAGAAGAATCACATGCTCATTATTTGTGAGTTTGACGAGTATCCAATTAGATAAAATAAAATTCGTTTCAGGCAAATAACTGCTGTTGCATCTGTAATCCTTCATCGCTATTTCATAATACGTTCAATTCGGAATAGAGAGATGGACGAGGTAGCAGCTGGTTGCGTCATGGTTGCTTGCAGAAGTGCAAGAGTTTATAACGTGTCCGATATTGTTCTGGATTATCTAGGATCATTGAAATATGGCTCGAGAAAAGTTCACTATCAATGTCAATTGATAGAGATGATGTGTGCCGCAGAAAGAGACATAGAAGACGCGATAGGTGATTCGAAACCTAAGTAATCTATTTTAAAGTGTCTTCTTAAGGCTTTGACTGTCTGGTTACCATTCCTCATGAGCATTTGGCGAAAATGCTAAAAGTGCTCGACGAGAAGGTGAAGTTCCCGGAAATTCATTGTAAATCTTTTCTTCTGGCGACTGAGTTGTTAGTTTTCCTAATTTCCCCATCACTAAATGCAATAATATTGTTTCCAGACTTCTCATCACTGAATGGACATTGACTCACTCTCCATCAACAATTGCCATCGTCTGCATTAGAATGGCTTTGACGGCGCATAAACTAAACCGCGCAAAATTCGTCCCGGAAGGTGTGATGAGCGATTGGTTCAAATTATTTGACACTGGTGTAACAGAGAGTCTTTTGTTTGAAATGATCCGAGAAGTTTTGGCCCATCAAAGAGTGAAGAATGATGAAACAAGTAGGCTGTCCAAAGCTTTATGTTTGACGCCTACTCCTAGGACTACTCGAAAAGGCACCATGCCGAAAACAAGAACTTCCAAATCTTCAAAGAAGAAAAGTTCCGATTCCAACGGAGGAGAGGAATGCCAAGTGCCAGGGGGAATTCCAGCATTGATGGGCATAAGGCTCACGCCAAATTTCATTCCGAAAGGGACTCAGAAATCCGTCGAATCGTCTGTCCAGTGCATCCGCTCAAAATCAACAAAGTACGAACTCAAAATTCCGAAGGATTACAAAAGAAAAATGGGTTCATCAAGAAGGGGAAAACGGAAGGATAGTTCAACGAAACAGAATGTTCAAGGAATGACTGGTGATGGCTCTTCCGGAACGGGTAATTTTCTAAAATTACATTTAAAAACACTCAATTCCATTATTTTCAGCCCCTGAGCAAGTCGACAACACAGCTTCTCCAGAAGCAAATCCCAGCAACTCTGATACTTCTCAAAACATCCAAAATTTAAAGGTTCAATGCGCAAGAAACGATAGTAAAGAAGGGGATATCTTAGGAAAGAACAACTCTGAACTCAGAAAGGAACACTACGAGCATGTTTTGGTTAACCAGAAAAGATCCTCGAGTGAAGATGCGGACAGTCATGAAGAATTGAAAAAATCAAGAATGTAAGGAAATTACGTTATTTCTTATTATATCACACTCACTTGAACATTATTACAATGAATGCAACTTTTTAAATTGTTTGTAAGGCCACCAATAATAAAGATTTTGAATGATCTGTGATTGAAAGAAAAATTCCCGTTTTGGTAAGCTAAAACATGACTGTGGGAAAAAATAGTCCCATCTAGCCATGTGCGGCAGTTTTTCTTTCAACTTCCAAAAAAATGAGATGATCAGAATGGAACTCCGAACACCGAAATCTCAGAAAACTTCAAACGTTTTCTTGGTGAAATACTGAGCAGAATTTTTTGAAGCTTTTTTTGCTTTTGGACAGTGGTATGTTGAAGGCAAAAAATTTTATCTGCTGTTCTTTAGCGGAATCAGTATAATTTTTGCGTTTCAATTTGCCTTGCAATTTTCAAAGTCGATTTTATCATTTAACTTGTTCTGCTAAACAGGAAACTTGTTCTGCTGAACAGAGTCAACTGGAATTTCATATTTCAGACATTTTTCTTTAAATATTCGAAAATTTGAAAAATGTTTTTACAAATTTTAAATAATTTGGATTTTTTCAAAATCCGATAAAATTTTTGAAGATTTTTGAAAAATCTCTGAAAAATGAAATTTCATAAAATTTCATAAAATTCTGCAACGTTCTAGAAGTTGAGAAAATCGCCTTTTTTGGCGCTGAAACGCAATTTGTGTTTTTGAAACTAGTATAACTCGGCTGAAACTGGATTCCAAAATGTTCCGGGCCGTCTTGATAAACTATTCTCAACTTATCCAACATTTGTCATAAAAACTGGTTTACAAGATGTTGAGGTGCCCTTGTTAAAATCATCAAGTTCCCATTAGATCACAAGAACACAATATACAATAATATCTCTTTTTGAAGGTCATGATCAGCTCGAATCGTCTGTCAAAACCAAAGATTACCTCAACTTTGGATTCTAGTTGAAAGGTATTCATTTGGGCTTGATAGCCTCGAACCTCAAAAAAAAATAGCAGTATGAAATAGTACTGAATACGTGGACGATATCAAGATAAAGAAGCTAGTCAGTTTTAATCTTATTAAATCCGCATCGAAACTCACATTGAGATCTAATCTGTCACCTGATAAGAAGCTGTAAAATGTGAGATTACATGCATGTCTGTGAGATTAAACTGTGCTGATGGTCGGTGCTTCTTGCACGAAATGTACGCAACACTTGAAAATTGGACTGGTTTCAAAAAACAACATTGATCAGATACAGCCATGTATAGGAGAACATCGTTACAAAAATGGGATACTCGTTTGAAAATACAATATAGTACTGTAGCAATGAAAAATTTTTGAAAAATTTTTGTCCATGTTTGAGACCCGCAAAAACAAAATGTGAACTTGGCGGAAAATCTTGGAAATACGAGCTGTAAAGAGTTATTTCTGGAAATTGAGTTCGGATGTGGCATAAGAGTTCATAAACTCCAACGCTGGTCATTTTGCTCTATTTATTACCAAACCAATTACGGATATCGAATCAATTTGCAGCTCAAAACGACCAGTAAGCTTTTACAATACCTCAACTCATTGTGCTGGTTGAGAGGTGATCGTGCAAGCTTACCAGTCGTGAGTTGTGATTGGAATAATAGTAATAAGATTTAGATATTAGGAAACTCTGGAAGCCGACGAGACGCACAAATGAAGGTATCACTAGTTCAGTTTAGCAAACCGAGTGCTAATGCGCAGACACGTCTGGTCACCTGATATAATATATAGACGAGAAGTGCGTGGGCGTTGAAAAGATTGAAGCGTGAGATTAGATGTGGCGTGGGCAATGAGAGACGGAAACTAGTAAATCTTATACTTCAAGAAACCTGCAAATGCTGCGAGAGAAGACCCTGCGACACGAGAAAAGGTTTCGTCAAACTCAAGGTCAACTCAATCATTCAAAGTGTTGATAACTGTTATATTACGCTCAAACAGGTTTTTGTTTAGCCAAAAAATATAACGGCAGATTGAAACCCAAAAATGAATACTAGCAAAAAAGAGACTCTAAGAGATGAAAAATATGGGTGTGCCATGATTTTCGCCAAGATCGCGCGATAAGGGTAAAACCATAATCGTCTCACCTAATCGTAAAAGATCATAGAAAAATCTGATGTAATTAATTAATGTACCTTGGACTCTTAATTGGTTATTCTCTAAATGAACGTTTCGGATACCGCAGACAAAGCAACTAGTTTTTGCTTTGTCTGTAGTAATATCTGAATGACATATCGAAATTTATGAAATTGTTAGCTAGCATCCGCGGTTTCCCGAATGTTGAGAACTTCATATAAACACCGTAAAACCTATATTAGAAGGGCCCCTTTAATGGAAGGGTCCCCGTAATAAATAGGCCCTCCGGCGTATAAAAGAAAGTGGTAAAATAAATTCAAAACAGAACAGGTGAAAAAATGATTCTCTAGTTTTCAAGGGGGATATCTGAATCCTCAATGGTACACATTCTCCGACCATTAGAATTCATGCCTTGTGTTTTTTGAATGTCTTATGATAAAGAAAAAATGTAATATTCAATAAGTGTAGCATTTGAAAATCTGAATATGTGCAAGTTCAAAAATATCCTAACCTCAGTATCAAAATCCGAGAATTATTAGAAGCCGAATATTATGATCAGTTCTGAGCTAAAAAAATTCACTTAAAGTTGGCGGCTGGCGGGGCATTCTATTAGCGTTTTCAACTACTTTCACCTGAAAACCGGAACTTCAAATATCCTGATTGTCATGGGAAAATTGAAACTATTAGTTTCGCTAAAATCTTTTCTGTGAGTTCTTTCTAGATTTTAAAATAAATATGTCCTCAAATTCGCTTGTTACAGTGAAATTTCATAACTTTGCATCACGATCATCATATTCCTGTAAAACATTTTTTCTGAGTGAACAAAGTTTATGATTTTAATGATTTCATAACAAACACCTACTCCAACTGAAACTTTGGAACAGCGAATTCTAAACAAATACTATATCACAGGCAAGGTCACTACCGATTGGCATGAAAGTAAGAAAGGCGGCCATTAAAATAGACGACTTCTGTTCCAATGTGACTTTGTATCATTTTTCTGTTTATCAATCAGTAGATCTACGAACTTTTTTCTCATTTTTTGTTTAGTAAAATCCATTCATATGCTCCATTTGGCATTCATACAGTTTTTTTGTTAAAAAAAAGAAATATCAATATATTTTGATTTATATCGTGGTTAATTACTTCGTTTAATTTCTCAGAGAAACACTCACAGCTCCAACATAAAAGGGCTTGCTATTGCCAAAAATAATCATCTCGAGAAAATCTTAGAATAGCACGACAGATACATTAATCACGTTTCAATCCCGCGAAGCACATTTAAAAAATTGCGGCTGTGTCAGATAATGACAAAGAAACATGAACGAAAATTGGTGACAATGTGCAATGAGGTCTTTTTGCCGTTTTCGAATGATTCCATGACCCTCATTCATTCTTTTTTAGGCACTCAGATAGCATAAATTTCAATTGAATACTCCTTTTTGAACAATAATCATTTTCTTGACTAGCTGATGTGGTAACAGAACAATTTCTTTACAGCAGGAGAGGATTAGGTATTTTGATATTTTAATATAGCAGGAGAGGATTAGGTTGGATTCTAACGAAACAGTGGAAATCTCCTAATTATAAGTTACTCTGCCCGTTTGCAGTACATCTTCACGGTCCCGTCTATTACCTTACTGAAATTTGGCACATGCTATACGCTTCGGTTTTTACACACTCGAATCAAAAATATTTCAGGATAAATTAACAATTTTTCGCTTTCTGTATATCTTAAAGCATGATAATTCAGCAAGTGCCAATAGTTTTCCAATATCAAGTGGTATGTTTCTTTCTCTATACTAAAAATTTTCAATAAATTTAAAGTTTTACAGCCGGCACTAACCGAACTGTTTCATCTAAGCCAAAAAGCAAAAACTGAACTGGTTCGAACTAATTCTTTTTTTTAAACATTATTATATACAACTTTTTCAGAAAAATCATGGAAAACTCGACAGTCTTATTGCTTCAGCAGTTTCTCGTCTAGAAAACAATGTAGCTGTTCTTCTACTCATTGCACTGATGCCACCAACTCAAAAACTACGGTCAGTTGCTGAAACAGCGTTTGAAAATCTGCAAAACTTGCAAAACGAAGGGTTTTTTCCAACTTTATAAACTATGACCTCAATTATTGCTTCCGTAATTTCTCCAGTCTTTTTAATCTTCATAATGATAATTCCAAAACTTCTGGGATTCTTTTTTGTCTCTTATTCCCTTTCCAATCTGCTTTCAGTTGTCATTCAAACCATTTAGGGATCTTTATTATTTATCCAAAGTTTTTCCGAAGCGTGTGTACTTTAAAACTTTGTTTTCTATTTTAATTTTTTTTTCATTTTCATCAAAACAAAACATAATTTCCGGTTAATATCGAAAGTCCAAAAATTTTGATTTAGTACATAACAAAACAACATTTTCCCAGAGCGTAGTGCAGATACATTCTCTTGTCACAACCCAATAGTTATCATTATTTCAGATTTCATAGGAAAACTTTCAGTTTTTTTCCGATCTGGTTTTTAAATTTTTCACGCGTTTAGAGGCTCAAATAAAGTTTATTTTCACTTGAAAAATCAGAGTCCTTTGAAAACATTATGAAATATTGCGAGAATTGTTCGAAATTTTCGTGAAAGTTCCAGTTTTCACCGATTATCCGTTTCTCGCAAACTTTGCCTTTATCAAAAATTTGTTTGCATTTTCAATGGACCCCAAAATTTTTTCGAAAAGACAGGATAAAATTATTCAGAACCCGGGCCGAGTCGAGAAAATTCTGAAATAGGCCAGTCGTAAATAAACCGTAAAACCTCGATTACAAGAAACGTACGATAATGCTCGATTTCAAACATTATATATTGAAAGGGGCCCTTCTATCACAGAGGGCTTTTTTATTTTTCCAGACCCTTTTTGGAGAGCCTTTCTAATAGAGGGGCCTTTCTGTTAAGTGGGCCCTTTTAATACAGGTTTTTGTTTTTCTAATACAGGTTTTTTTAATACAGGTTTTTGTTTCTCGTAAAAATTATTCAATGTAACCAATCAATTTTTTTCTATGGTAGTTTTGAAAAATCGACTTTTTACTCGAAATCTATTTTTTTGGAATTTTGATTAAACTATACTATACACAAAATTGCCGAGTCCTTTCACGTTAATAATGGGTTTGAAGCTCTTCTTAGAAGTCCCGGCACACTACTAGCAGTAATTGGTACCTTTACTTTGAGGTATGCTCCTCCAGTTTTCACTGTTAATGAGAATTTGGATTTTGTCCAGACAAAAATCGGATTTTCGGCAAGATTGAAGCATACGTCAAAAGAGGTTTAGCAAAGAAAAAGACACAAAAAGTATATTAATTTTTTCGAAAGTATTCGCTACAATATAGAGTCATTCAAGCGAGTACAAAAAATTATGCAGAACAAAAATGTATTTGCACTTTTTGTCTACCAAAACTGAATTTAGCTCAATTTCGTTATTTTAATTTTTGGTATTTAACGTCCAGAAACTAAGATTCGAAAAATCAATCTTACTACCTTTTTCAAATTAGCGCCATTTTCACACATTGCTATAATCATTTTCTAAATTTCTTTAACCAATTCGTCTTCAGAAACACCAAAATGCAGCAACCAGAAGAACCAGAAATCCGTTTCAATTTGACACGAGCAGCTTTGGTTGGTTACTTCATTAAAAACTGATGGAAAAATTTTTTCAGTATTACTACAATAACCTTCTCCATGGCTGCAATACTCAGACTTGCTGTTTGGTAAGATTTCTTTTTCGAAAATAATAAATTAATTTTTAAGGACTTCCGGGTTTCTGTAGAAAACAAATTTTGTAATATTTAAATGCAATGATGTCGCTAAAACGTTTTACATGAAATGAATCCAGATTTCCTAACACTCATGTATAAATTTCAGGCTCGTTTGGGAATGGCTGGCACTCCACGCTTCGAAGAGCTCACCCACGCTTGCCGTCTTTTGCGTCTTATTCTCAACGTGGGAAGACAACTCTTCAGTGCCAACGGTTATTTCATTGTCAACAGCAAAATTCAAGAATTCGACCGCATCGACCGTGATTTTATCTTCTGAGAACTTCGTTTCTCCTGGAATACCTAAACTTTCTGATCTCTTCTGTTGCTTTTCTATTTCTTAGTATTTATCATATGAAAAACACATTCTCAGAGCTACTCCGATCCAAACAAATCCTAAAATCCTTTAGACCGAAATCTCCTCAATTCCACATTCATTTGTTCAAATGTTATACTGTTACGTCGTTTATTCAACTCTTCCATCTTCTCGGCTTGTTCTGAAACTAGAATTTTTCTAATATTTTTTTTAAATCTAAAACAAGCTTTCAGCGTTGCAATATCCAGTATAGCTCCTATTTTGATTGTCTTCATCCTAACTATGTTTCCATCCGACATCGTAGGTCTATAGCTCAACTCACTCTTTTTATATGTATATCTTAAATGTTGCCTTGTTTTTCCCTAACTTTGATGCAGTTGTAAAAATTTTTTCCTACCCTCGCCGCCCTATGAATCTTATTATTCTACAACCCTACTCGTCTGTATATTTTTCCTCAACTGTTCCTCTATAGAACGTCATCATTGCCCCCGTTACTTACTTCCTACTATTTTCCCAGTTTGATCTGTTAATTTCGTCCAGTATTACTCGTTTTGATACCTTTTCTCCCCCATTTTCGCTTCCTCTTCGCGTCCGGTATGATTTTTTCATATCTAATTTTTTTGAAAGTTTTCCCTCCTTAACCTAAAATCAGATTGGCCTCGTGGAAAACATATTCTAAGTCTTAAAGATTTTTCCCTCTTAATTGCACGATCAACAAACAAATTACATTGTTTTTTAAAATCTACTCCTGAGCCACAAATGCAAAAGCGTTAGTGTTTTTTTCATACGACGGGTTTAACTTGTAAGCTTCAAAAAATAAAACATCTGAGTGGTGACATTAAAAAAAATAGGTTATTCATTAGGTCAGCAACCGATTATGTGAAATTTGAACGATAAATTGAAAAACATTTTTTTTTTGGGGTGTAGTTAAAGGATAAAATAGGTTTCGAAGATTGGACGATGTTCGTATTGCGCAACTGATTCGCTCCACAATTCCCTAGATGTCACGTGGACCAATATTGTCATCTTCTCCCTCTGGGCGCCCTCCACTCTTTTTGATGGCCTTTGCTTCACTCTATAAAGAAGGAAAGGAAAACAAGGTAAGTTTTAGCATGATGTCATTATTATGAAGATTGCTACACAAATGTTACCTCGGCGATTTCTTGCTCAGATCCGATCGCCGCATTGACGGAAACGTTGGTTGCGTGAACGGTCTCATCGCAAGTTGGGATTCCCTGAAAGTATTATTATGTATATCAATTGCCAAACAAAACTTGGAAAAATGATCTACTAGAAATCTCAAATAGTATTCTGACTTTGATTGTGCTTTTTTTCTCTGCTCATGAACCAACCTCGATGCGAAGATTTGCGAATTTAACAACCAAATCATTGCATCTCTTCTCTAATTGATCTACACTTTCGAAGGTTGTTTTGAAGTCATTGACCATTTTCTTGATCACGTTTTGTTGGGTTTTTATGATGAGCATAGCTTGACTGTATCTCTCACGCAACTGGTCTCTTTCACGGATGACTTCATCGAGTTGCGCGTTAAAGTTGGTTCCGGGCATTTTCTGAAAAAAGTTATATTTGTTGCTTAAAAACCAGAAAAAAAAACAAAAAAGTATCGAAGAAACAGTGCACAGACCAAAAATAAGAAATGAAAAAGAAGCTACAAAAAGTAACTTCCTGATTTCTGGAATTCAACAAATCTCACTCGGAAAGAAGTAAATGAAAATCTTAATTATACTTTTCGAAAATGAAATGAAGTGATCAGATAGAGTTGGGCGGCACTCACCATAGCAACAAATTATAAGTTGCCAGGAAACTTCAGTAAACATAAACAAATTATAGAAAAAGGAAAACAGAGATCTCCGCTTTGCTGATTGTTTTCGACTTCATTTAAAAGTTTATAAATACGATGGAACCAACCTAGACACAATTTTCAAATTAAGGTTTTTATGATGAAAATTTCGAAGAACTGTAAACAAAACTAACAATGTTGTCGGATTCTCACCCGGTTTTTCTCTTTCAAACCTTTGAAGCATAAAGTGATCATAATTTGAATATTTCGCCATGTAAAATAAAACGCGTTCTGTCGCAACAGCGCCAAAACACGGGGCGGGAAGCTGTCAATTTGTTTTTCTTGGCCCTATTTATTATTCTTGTCTAGGAGAGAGACACCGTGTGGTGACTCCTTCTTTATATCCCTTACAGTTTCATTTGTTTCCTCGTTTTCTAATTTTGTCGTTGATTTTCCCGAGCGTCGGCTCATTTTTCCCTTTTCCTCGTTCATGAAAAATCGAAGGCAGATAAAAAAAGTCTATAGTTTCTCAAATTCCGAATATCAAAGCCCGATTAATTGAAAAAGTTTGAGGTGGGTAAATAAGCTTTTGCTCTTGTCGTCCATTTCGATATTTCAACTGTTGTTCGATCGTTGAAAGTTTCTCATTTTCTTTTTTTGAATATATTTTTTAAAAAAAGATCTAGTATTAACCATCAATCAAGACAACATGAGTTATATCGTTTTTGGCTTTTCCCAGGTTTTCCAAGCATTTATCCCTCACAGTTTTCAGACTAGACTCATTTCTGTGCGAATATTTTTTTGCCTATCAAACAACAGAACATTTGTAGTATAGCGCACTGTGTTCTTCATTTTTGATAAATAATTCGGAGGGTTCAAAACTTTTGGGGTCATTGGGGTACAAAGCAATTCAGGGGTACAAACTGCTCTATCCAGGAGCACGAAATACCTGAAAAATCAGAATTTTGTTCCTCCAAATTGTAAATTTTTTACCGTTAAACCACTTTGTATCCCCTTGCACTCCCGAATTGTTGCACCCGCCGAATTCATTGCCCTTCATTTTAGCCTCTAACTGACAGTTAGCATAATTTGAGCACAATACTCTCTTATCATTCGTATGTATTCATCAACAACTGATAAAAAGACAAAATCAATTGTAGTTCGTAGTTTTGAATCAACATTTTTAAAGATTTTCGCATAAATTTTAGAATTTTTCTTTTTCTCTTCGAAGATGGAATTCCTCGTGAATGTCCTCGATAACCTGAAAATAAGATGATTTCCCGGATACATTTTGAATATGTTTCATTCTTCATAGTTCTAAAAAGCACATTGTTATCGCTCATCCTTCTACTAATATTGAAAAATGAACAACATACACAATGCCCCTAACCTGCCGTCTGTCCGCTCCACATCAACCCATCTAACATGTATAGACGAGTTGTCGTCGGGCGGACAGGACCAGGTTGACCCTTCCAATCAGTCTGTTATGGTTGCCGACCCGTTCTACGTTGTGTGTGTGTGTGTGTGTGTGTTGTGTGAGAACACAGTGAGGGAAAGCGTTTTACGTAATTTGTGAAGAGACGCAGGCAGAGAAAGGAGGGGCACGTAGTCAGTCGCACCTATTGTTTCCCGCGTTCATTACGCAACAAGAGACGATTGGCAGTTTTCTTGTTTGCCACGTCTTTCCAGAATTGAGATTTGAGGACCACATTTCTTCGGAATGGGAACCCTCTGTTCCTTGTTTTCTTACGAAAATCTATTCCTGACGGGAAATATTCTCATTTTTTATTTCATTATTAGCGCCTTCCATTTTTCGAATAGACTATTTTCCCAGTGTTAGGCTGTTTTCACCGTTTCTTCCTTTTTTATTGATTTTTTCGGAACCCTTATGAAAATCCAATGAAGAACGCAAAATTTTTTTTAAGTGTTAAAAAGAGTAATAGGCAAAAAACAATTTAAAAGTTGCTTATTCATTTATTTATTTTTCCGATTTTCCGAGAAGATTTGAAATTTTTTTTTTGCAAAAAAAATTCTCTAAAATATTCCAGCAAGACTGTTGAATATCTACCTTCTTCTTCTTCTTTTTGCTCAACTGATCTTATTTGTCAAAATATGTTGTTTCTCAGAATCTCAATAATTCTTCAACATCATCCAACGGATAATGCCGCCAAAACGCCAAACTCCAAAGCCAGAGAATGGTCCCAAGGAGCCGAGCGCCGAGCAATTGAAAGTGGACCGTTCGTTCGCAGCTATGAAGCTCGAAAAGTGCTCTGGCAAGGAAGATTTAGAAGACCGGCCGTTCGTGTTCACCGCCGAGTCGCAACTGGAGCAGGGCTTTCCACTTTATGGATGCGCTTTCAATCCATATGTGAAACCTCAACACCGCCAAATGGTTGCGGTTTGTGGAGGAATCGGAGTAAGTGGATTATATTTTATTTAAACCAAAACTGTCCAGCGTTATACCCGTATTTGTCACGGCCCGTGAAATATTTTGAATCTGGAATTTCAAAAACTCTGGAAATTTTTTTTTATTTTGAATATTCAAAACTGGTGTAAGCCCGAGGCATGGTAACAAATTTTTCATAGTCGGGAATTAAACTTCTTCATGGCTCAACAAGTACGGTTACACCGGGCTGGTGGAACACAACTAGTTTAGTTTCGATCTAGAAGCGATGAAAATTCTAGAATTTGCAGATCTCTGCTTGGATACATTAACTTTTTTTTCAAAACTTCAATTTTCAGGCTCATGTCTTCCTCGTCCCACATGATAAGAACAGGCTTGAACATATTTGGGGAGTCTCCTTCGAACAACCAGCAGATCCAACAAAGAAGGACCGAAAGGAGGAATTGCTCACTGTCACTTGGGCATATGACACCTATGATGCCGATCAGGGCCGTGCAGCCTTCAGAGTCGTGGTCGCTGGTGTTCTGGGCCACATCTATGTAGTTGATTTTAAGACTAGAAATCTCTGCAACGTGAGTTTTACTGAGAACCATGAATAAAATAGTTTGACAAAACAACATTTCTCAGAGACTCCGCAGTTACGGAGGAGATATCAACGACATCCGTGTGAGCCCAGCCGACTCTAATCTGATTGCTGGAGCATCGTCAGATCAGACGATTCGGATCCACCATATCCGCAATCAAGGAGCACTGATCACGATCGGAGGTCCATTCAGCCACCCAGGACCAGTTCTCTCAGTTGTAAGTCGTTTTTTGCGCTCTTGACTGTGTTTCAATTTTTAAACATCACGTTTCAGGACTGGAACTCAGAAGGAACCTATCTCCTCAGCTGTGGATTCGACCATCAAGTCATGAAGTGGGACCTCACCGCTGAGCCGGCGAAAAGCTGGCTTGAGAAGACTTGCAAGGAGCTGGAGAAAGGGAAAAAGGATATTTATTTCCAATCCGGATTGGACCAAAAAAGGTTAGGATTTGTCATGAAATAATATTTAAAATAATTCAATTATTTTAAAGAGAGCCCGTCAAAGCTGGAGTGAAGAAATGCGGAAGAGACAAGGACAATGAAGTCCTTCGGGAGGTCGAGGCGTCTCTCCATCGTCCGCAGTAAGTGTTTGATATTTCTAAGACGAAAATGAAGTTTCTGCCGCTTCTCTGGAGCAGGAATTTTTTAAAACACATTGTCTTAACCTGCGGGAAGGAACTACTGTGCTTAAAATTTCTCAAATTTCTTGCCGGTGTTAAGCACTGTGTTAAACAAAAAGTTCTTGGCACTGGGTAGCGGCTTTTTTAAATGTGAGAAAATTGGAACTCATAACTAGCCAAACTGAGAATTTCTTTTATTTCAGCGACAACACCTTGGAGCTCTACACTCCAGTTGCGCAGATCTCTGACTTGCACCATGATTACATGGACTGTATCAGAGTTCTGCCAGATTCTGATTGTTTTGCTTCCAAAAGCGTGTCCTACGATCCCCATCTGAATATTTCGAAGCTGGGACTTCCTGGAAATATGCGCACACACGATAGAGGAGCTCCTCTTGAACCGGAAAGGAACGCTTTCCCCCTCATGTGGTTTGCAATCGGAGAAGGTAAAAGGTGGTTCCACAAGTTCTCGATCGATCCCAAGAGAAGATGGATAGCTGGAGGAGGGGATGAAGGAAGTATCATGTTCTTCGATCTCAATGATGAACAACACACTGAAGATGGAAAATACATCACGTGAGTTCAAAATCTCGATGAAAAAATAAAGTTTTGTAATACCATTCAACCGTTTTCAGAAAACCGGAACCAAACCCTCCAAAACCATACAGCGACCAGCCAGCGAGCTCTGAAAGTCTTCCGCATCCTTCAAGGTGAGAACGATTAATAATAAACTGAGCCACATGATTCCTGGATTTTCAAATTTTGCCATCCCAGAAACGAACAGAACTAGTATAGTGGAAAAATGTTTTAAAAATTGGTACCAAAGTTTTTGAAAAAAACAAAAATTGACTTTCGTATAAACCTGGTTTCTAAAAATTCTTTTTTTTTCAGGGTCCGGTACTACAAAGTATCGGATGTCGGGATTCGCAATGTGGATTTCTCTCCTTGTGGTCGTTACGTCGTTGCGGTTACGGAGGAAAGCTCCATCATCCGCATGGATCGAGTCGCTGAAGACGTCGCAGTGGACAAGCTGACCGAGTACTTGGGAGTCATGGGTATCACTAAGTAACTCTTACCCGTCGAAATTTTCTGTCACCCCAAGAAATCCTCTCTCCCACCTCCTACCTCCTTTTTCTCTCGAATCTCCATATTTTTCCTCCTGCTCATTTGGTCATCTCGCTTATTGTTCACACCGTAATCCTTCCCAGAACGGTTTTTTTCTCAGATCGTATCTCTCCCACACATTTTAAATCCTTCACGTGTTTCTATGTCAAATGTAATCCTGACTTTGGTCAAAAAGGTTTCCATCCAATTTTTATCGTATTCTTCAAAAATAAAAGAATTGTAAGATCAACAGATTTTTTTTCAAACAAGCAATGAAACACTTTTTCTAATTTCAGGTGGAACAGGGACAATTTTTTAAAGCACAGTTTTTAAAATCACATAGAATTAAATAGTCGAAGAAATAGTCGTTTCTCACGAAATACCGTAAACATTCTGATAGAACGCTACTCGCAGGAACCGAGATATATGGGCTTAAAATTGACGGTTTGTGTGGTTTTCTATTAGGGTGTTTACGGTATCTCCTTTCCTACAAAAGGCATCAATTTTTTTCAACAGTTCAAATTTTTGTTAATAAGTCAACAACTATTTGTCTGTTTATAATTTTTTTGATATCTTTTTTCGGAACCGAGATAACTGAGGTCGGAGTGCAATCCCCTGGATTTTAAAATTTTCACAATCGAAACCTGTGCGTACGTACTACTTCTAGCGCGTCGATCCTCGTACGAATTTTATGCGGTTGTTAAATAAGTTTTTTTTGAAAATCTAATAAATTTTTGGGGGGTCTCGAAGCGCTAGGGGTCGTACGGTGAACTAGTGCAGTTTTGACTGCAAATTGTCGATCTTAGAGAATTGGCGTTATTGTAGTGCGCGTTCTGAGCCTTAAAAATCCCAGATTTGAGGATTTTAAGGGAAAGTGAAGAAGGATAAGCGGAAGAAGCGAAGAGTTTAAGATCAAGTGCGTCAGTGCTGTCGGATTATAGAGAGTGTGTGTTCTAGAAGCGCATTGCTCGTACACTAAGATAAACTTACAGACTGGTTAAATATTTAAAATTCAAAAATGAATAAAATCTAATTTTTCGTTTGAAAAGAAAACTATAATTCAACCTTTAGCTATGAATAAATTTCTAAAAGATGATGATTACACCAGTTTTCGAGAAGGTGTTTCTAGTTGGCTTCTAGTTCTGAATTTTTTACTAACTGTCGAGAGACAGATTGTTTTTTGAAACCCTGATAAATTTAGACATGAAGACGGAATACATAGTTCGCGATCATCCATCAAAGTTTGCCAATATTGCCAATTGGTTACAACCCGCCAATGATGGCCCTAGAAGAAGACATTAAGAGGCAATTAGTAAAGATAAGAAGTTTTTCTCGTTTCTGAATCCCTATCTCATTCTCAGAACGGTTAAAACTTTACACTGTCTCTAATCTTCACGAAACCCTCGGAACATGCAATAGACGACCTTGCCAGTGACCGTTGTTTACACGATTTGTTTGCCTCTTTAATATTCTTTACCTAGCTAACAGCAATTGATATGTATTCCATTCGTTTTTTATACTAGATTTGTATATGAAAAAAATGCATTTTTAATCCCACATGGATCATATTTTATACGTTGTCGTGTTTCATGAAAATTTGACAAATAATTCTCTTTTAGCTGCATGATTGCTCGTTCTGTTTGTGTTGTTCTGGCCTTGAACTGCCAAATCATGTAACAGTTTTTTTTTCATGGTTCCATTCCGATTTTTAATCTTTTAATCAGTATTTTTTCTACATGTAATCACTAGGAAAGATACTTTAGTAGTTTTGTATGCGATTGGTTTTTAATCTTTGTGGAAAACAAATAATAGCAGAATTTGGATGTGCAAACGGGTGTTTGATTCTTGTTTCTGGGACACCTCCTGAAAATAGTGAAAACTGAAGACGAACAACAATAATGATTGTCCTCGATTTTGTTATTGTTGATGAGTTCTAGATGTTTACCCTAACTATATATCGCTGCTCTTAAATCCATTGCTTCTTTTCAGTCAAAATTTAAAAAAAACAACCGTTTTATTTTGTAATGAGATTTGATTTCATCAATTTTACTATATTTCAATAGAAATGTCAATTTCGCTTTCCAGGATAAATTCCGAACAGCTCGGATTTCCAACTTGTTGTAATGCCGGCTCTTCCAAGAAAGAACATGTCAAAGGAGACGGAGGTAAACTGAAATGTTCTTATTGTCCTTAAAGTTTTTGAAAAATTTCAGGGCTACGTTGTCTCTTCTCTGAAAGCTATGAAGCACATTGTGAGTTGAATAGCACTTATTAAACCTAATAGCTATTTTTCAGATAAAAACGCATCCAAACGTCAACCCCATCAGCAAACACTTCTTGCAGCAAATGAAACTCATTCTGAAAATCAACGATCTTCGCCCGAAAAAACAGCGTCGAGATGAAATCGTCAGAATCGCATGGGATGTTAATCTATGGGCAGTCGAGAACAGACTTCTGGATGGCAGAAACAAACCACGACGACGACAAAGATTGACAAATTGATAAAATCGGTTTTTTCAGTGGTCCGAGGTATCAGTAAAAATTAGTTGTTCATGTGACCAGTTTGTGTGACTTCCTTTATTTTTTGAAACCTGTGAAACTCCTGAAACAAAAATCCAGAATTTTTTATTTTTATATTGAATAAATGAGCATTTCTAATTTCAAACAATGTTAAAGGACAAAAAGGAAACTCCAAAGAAAAATGAACATAATCCTCAGAAACAAGTTTGGGGTTTGAGGTTTCAAATTTCAACTTTTAATAACCAGAGATAATTCGAAAACAAAATAAGAAATAAAAACCTGATAACCGGCAAGCATGAGCAATTTGTGATCACAATTTTACAATGGCTTCGCTGTTAGGTTTTCCTACATTCGGATTCTGCTTGTTTTTCTCGACGTCGTCTTCTTTTTCTTTGTTGTCTGGCAGTTCGTGCAGCTGAAAAACGATGAATGTATCGAAAAGTCAGAAAAGAACTATTGAAAAACTATATGTACTATCACCGTAAAACATGTGATAAGAAAACTCCTTGATTTTTACCTTTGAGACAATTCATCACGATTTTTGTCAGAAAAAATTGTCAATTTATGAATTGTTGATATTTTATCAGTTGGCAAACTTTTGATATATTACCGACGGGCCAAAAAATGAGCTCAAACTTGGGAAGACCGTTTTATCATAGTTTTGAAGGCAAGTGGGTGAGAATTAGTTTTCTAAACAGCCATTTGAAAAATTTTAGATTCTGTTTTTAAATAAAAATCAAAAATTACATACCTCTTTTTCTATTTTTCGTAGCTCTCCTTTGCGTCGTTGAGTTTCTTCCAATTCCTTGATCTGCCTCTCACATTCATCTCGTAAAGCGATCATCTTCTTTTCTTGTTTAACCAAGTTATTATATGCTCGATTGAACTGTCTTATATCTTCAGCTCTTCTCCATTCCTGGAGACTGACGACATCAAACATCCTAAGGTTTTTCTCCAGAAGGTTGTGCTCTTTGTCCGCCATTGAGCCAAAAATTAGTTGAAAGAGGCTTCGAGGAGCTGGAAATATGGGAATTTATCGGGAAATCGTGAAAACGAAATGTATTATCGAAAAAGCACAAAGATGGAAAAAAAGTTGACAGAGAATAATCGTACCAAGGACGCGGAACAGCTGGAATATTGCTACTGCGGGACACTTTAAACATATTTCTATCTTTTTCTGTTGCGTTGTTTACCAAAAAGATGGTAGCAATTTTTAAAAAAATGTTCAGTATTGATGATATGGCACCATTTACACTCGAGTTAGTTTTAATACATTTCGGGAACAAAAAAAGTACAATCCTCAAACTGAGAACAATCTCTTAATGATGGAAAAGTTGTTTAACTTCAAAAAATAGTCCAATTATTAGGTTGACTCATAAATTTTGGCAATTTTGTCAAAACATTTAGGTCTCCATATTTTGAGATCATGTGTAGTTCGATTTGGGGTGTATGGTAAGTTCGTTTTCTTTTTTTCTGGGGTTGGTGCAAAATTTCAAATATAACTTTTAAACTTTCTAGAATTAGGATATAGCTTATCCACTTTTCAACTTTTGAGCCAAAAATTTCTTTTACATATTATTTGCAATGTACGGAAAATTTTCAAATTACATAGATTTATTCATAATTTGAATGCACTGTATTTTTGATAGAAAATACTGGACGAGATCACAGAACTTTAAAAAAGGGCAAAATGAATTTTGGATGGCGAACAACAATTAATTATTGGTTTGCTTCTCCTCTTCTGTCCTCTCCTCCATTACTTGGTCATTGTGCTCCATCTCCTCAACCACTGGCTCTTCAACGTGCTGAACAGCGCCACGACCAACCTAAAAACTAAAAATTAGCATGAAACCAAAAAAAAGGGGGAAAAAAGATTTTGAAGAATTACTCACATCAAGATTGAGGTTCATCATCTCCTGACGAATTTGCTGCTCGGTGGTGTCCGTGTTGGCGTTGTTATTGAATTCGTCAATTTGTTGTGCAAGTATTCTGAGGCGCTCCTGACGTCTGTTCAGAGCCTCCATTCTCTCGTGCAGCTCTCGAAGCTCTTGTCGAGCGTTCCGATGGAGAATTTCAACAGCCTCCATAAGTCGCTCGGCACGTGCTGGATCACTGAGGTATTTGAAGGCAGCTGGATGTTCTCTCATTCTGAAATTTGTAAAGATTCAAAATTGAGAGTGAGAAAAAAATTAGCAACAAATGAAAATAAGTTATATTTGATGCGGGTAACCGAAAAGGAAAAAAAAACAGGAGAAATAAAATCATTCTTCTTCAGAATATGAATTTACTCGTAACTAAGAGAGAAGAATACTATGAGAAATAATTTGTAGTTGAGCAAATGGAGAGAGTTATATATAAGCTTTTGCCAGAAGACAAAATTTTAGTCAAATCTATAATGCACTTCATAAGAGTAACGTAGACAGAAATTGTAAGCACAAAATTTTTAATTGACGCACGAGGGTGTGTGCCTAGAGCTTTGAAAAACTCTGATTCTTCAATTCTGAAGAGATTACTGACGTCAGACAGTGGTTGGTTAAAAAAACCGACTGAATCTTAGAAATTCTCTCGTGACTTCACAGCTTCCGGTTTCTAAATGGAATATTGATGACGATGAAAACATTGTTGGAACTGAAATAGTTTGTCTTAAAGGGGGATGTTCTCTTACATGGATCACATTATTGCAAAATGTCAGTATATTACGTCAGGAATATAATAGTAAGAAATGGGAAATTTCAAAAATAAATTCGTTTTTCAAAATTTTGTTTTGCCAGAAAACTATCCAGAAAGTCTCTTTTAAAAAATCCGAATGAATGGTGTCAGATTTTGCTTTCGGGAAACATAAAATAATCTCAGCACAAATATGTTTCTTGTAATATACGTTCTAGTGTCAGAAACTAATTTTGGAGGAAACAAAATTTCTAAAAAATTTTATCACTTTCTTCTCCATGACTTTCCATGAAACAAGTTGAAAACCGATAGAAAAATCGAAAAATTCAAATTCGTCTGGGGAGACACGTCTCTTTTTATTGGTGAGAAGAATCTGAAGCTGTTTTCTTGCTTTTCTAATATTTTTCTCTCAATGAATACTTTTTGAGGGTTATGATGAGAGGGCGTAAGAAACGGTGAGACACACAAGGCTAGGTGTCCTGGGCTCCTTTCGATCCACTCAGAAAAACAAATCCATGTCACAAAACAAGTCAATAGAGGTGAGAGTTGTAAAAATAGTAGGTTGAAGGAAAATTTGAGATAATGGCAAAACTCTCAAAGGTGTTGTGAGTAGCGAATGTGAAAAAAAATTAAATAACATTTTTTGGGCAAACATAAGAACTGGCGAGTTTAGGACAAAAAAATAAAGGTGAGAAATTATTAGTTTGTAGCAGGGATGTTTGGAAAGGAGTTCCAAATTTTGAAAATTCCGAAAATTCCAACCATTTTCGGAATAAAATACCGACCGGAATTTTTCCGAAGCATTTTTTCGGAACTAAGAATTTTGACTACTCGAACAGAATTGATTTTGATATTTTTTCTGCTCTCGAAATCTCTCTGTCAATTTTCAAAAGATTTTTGCGTTTTTGTGATGGGAAAATAAAATTTCCGCTTTAAATTCGACTTTTGAAAAATTCCGAAACTTCCGTAATTTCGAAAATTTTTAAAAAGGGATTATTCCGGAGTTCCGAAATTCCAAATTTTTGAAAACCGAAAAGTTCCAAATATCCAAATATCCGAAATTCCGAGATTCTAAAAATAGGAAAATTTTGATTTTCCGAAATTCCAATATTTATAAAATCGCAATTTTCGACACTCCGCAAATTCGGAAAAGGTCATTCCGAACATCTCTGGTTTGTAGTGGTAGTTTAGAAAAATACAAAACTCTCAAAATGTGATGTGATAATTCAGTTAGATTAGAATTTTTGGGTGAGCAGAAGAGCTGGTGAGTCCGGAATGAAAACAAAAAATTTTCAGCGACAACGTTGGCTTCCAAACTCAAAATATGTTTTTCTCAAGCCATTTCCAAATTCACAAATCTTCAGCTGAAATTACATCAATTGAACGACAGTCCATTTTTGGACAATCAACTACCCTCAACTGGGCTAGAATAATCGTGATGAGAAAGTTAGGCCATGTCGGCAGAATGAGAAGTTTTTTGTCGAAAATTTTCGACATTTGTTTTTTGAGAGTTGACACGACACGATTCATTGTCGGGTCGTTACTCCCATTTTGAATATCTTTCCATGTTGTGACATCCAATATAATAAAATTAACAAATTTATTAGCTGAGGAAAATGAGAAGAGGGAGGAAAAAACACCAAATACATCAATTTATAATTTCCTAGTAATAATTCAAATCCTCAAATATTGAATTTTTATTTGTTTATGATGTCGGTGGAGGTTCCGGGCGATCACCTTGAGCAGCTGCTGCCTGAAAACTATTTATATATATTATCTCTAAATATTACTGTTGTGGCAGTTTGATGAGAACAAATCTTTATGCTTGAAAAATGAGGGCTCGGTTTTTTAATCTTGGAATTTTCATTTGAACCCGGCCCGTTTTAAATATGCGAATATCTTACCTGGTTGTTTTTAATCTCTTCAAGTCTTTCAACTGGAACAAGAGCTCCTTCATGTTCGACAACCTCATGGCGAATGAATCCATCACGATTTCCTTGGCTCCAGCGCATGATAACGTCGACCATGTCGTCGATACTTCTATTCCGTAAGTCGACAACGAGAACTTCGGTGAGATTTTGTTGTTGTGCTCCGTTTTGTGGAGCTTCTTGAGCTTCCGGTTCGTTTTGTCTCAAAATATTCAAGTTTCCAAAAACTTGAACCAAAGGCACCACAGTAAGAATTGGCTCTTCTTTTGGCTCATTGTTCGCATCGTCGTCGAGAACCATGACTGGTTCGGCTGGTTCGGGTGGACCGTCCGCAGGCTCTTCCTCTCTAGAAGAGATTGTCTGGGTAATAGGCTTCTTGACTTTTCTTTGCCCCATTTTGATTTCTGAAAATATACAGTAACGTACAAGAACACAGGGATTGGGAAAAAATTGGGAGACAGAAATTATAATTGTTGTCGGAATATTGAGAACTGCATAAACTGAAAAACTGGTGAAACGAGATTATGGACGGCTGAGCTCAGCAGAGAAGCCAATAAATGGAATATTCAAAATATGAAACAACCAGAGTGCTCGCTAGGAAAAAACGGAAATTAGAAAGAAAAAGAGAGCACTTTGAAGTGGGAGGGTGACAAGTGGGGATAATAAGCCACATTAATCCTTTAGCTCCCCAGAAGTTTCTGATAGCCAAATGGGGATACTTTTAATTTCCTGGGATTGAACGGAAAACAGGAGTTAATAGGAAAGAAAGGGGTGAATAAGAACAAAAATAGGGAAATTAGAAATTGGAGTAAACTACAGAACTTCATTTGATTTGTGTTTTGGATTTTGATGAGAAAAATTAGAACCATAATTCGTTCCTTCATTTCAATTTAATACCCAAAAAGTCCTGAGAATTTCAAGGAGAATATTACTCGAGTTCAGCAAAGCTCAATGCAAAATCAGTAATGTCGTATTCCAAAAAATAAATCCAGAATGATGCAATCTTTGAAGTACAAAAAGTAATACTCTACTGATGACATGTATGAGTATGCTATAGGCATGCATTTTGTACTTGGTAGTACTAATCCTGTTGTTGACTTCTGGATCTTTAAACAACCAGTTTGAAGATTCGGAGATTCAGATATTCTTAAACATTTAGAAGATGATTATTTTTATCAGATGATGAAGGTTAACAATTCTTAAGGTGCGAAATTTCGAAGCATCAAAATTAAGATTTTGAGATTTGGATATTTGATGATTCTAAGAGTTTGGAAATCTGCGTGTCCAAAATTAAAACATTCTGAGAATTGTCTCTCTGGAAGAGGAACTGAATGCGGTGTATCGCGCATAACACACTAAATCCAGGAAATAAAATATATCTAAATCTATTTCGGGTATAAAGGATTTATGGAGAACTACATCCCACACAATACACATGACAAAACATATATGTGCCAATCTAGAAAATTCGATTAAAAGGGATTAGGCAATGGCTTCGAAATCGTCATGAACTTCGTTTTTTTTCAACAATTCGAAGAAGCCTTTGGTATTAGATTTTCTGTTGCTGAAAAGTTCAAAAAACTGTTACTGAAAAAATTAACGAATACACGTTTTATTCATCAGGGATATAAAATAAAGATAATGGAGAATAAATAAAACGCAAAAAAGCCACAAATAAAATGTAAACGAAGATACAACACTGGTCAAAAACAATTCACAATTATGACCATTTTTGTTCAAAATTGTCATTTTAGGAGTCTGAATAGGTATTTAGCGCTTACCTATTCGTTCTCAACAGGATAGTGACTGATTACTTTTCCAGACATGAAAAAGTTGACAGTTTTTAACGGAAACGACATTTTCGCTATTTTTTTGATTGGAAAAAAAGATGGGAAGATTAATGAAGACGTCGGATTATTATGGGACTGGATAGTACAACAAAAGTGGAAATCAGAAAAAAAAACCAGAAGCGGTGAAATACAAAATTAATTGAGCTAAAAAAGGGGAACATGAAAAATATGGAATGTTTCCTCAAGTTGGAATCTAAGAACCACGTCAGATGTTTGCAAAAAAGTTCATGTTCTCTTAATTGATCATTTTGTACACAAATCCTAGTTCCCATCCTCATCATCGACAATTCCATCGTCATCGAAAAATCCCATGTCCTCCTCCATTATCTCAATTGGGACATCTCGTGGAACGAAATCTCCAAATGGGTTCTCGAAGGCCTCATTTGGCAGAGGAAATTGTCCGTCGAGAATCTGAAACCCCACAATCATTACAGTTTTTTATTTATCAAAAAAGTCTGAACTAAATAACATAGGAACTTACCATGTCTAAGAATTCTCGGCGCTGTCGGACTCCTAATCGTTGAAGAAAGAGAATCTGATCCTCATCCAATTGACGGCCTGGCCGATCAATGTTTTGGCCTCTTCCAAGGCCTGCATCACCGCGTCCTCTCTGAAAACAACACCGATTTTTATTTCAATCAAAGTTATGTTTATTTAGCAAGAAAAAAAATATGAGAGCGCTTTCTAAGAATCCATGAATTTGCCGAATTTCAAATTTTGAGGATTTAGCAAGCACCAAATTTAATGTCTTGAATAGAATTCTCAGAATTAATCAAAAAAATTCGAAGAATCCCTGGATTTTCTGACCATTAATTTGCAGGAATGTGAGAAGTTTCGAAATTCAGACCATCTGGTTTTGTGAATTTCCGATGATTTTAGGAACTTGAGAAACACGTAGTTTCAGAAATTCCGAACTTCCAAAATTTAGTTTACTAAATTTTTTGAATTTTGAAATGTTTGACAGCCGGTTCTCATTCACAGTTTTCCAAACTTTTGAAATTCTGAAAACCCAAAATTTTTGTTTTTAAATACCGTGAAACCTGTAATAGAAGAACCCCTCACTGTCAAGTTTGAGCTTAATCACCTCGGTCTCCGCGAAAAAAATCAAAAAAGAGGCAAGTGATAAAATGTTTGTGATTTTATGACATACAATTAATCAGTTAACAACGTATTTATATCTTTGACGAGAACCGAGATAAATTAGGCTATAGTTGGAAGTTTAGAGACACTTCTATTACAGGTTTTAGGGTATCTAACAAAATTAATCGAATTACAGAATTTTGAAACTTTTGAGTTATGGAGCTTCTGAGATTTATAAATACAGAATTTTTTCAAACTTTCGATTATCAAAAATTTGGCAACTGAACGGTTTAGAACTAACTACGTAGCAGTAGTTAGTTTTAGAACTGGCCATTTCAGAACTGACAACTACATCCGGTGAATTGGAATTGACTCTGTTGCAAATGCTCTTTCAGAACTGAGAATTTTCTCAGGTTGAACTTAAAAACTTGTCACGTTACAACAAAAAATTGGAACACCCTCTTCAAAACCACTCGGTTGAGAAATAGTTAGTGGCAATATTGCAATACGCTTCTATTCAATTAAAAATCGCACAATAATGCATCCACTAAAACCGTCAGGTGGTGAATAAACCCTTCTCACCTGCTCGTCTCTTCTTGCTCTTCTGAACCGATGGATCCATTCCATATTCTGCGGAAGGCCCAGTGCTCGTGGTGGTGGCGACATCTCCTGAAAAAGTTACAGATGAAAATTGTCTTAATTTTTCACAAGCTAAACTCGCCCTAGCTCTCAAGCGAGCCTGAGCGTGTGGCCGTGGTGGTACCGGGGGCGGCGTGAGTGGCCGTTGTCCTGGCCGTGGAGGGAGTGGTGGCGGGGTAGGTGCCCGTGGCTCTGGCTCCGGCTGCGGTTCCGGCTCTGGCGCGGCCGGTGGCGGGACGTCTGAAACTCCCAGACCGGCATCAACCTTTGGCTCCTCTCTCAACGGTTCTGGGATCATCTAAAATAATGAAATAAATTGAGGATTGGAAATAAACTGAAAATAAAGTTTCTGGGCTCTATGAGGTTTTCCAAAAACGGATTGAAAAGAAATAATTGAGAATTTTCGTTTGAAGCAATACCAACATGTTATCGCAATCAAAATCTCTGGGAAGTTGACAATAACACTATCTAATTTTTGAGAAGCGGTATAAAAACAAATGAGAGGGGACAAGTCTGTTATCAAGATTGAACTGTTTTTCATCGCACTTACAACTAAGTGTTCTGCTTATGTATGATCACATATTTAGTCCAGAGCAGTATTGATTTTCAATACTACCAACAGAAACATCTAGTGGGAAATTTCAAAGCCCAGTGAGTATTTGATTTTTACCTTTTTTTCTCTTACAAGGACCTCGCAAATCCAGATTCTCATGAAAGTATCACTGTTGTCTCTTTTCAATGTACGTGTACCGACTGAGCCACATGGGCAAGGAGAGATGGTGTACAAAAGGCGAAAGCTGTACGTACCAGACATGAGCGGAATAAAATTTTTCAAAATCCGGAAGAAGGAATAAGGAATAAGGAACAAAAATTAAAAATCAGGAATAAGGAATAAGGAATGAGGAATAAAAATTGAAAAACCCGGAAGAAGGAATAAGGAGTAAGGAATAAAAAAAACACCCGGAATAAGGAAGAAGGAATAAAGAATACGGAACAAAATTTCGAAAAAAGCCGAATGTTTTTTGAAATTTTTTGATAAAACATATAAAAGAGGAATTTAGGCTTCATTAAACGACTTTTTAAGTAGTAGTTTAGGTTTAGGAAGCGTTTTTTCTAATTTTAAATTTCAAAATTTTAATTGTTCGAATTTTCCGGAAGAATAAGAAAAAATCAGGAATAAGGAATAAGGAATAAGGAATAGAAAAAAACACCCGGAATAAGGAATAAGGAATAAGGAATAAGGAATTCCGCTCATGTCTGGTACGTACAGGGACATTAAGCGCTTTACACCGTCACGTCATAGTGCATACTGTACGTCCAAAATAGTCCGAAAAATTTCACATCCCCCTCCTTCAACTAAAAAACTATTTTGTTCAAATTTCAGAAAGATATGCAAGGAAGCGAATTTTTTTAGTTTTCCCTTAAAACTATTTTAGAAATGAGATTTTATCTCATAGTGTTGTCTAATACAGATTTAGGACAGTTTCTCAAACGAAATCTCATAAACAGGAAAGAAAAAAACAGCGGCACCTTACATTAGGTATTGCGCAATTGGCAAAAAAATGTGGGAAAAGAAGGGAAAAACATAGAAATGAGTGATGACAACATTCAAAAAGGCCATCGAAGTACCAGACAGTGTCGTGCTCCGCCTCTTTCTCTCTTTCTTATAGATGTTAGTCACACTGTTTGCTCTTCTTTCTTGGAATGGGGTACTGTAGTTTTATGAGATGATGAATGTCAAAAAATTTGCACTTTGAAACAATTTAATTTGAACTTTTGGAACTTTCAAGAAGTTATTGTTCTTTCTTTTTTCATTCAAATCATATCTAAACTAGTAAAGTCTAAGAAATTTCGTCTTTATCTATGGAATCTGAAGATAGAGCGTAATCAAGAACGTAACCTGACCAACATTGAAATGGTATTAAATAGGCATAATCATTATATTCTAGTTTCCATTTTACAGACAGTTTTGCGCGCAGCGGTCGCATACGTCTACCGTGGAAAGGAACTGATTGTGAGTTGAAGTTTTCAGTAAAAGGAATACTCAAAAACAGGCCAAAACAAGCCGATAATTGTTTTAACTTCTTAAAATATGTATGATAGATCACAACAAGTGCTAGTAGACGACGTTATTCGAAAAACGGTGTCTTGCCAACGAGAAAAGTCAAGATTTTAAAAACATGTGCCCAAACACCATGGTCCGTTTTTCATTCAGCCTGTATTTTCTTCTGAAGCAAGACACAAGGCATCAAAGAGTGTCCAGTTTCAGCACATGCTGACTGCCATTCTCTGCGTTAGTTAGTAAAAAATAGTGAACTTGAAAAATGCTTGTAAGACAGCTCGTAATTACCTCGTTTAAGCACCTATTTGCGAGTATAAAAAACCGGTTTTCAGAGGCAGCGCCGTCACTTAGAGCCGCTCGCACAGCCTCTGTTGAACGCTTTCCACAAAGCTCTCAACATCGCAGATGTTCTGGAGAGTGTTGAGACTCGGGCTGCCATGGAGGATGAGCATCTTTTTGCCCGGTTCTGGTATGAGACGCTAGAGCGCTACTACAACAAGATGATTGAAGCAGTGGAAGCTTTATTCCTAAACCGTCAACTTTGACTTCAATTATCCCAAGTTCTGTGAAAGATATCAAAAATTTGTCAATTAATAAATTATTAATCATAATATCGCCAATATTTTATCAGTTGACAAATTGTTGATATCTCTTACAGGAGTAAAGATAATTGAGCTCAAAGTTGACGTCTTCTATTCGAAGAAATACGGAAACTATTTTTTAATGCAAAAATAATAAATTGTTGTTTATAAAGTTTGATTTTGGTTTATAAATTTTGAAACCAATCAAAACTTCAGTAATGTTCGGTATGGTTTTTTCAGAATTTTACAGAATGTTGAAAATCCGAGTTTCAAAATTTCGGAATTTCTGTATGTTCCGATTTTTGAAACTGTTTTTCATCAATAAGAAAAATTGGAAAAAAATTGACGAACACTCCTGATTAAAACGAAAAAAGTCTCCTTTTACCACCTAGATTGATATTCCTATTGTTTCTGAATTTTTTCTGAAGTTTGAAGTCGTTAACAAATGACTTCACCAATTTTCACACTGTTTGCTGAAGGTCACATATTCACGGTTAAATTTTAAATTATTCTAATTTCAAAATCGATATAATAGAGCTTTCAAGAAAAATGAATTTGAATGAGTCAGAAACAAAAATGAATTTTGGAACAATTCAAAATATATGCGAGACTGAAAGACCTCCATCATGTGATGTTTTTCCCCCAGACGTGCTTAGTCAGACAGTTCCATGTCTTGGTCACTAAAAAGACACTTGTTTAGCTTTTTGCCCAATCATCCCTATTTCTGTCCAGCCCGTTGGATCTCTTTTTTTCCTTGGTATATTATCAATTTCAACCTTTCGGCAAACAAAATTTAATCCATCCCTCAGTAGGAGTTTTTAAATCTATTTTTCGTCAGAGCTACTTTAATCTCAATTATCTCTGACTTTTGCAAAGATATCATCACTTCATCAGTTAGAATAATCTTGGTGACAAAATGATGAACACTTCATAAGTTGATAGATTACCGATATCTTCTCTTAAAACAGAAACAACTGAACTCAAAGTAAAAGTTGCATAGTTTATTTTTTCTTTAAGCTCTTCACCTCTCCTTTCCTTTGATAACAAGTTTTTAAAACGGATATAAAATGTATTGAAAAAACTTCTAAATTTCATTTTTTTAAATTCTCCTTTTGAAATCAATAATCTGATTTAATAAAAAAAAATTGCATAAGTCATAAAGGAAAAACAATTTTTGGAACGTTTCAAAATCTATGCGAGAGACAGACAGTCATGTGCTTTTTCATATTCAGCCCAATGGGTTTCGCTTGATCCTTAATTTTTTGAACAGTCCCCAAAAAACAAAACTCTGTTAGATTTCTGAAAAGACAAAAAATAGATTTTTGTATCTTGAGGTTATTCTGCTAGTACGATGTTCAGAATATCAAAAAATGGCATGATTTTTTTTCTCAAGAAATCGTCAAACCTGTAGTAGAAGTGCCTCCTACTTTTTAAAGCTTTGAGCCAATTTATATCTGTCCCTGTGAAATTTTGAAAAAAAATTGTCAACTGATAAATTGTTTATAATAATATCAGAAAAATGTTATACGTTGACACATTTTTGACATCTCTCATAGGAGCCGAGATAATTGAGCTCGAACTTGGCAGTGTGGGGGCTCTTCCAAAGAGAAAACTATAGAGTATGAAGGAATCTCGTATCTTTTTCCATTTTTTTCACCGTTACCTCAGTTTTTAACCAAATTAGTTTTAAGCTCCCCATTCATCAATATCAACATTTTTTTACGCACGAATTTTGTAAATCTCTGCAATAGCCCCGAAATATCTTTAAGTTGAAGGTTATCTGTTCTAATTCAAAAATCAATAAAATAAAGCGTTCCAGAAAGCAAAAATTTGAATGAGTCATAAAATAAAAAACACAAAAGCTTTCAAAATCTATGCGAGGGGCCACTATCCTATGTTATTTTCTTTCAGCCCCTCCCCCCAATTCCGTATGTGTGCAGTTAGACTATTTCATGTCTAAGTCAGTGATGAAAAAATTACTCTTCTACATCCTCGTCTCCGAATATTGCTCTCTTACCGTTTTCGCGTCTCTAAACATCGTATACATCCTCATTTTCAGCTTGACTCCTTCTCTACCAAAATGGATAATATTGTGCATCAGCCACGCAACATGCCAGACAATGAACTGGTATAAAATCAACTTTTTTTAATCCACGATCTAAATTTTTGCAGAATTTCCTTGAGGTCATTCTCCAGGCTCTCGTTCGCTACTTGCCAGTTCTCAGGCTAGTTTCTAATAATGATATCATTCAGTTAATATAGCATTTTTCAGGCTGATCCAGAGGTTCCACAAGAAGTTATGCTCTTTTTCCGCGAAATCAAAATGATTGGGGAGATGCTGTATGTGATCGGATGCGAGCCACGCTCACACAATGGTCGTTATCGACAACCTCTACAGACGATTCTGGCAGCTCTATCTTCGCCTGGTTCAACATAATGTCAGATTCTTCCGAATTGTTGAAGAACTGAATGTGCTTTAATTAAATAGATATTATATGTCAAAGTCACTTCCTAATCTAACATTACGAGCTGTCAAGAAACTTTTAAAGAAAAACGTTTAAAAATCCCAGAAAAAAATTGATTGTCTTTTATATTTCAAAGAATGACTTATCATATTTTCAAAGAACTGTTGGCATCTAATTCTCCCCGAATATGAGTTTTCCAGAATTTGCAACCCTTTTCCCTTTTTTCTCTGTATTTATCACATTCTGTTTCTTCTTTCCTTTTTGCATCTACCAGTAACAACAAGTTCCCTCACCTTTTTTTATATAAAAAAAACGTTTAAATTGTACTTAAAAAGATTCCCACAATAAACGTTTTCCCAAAATATAATATTGACCTCCCGATGAAAACTCTAAAACATTAATATCTATGACTCGAGACTTATTTCTTTCAACAACAGCTTTTGTAGTTGTTCATACTAGTAAAATTCTGGGCCAGACCGGGCCGGGCCGGGCCTGAAGAAACTTTCAAGGCCCGGTACCAAAAATCCTATAATTTTGAGCCAAATTTTAAGATTTCTATATAACCTGTTCCAAAATTTTTTTAAACTTGTGTGTGAAGAATCTTTTTGGTGACCTTATCGGTTGGAGGCACGAATATGAAGTCAAATGGTACGAATATATTGTGAAATGACGGGCACGCCGGGCCAGTTTTTCTGAGCATTTTAGATTTTATTCATCAAGGATATTAAATGAAGTAAATGGATTATGAATTTTGAAAAAAAATTAAAAAATTCACAAATAAAATGCGAACCGGAGATACAAAACTAATCAAAAAGAAATCCCAATTATGGAAATCACTATTTTCAAACATTAAACAAAATCGACTATTTTCAACGGAAATGATCATTTTGGCCATACTTCTCATTGGAACTGATCTCGGGTTTCATGGAATCTGAAATCAATTTTCAGGGACATAAACTATTTCGAAATTCGGAACATCTGGGTTTCTGAATTTCCGATGATTTTAAAAATATAAAAAATCCATAGTTTCTGACATTTAGAACTTCCAAAATTCAGTTTCGTACTTTTTCATTCACTTTGAGATTTTTGACACGAGGTTTTGATTCACAGTTTCCCAAATTTCCGAACTATAATTCTGAACACCCGAAAACCGTAAAACCTATAACAAAAGGGCTACCACAGTGTATATCTCTATTATCTCTGTTTCCGTGTAAGATACCAAAATGTGTCAATTGATTAAATGTTTGTGATATTATGATATACACTTTATCAGTTAGCAGAAAATTCATATCATTGACAGTAACCGAGATAAATTAGGCCAACGTTAAAAGTTTAGAAGACTTCATTACAGGTTTTACGGCATCTACGCCTTTTTAAATTACTGAATTTTCTGAATTCTAAATGTCAGAAATTCTGAAAATTTGAAATACAGAATTTTGCCATCTCAAATTTTCAAATATCAAAATCCATTTCAAAACTGACAACTACAAGACTGTTAAAAACTAAATTTTGCTCTTCTTAAAACTGGTCATTTATCAACTTGAATTCTAGCACTAGTCATTCGCTGCAAATTTGAAAAACCCGGTTTTAAAATAGTTTGTAGAAAAATTGCAATACGCTGCCTTTCAATTAATAAATCTTACAATGAGGCGCCTACTAAAACGGTCAATTGGCGAACAAAATCTTTCTCACCTGCTGGTCTCCTCTAGCTCTTCTGAACTGATGAATCCATTCCATATTCTGCGGAAGGCCCAGTGCTCTTGGTGGGGGCGAATCCTCCTGAAAAAGTTACAGATGAAAATGGTCTCAATTTTTCACAATCTGAACTCACCCTAGCTCTCACGCGAGCCTGAGCGTGTGGCCGTGGCGGTAGCGGAGGCGGCGTCAGTGGCCGTGGCCGTGGTCCAGGACGTGGAGGTAGTGGTGGCGGGGTCGCTGGCCGTGGCTCTGGCTCCGGCTGCAGTTCCGGCTCTGGCGCTGCCGGTGGCGGGAAGTCTGGAACTCCTAGACCGGGAGCGGCATCAACCTTTGGCTCCTCTCTCAATGGTTCTGGGGTCATCTAAAATAATGAAATAAATTGGAAATGAACTGAAAATAAAGTTTTTAGGCTCTATCAGGTTTTCCAAAAACGGATTGAAAAGAAAAACTGAGAATTTTTGTTCGAAGCAATATCAATACTTATTCAATCATAAAATTTCTGTGAACGTAACAAACACACTACCTAACATATAAGAGCGGTATAAGAACAGATGAAAAGAGACAAGTCTGTTATCAAAATTGCATAGTCTCTTATTTCACCTACAGCTTTGTATTCAGCTTTCGACGGACCACAATTTAAGGTAAGAGCAGTATTGGTTTTCTATTCTACCAATACATTCCTCTAGTGGAATACTTCAAATCCCAGTAAGTGACTTCGATTTTTTATTTTTGTTCTCTCATTCAGTACCAAAAACCGGGTTAAAAATTGCAAAAAAAGAGCAATTTTTTAGACGATTTCCTCACCTCCTAAAACGTTTTAAAAACTGAAATTTGTTGTGTTTCTCTTACAATTAGATTCAAAGGAATTTTTTCAAGTATTTTCTCGTAAATTGATTTTTCAAGTTTTGGATTTTCCACCAATGAAAATTGGTTTTAATAAAGTTTGGACAAAATGGGTGGAATATGTCAATTCGTTGAATTTTAGGTTCAAAACAACAAATCTCATTTTCTGAAACGTCCTAAAAGTTAGGAAAATGTTCTTCAATAATTGCAGTTTTTGTAAGGATAAAACTATTTTTGGTTCTGAAACTGATATAACTCTGCTGAAACAGCGGATTCTAGAAGTTTTTAGATGGTCAATTATGAACCTATCGAGAATTTTCACCTAGTTCTGGGCGCACAAAATGTTCAGGTTCCCTTGTTATGTCTCAGAAAATTTCAAGAAATTTGAAACAAAGACAGAAATTTTTGAAGTTACGAAAAAATCCTATTGCATCTGTTCAAATTTTATCTCAATATCAAATTCATATCCTATCTCAAAAATTAATTTGTTCTAATAACAGTAAGAACTCCGTTGGAAGCGAAAATCCTAGGGCTTTCATTCCAAAATATTGTTTAATACAGGTTTAGGGCATTTTCTCATACACAATTTCATTAAGGGGAGAGCAAAAACTGCAAAGAAAACCAGCGGCACCTCACGTTTTGTGTTGCGCAAGATAAGCGCGAATTGGCAAAAAATGTAGGAAAAGAAGAGAAAAATAAAGAAATGAGTGTTGACAACATTCAAAAAGGCCATCGTAGTACCAGACAGTGTCGTGCTCCGCCTCTTTCTCTTTTTCTTAGTGATGTTAGTCACACTGTTTGCTTCTCTCTCTCTCTCTCTCTCTCTCTCTCTCTTTCTCTTTCTCTCTCTCTTTATTGGAATGGGGTACTGTAATTTTATGAGATGATGAATGACATAAAATTTGCACTTTTGAAACAATTTAATTTATACTTTTGGAACTTTCGAGAAATGCATTGTTCTCTTTTCTTCATTGAAATTATGTTTAAACAAGTGAAATTTCAGAAATCTCTTCTCCATTTACAGAATCTGAAGATGGAGTGTAATCAAAAGCGTAGCCTCACCGATATTGAAATGATATGAAATAGGCATAATCGTTATTTTCTAGTTTCTATTTTACAGACAGTTGTGCGCGCAGCGGTTGGCTACAACAACCGTAAAAAAGAGCTGATTGTGAGTTAAAGTTTCCAGAAAAAGAACACTCAAAAACAGGCTAAAACAAGCTGAAAATTTTTCTTTGATGTTTCGGTCCCCAGAAAAAATGATGGTATTTAGAAAACAGTTCAGTCCTTAAGACGATAATCCTAACTCGTTTCGTTTCAGTTACGATTTGTCTTTTTTTCATTCTTGAAAACTAATTGTTGAAATTTGCTGTAATGAACAACTTCAACATTAAAAAAGAGCCCAATACTTTGAAATAGTGCCCAAAACTACATTTACAAATTTTCTGATATTACAAAATTCTGACCCCTATGACTTTGTAAGGTTTTATTTGAAGCGCGGAAAAACAGAGGTTTTTTCGTAAGGGTACATGACACCTAGAAGCCGACCTGAACTTGGCCCTCAAATTCATACCAATTGCAACATTTTATTATTAGAGAAACTCAATTTTTTTTTGGAGAGGATCAATTTTGAATCAAATTCTAGGTTCTTTGTATCCCGAAGAAGAATCCTGATTGTTCTTCAGAAAACTGAAGTTTGTAAGGATCTTAAGGTTTTACAATTCAAATAAACGCTCTCTGGCGTAATTTTGAACACTTACTTGAAATCTTTTCCGAATTTTTTCGTTTACGCCCGGTTCTGGAATGAGACACTAGTGCGCTACTACAACAAGATCATAGAAGCAGTTGAAACTCTGTTAGACTAGTTTCGCTCTTACGTTTGTTTTCATAATAACCTTTTTTGTTGCAAAATGAATAAAATTTTGATCATTAAGTTTGATTTGTGGATAAGAATTTTCAAATCGAAAAACATTCAGGGATGCTCGGAGTGGCCTTTTGGTATGTCGGAAATCCTGAGTTTTGAAGTTTCGGAATATTGGTATGTATTCCGATTTTCAAATTTTTTATAAATCGGAAAAATTGAAGAAAAATTTACAAACTGATTTTGAAAACGCAAAAAAGAGTTTCGAACACCCCTGATTAAGAATGTAAAGGTTTGCTCTCGCCTCCTAGACTTTTATCCCCTTTGTTGTTTTTAAATTTTAAAGAATAATGGGTGGCCCCACGAGTATTCACACTAGTCGACGGAGATATATAACGGGTAAACGGTTAGTTTTCTAATTTCAATATCAATAAAAGCTTTCTAGAAAAAAAAAAGATTTCGAATGATTCATAGATTGAAATGAATATTGGAACAATTCAATTGAAGCAATGTTAACTTTGTTAGACTAACTTTGCCCTTAAGTTTGTTTTCACAATAAATATTGTTTGATGCAGAATGAAGAAACTGTTACTCATAAGGTTAGATTTCTGCCTATTAATTTTAAAAACCAATCGAAATTTCGGAACGGCTTTTTTTGGAATGTCGAAAATCTCGAGTGTCAAAATTTTGAACCACTAACATACCATAGCTTTCTAGTGAAATTTTCGAAAAATTTAGAAAACTACGATTGGAGTTCGATTTCGAAACGAAAGCTACAGAATGAAATTTGTAAAACAGCCAGAATTTTTGAAATTCCGACGCCTGTTCTGAATCTGATCACGACTGAAAAATTCGCTTTTTACCTCCTAGATTATTACCCCCTTTATCATTAATAAAGTCTAAAGTCGTTAATAAGTGGTTTCACTAATACTCACACTATTTGCTGAGTGAACATGTACACAGTGCAATTTGTTTTTATTATAATTTGAAAATCGATATATCAGAGCTTTCTGCAAAAATGAATTAGAATGAGTCAGAAACAAAAATGAATTTTGAGACATTTCAAAATATATGCGAGACTGAGAGACCTCCATCATGTGATGTTTTTCCCCCAGATGTGCTTAGTCAGACAGTTCCATGTCTTAGTCACTAAAACAGACACTTGTTTAGCTTTTCGCAAAAATATCCTCATCCCTGTCCAGCTCGTTGGGCCTCTTTTTTTGCCAAATTATCAATTTTAACTGTTGGGCTAATAAAGTTTAATCCTACCCGACGCATCTATTTTCCGTCACACTTAAACTGGCACTTTGAGCTCAATTATCTCTGGAATTTGTAAAGATATCAAAATTTCATCAGTTAGGAAAATCTAGGTGGTTAAATGACGAACATTTTATCAGGTTTTCGATATCTTCTTTTGGAACAGAAAACTGAGCTTAAAGTAAAAGTTTAGAGGTTTTTTGTTCCGTAGAAGTTCCCCTCCCTTCTCTCCTTCAGGGTTCAAGTTTATAAAACGGATATAGAATGTATTGAAAAAACTTCTGAATTTCATTTTTATCCTCATTTTGAAATCAATAAACTGTAGCTTTTTAGATAACGAAAATTTGAATGAGTCATAATGGGAAAAACAAATTCTGGGACATTTCAAAATCTATGCGAGAGACTGACAGACCTCTGTCATGTGTTTTCGTTAAACTCAGTGCGGCCCGATTGATCCACTTTTGTTGAACAGTCCCATATAATTCATTTTTTACAAAAAAAAAACAAAGAAAATTGGTTTTTCTAGTTTTTCTAGAAAATTAAATGGTTAAAAACAGCTTCAAAGAATTTCATAATTTCTCCATTTCTCAAGATAAGATGCATACCTTCAAACCTGTAAAAGAAGGGCTTCTTATTTTGTTTTAAACGTTGCCTATTTATCTCGGTTCCTGTGAGAAATTTAAAAAATTGTCAACTGATAAAATATTTATCATAATATCAAAAATATTTTATCAGTTGACAGATTCTTGATATCTCTCATAGGAGCAGGTATAGGTGAAACTTGACAATTCGGGGGGTTTTCTAAAGACAGAATCAAGTCTAGCTTATGAAGAAATATCGTTTTTTTTCCCACATTTTCGCTTCAGTTTGTGAAATAATAAGTTTAAAACTTTCTATTCACCAATTTCAGTATTTTCTGGATGTTATTAAATCTTTGCAATGCCCTCAAAATATCCTTAAATAAGAAGATATCGTTAAGTGATCCTTTAAATACCAACTCTATGCGACAAAAGTGTATTTTGGATATACATCTCTATCCGGCTCCTTTTTTAAACTAAAAATCAATGAAATAGAGCTTTCCAGAAAGCAAAAATTTGAATGAGTCATAGAAAAAAAAACAAATTTTGGAACCTTTCAAAATCTATGCGAGAGAGAGAGAGAGAGAGAGGAGAGACAGTTCCATGTCTTAGTCACTAAAACAGACACTTGTTTAGCTTTTCGCAAAAATATCCTCATCCCTGTCCAGCTCGTTGGACTTTTTTTGCCAAATTATCAATTTTAACTTTTCGGCTAACAACGTTTAGTCCTTCCCACGCAAGAATTTTCGTGTAATTTTGCAGTATGTTCTGTAAGTGTCGTCATTGAGCGGCCTCTTCAATACTCTATGCGTCGGAGGCATACCTTAACTTATTTTTTATAACATTGAAAACAGCGAAATACTGTTTTCTAGAACATTTATTCGAATACGCCAAAAAAGACGAAAAAAACAAATGCTGGAACCTAATAGAGCGTCACACCTACACTGGCACTTTGAGCTCAATTATCTCTGAGTTTCAAAAAGGTATCAAAATGTCATCAGTTAGGAAAATATTGGCGAAATAAAGATGAATATTTTATTACCTCATAGATTTTCCATATCTTTGTTTGAACAAAGATAACTGAGCCCAAAGTTTAAGCACACGGAGTGACGTCCTAAATGCGGGGATACAGTATCTTTTTCACCCTGTTTGCAAATGATAACATCAACTTCTGCACCTACTAAATTTATTTTTCCTCACACATACAATTATATAAAACCATGAAATTCCCCTATAGCTGTCCATCTTCCAATTTTTAAAGTCAATGAAATAAATCGTTTGAGAAAACAAAAAAAATTTGAATGAGTCATAAAGGAAAAACAATTTTTGGAACGTTTCAAAATCTATGCGAGAGACAGACAGTCATGTGCTTTTTCATATTCAGCCCAATGGGGCCCGCTTGATCCTCAATGTTTTGAACAGTCTCCGAAAAACAAATATCTGTTATATTTCTGAAAAGACAAAAATTGATTTGTGTATCTTGAGGTTATTCTGCTAGAAGTGCCTCCTACTAGAAGTGTCTCCTACTTTTCAAAGCTTTGGGCTAATTTATCTCCGTCCCTGTGAAATTTTGAAAAAATTGTCAACTGATAAATTGTTCATCATAATATCAAAAAATGTTATCAGTTGACACATTTTGACTGCTATAATTGAGCTGAAGCTTGAAAATGTGGGGGCTCTTTCAAGGAGAGAACCAAGTATAGCGTTTGAAGACACATAGTATCTTTTTCCATTTTTTTCACCGTTACCTCAGTTTTTGAAATAATTAGTTTCAAGCTCCCCATTCATCAATATCAAAATTTTTTTACGCACGAATTTTGTAAATCTCTGCAATAGCCCCGAAATATCTTTAAGTTGAAGGTTATCTGTTCTAATTCAAAAATCAATAAAATAAAGCGTTCCAGAAAGCAAAAATTTGAATGAGTCATAAAATAAAAAACACAAAAGCTTTCAAAATCTATGCGAGGGGCCACTATCCTATGTTATTTTCTTTCAGCCCCTCCCCCCAATTCCGTATGTGTGCAGTTAGACTATTTCATGTCTAAGTCAGTGATGAAAAAATTACTCTTCTACATCCTCGTCTCCGAATATTGCTCTCTTACCGTTTTCGCGTCTCTAAACATCGTATACATCCTCATTTTCAGCTTGACTCCTTCTCTACCAAAATGGATAATGTTATGCATCATCCACGCAACATACCAGACAATGAACTGGTATAAAATCAACTGTTTTTTAATCCACGATCTAAGTTTTTGCAGGATTTCCTTGAGGTCATTCTCCAGGCTCTTGCTCACTACTTGCCAGTTCTCAGGGCTAGTTTCGTATGATGATATCAGTTAGTTAATATAGCATTTTTCAGGCTGATCCAGAAGTTCCACAAGAAGTCCTGCTCCTTTTCCGCGAAATCAAAATGATTGGGGAGATGCTGTATGTGATCGGATGCGAGCCACGTACACAGAATGGTATGGAAATTATCGAAAATCTCTACAGAGAATTTCGTCAGCTCTATCATCGCCTTCAGCACAATGTCGGATTCTTCCAGGAATTGTTCAACAACTGAATACATTTATAATTAAACACAGATCATCGTTCAAAGTCTTTTCCCAATGTAACATTATGAGCTGTCATGAAGTTTTTGAGCTTCGAAAAATCCCCGAATACATGTTGTGTCTCCCTTTCTTATAATTTTCCATAATCTGCAATTTTTTTCTCGTTCCTGTATTCATCAAATTCTATTTCTTCTCCCCTGAACGCATTGACAGTCTATCTTTTTTGAAATCTCACAAAATTTTGATTTTCCTGTACGGCAGTACTTCTGCCTTTCATTTTTTTTCGGCATTCCCTTTCTTTCTCAGTTCTTCAACATACTCTAAATAAATATTTCCTCCGAAACTTCCTACTGACCTTCCGATAAAAACTACAAAACATCAAAGGATAAATCATGAAATAGCACAAAAAAGTGGAAATGCGAGAAACAATACAGAAGGACTTCATGGATTCCTTAAATTTTCTGCAGTTAAAAATTTGCGATTTTAACAATTTCCAAACTTAATTTCTAAAATTTCTCAAAATCTCAGTTTCTGACATTTTAATTCCCAGAGAAACAAAGAATTGATTTTGGATTTTGACAGAATCTCTGGATTTGCTGGATAACAATGATAAATTTTAATAAAATTAAGATTTTCAAAATTTTGATTATCTATCTGAGTTTCTGAACTTCCGATATAAACAGAAAAGTATCATTATTGGTTTCAGAAGTTGTCTTTTTTTTTTAAGTTCCACCAATCTTTGGAGGAATAAAACTTCGATACAATCACTTGAGAAGTGGGAGTATTAGACTACAAAAACTACAAAAACATGGAAATTGAAAAAAACAGGAAATTGATACATATTTGAAACTTCGAAAACGTTTATGTCTCTAGAATATAATGTTCAGTAGATCAAGAAATTCCAATAAAATCTGAAATCAAGTCTGAATTTTTTAAGCCTGATGCTCATGAACTGTTGCACCACATCCCTCGAGAATCTGAAGATAACACCATATCTCACCTACATGGCTCATTATTGTCATCATTCTGAGAATAGCAGATAGATTATTCCCCACCATCTTCACATGTCTCAATGCTGACAATGCTCATTTAAAGTTATCAATGTCATCAGTGCTGAGGTTTGTTTTGTCATTATCATCATTTTCTTAACGGGGCAGGGCGTAGAGCGCCTATATATAAGAACAGATTTCTCGGAATCATCAGTCAGTTTACTGATCCTCTTGTTATGAACTCTCAATTGGCGCCTATTTCTACTGGCAGTGTTCCTGACACGCCTATTCCATACTCCTACGCAGATGCGCATTATTGGAATTCTGGAAATCTCAACTGGAATTATCTGAATACTCAAGCCACTGACTACTCGGACTACACCTTATATTCCAACTACTACGCGTATTATTATGCTCAATTCTTCCAAAGTTTGAGTTCAAATGTTTCTACTCCCTCTCCAACTCAAATTCCTCAACGCGAACCTGCCACTATGTTACCTCCGCTCAACTTTGATTTCAATGCCACGACTCCTAACCCTAGCTCACCAAGTACCAGCTCCACGTTGGCTCCAATGCAACTATCTGCCGAAATGCCGATTCAATCTCTGACTACTGTAACATGTGAATCAACATCTCGTCGGGACTCGAAAACTCGTCAATGCACTAATTGTTTCGTCACTAAAACAAGTCTATGGAGAAACGTCACATCCAGTGAAGGAATCTTGTGCACTGCTTGCTTTACCTACAAAAGAAAATACAAGAAGAACCGTCCAACTAAAGCAATTGAAAGATATATGCGTCGGAACAGAAATTTATAATTTTCGTGTTTTTGTTTCAAACGTCATTTATAATTGTTATTTCATGTTTTGGTTTCTAATAAATTAAAATAAAAACCAAACCGTTTTGTTTTTCCCCGAAATGTTCCAACGAACTGCAAAACTAGGAACTACTCTAATTATCAGAAAACGTACAGTGTCATTCATATTTTCTTTTCGAAATGTTAGTATTAGTTAAAAACGATCATCTGACAATCAGTTCATCCGGAATGGTTGATCCATCCTGTTCGACCTCTCTCTTCCTTCTCCTCATGTTTATTCCGCACCCTGGACTACCCAAAATTGTCTATTCACGGAAAATTGTTTGAATCAGGGCTGGGCGAGCAATCGGCTTTCGTGGGAAACGAAATGCAAAACATACGCATATCGCGAAAAAAGTGGGCGGAGCCTCGGCACACACAAAGTATAGTGGACGGCGGAACCAGGGAAGTGTCGGCCGCTGCGAAGAATGACTACCCGGCGGCGCGTAGTTGAAAAATAAATCAAATTTCAAATTCCCGCTAGTTTCGTGTCGTGACCCTTCGGCGAAATTGTGTGCGCCATTAATCTCGGTTTGCATAACAAGAGCAAAAATTTGCAAAACGTGAAGGTTTTTCTCCCGTCCTCGCCCACCCCTGGTTTGAATGAAGTTGCAACGTTGATCATCATTTCTGAATCAAAGAAATCATTTTCAATGAAGCCAATGTCTCAAAAACTATGCCTTAGCTCAGCTGATTGTTTTTTCGTTTGACAACTCAATAGTATTGCTTAATATCAGTAAAAAGTATTTCATTTTTTGCTTGTCACAAACTGTGATAAAACTTGTCATTAAAACTCATGAAACAAGTTCAAACCTTTGAAATCAAGTTGGGCATTGTGTTCAATCACTGCGTAATTTATTGACAAAGACGATATTTTTAAAATCGTGCTATTAGGTTGAGCGAAAAGTCTTTGTAATTTTTTTCGGACCGTCATATCTCAGCGTTGATTCAACTTTTTTTTATTCTGTTTTTTCTATATTGTAGTACTAGTTGTGCACGTTTAAAAAATTTGTTAAAATTACTGACGGCGTTCATAAAGACCGAGAATTTGCCCAGAGACCACCATGCTGTCAGGTGTGCTTTCTTGTTCGAGTTTTTCCAAGGTCACAAATGCAGCGTAGCTCGTCTCAATTTGTGAACAGTGTTAGGCCATAACTTTATGTCCTACAATACAATAAAGTTTTGGCTCAAAAGATTCTCCGGTCTAGATAGGTCCAAAGTATCGAGTTATTGGGGTTTGGTTCATTTAACACAGACAGATTTTTGAGAAATCCCGAAAAAAGTGAAAAAAATTCAAAAAAGTGAAATTTTCTCTACTTCAGGGTTACTGTAGGAAAGTGGTTCTAACACAAAAAAATGATCAAAATGTACCAGAAACTGAAATATGAAACGTTTGAATCGATATCATCATTTTAAACAAAAATAATTTTTCGAGGTTACGGTATTATATCGTGGCCAGAAGGGGGGTGGCCTAAGGGTATCATAATCAAAAGTCTTACAAGGGAACCTTTTAAGTGAAGGTAGGAGTCAACAGAAACCACCTACATAGATCGAAAAAAAAATGGTAGAAAACCTATATCAATCCGTTTTCAAAGTCTGCTTACGAGACCTTTGAAGTGCTGAAATTTCAGCTTCAGTGCCAAAAAATCTCATTTCACTGTAAAATCGGCAATTTTCAAATTCAATTTCCTCCACTCCTAGGAGGCTTTTGGACTTGAAACTTTTTGTATTATACTTGAAATTATGTGAAATTTCATATTTCAGACATTTTCTGAAAAAAATCTATTTTCGGAAAAGTTTACCCACATAAAATATCAGACTCCTACGACCATTTTTAATTTTTCCATTGCCATGCTGTTTTCGAGTTTCTCAGAGATTGTGCCTTACATTTAAATACTCGAAATATCGCCAAACTCGAGAAAAATATGTTCCGCTTGTCAAAGACCGTAATTAATTTTAGGTTTCACGGATTCCGTAAAAATAGTTTTACGCAAAGCCCATTTCCTATAACACACATAAAAAATGAAATTCTGCAAACCATGAAAATCTTTATTTTCGATAAAACAACACAATCTTTCTTTTGCCATAAAAATGCAAATTCACCTTTTCTCTTTTATTCGTCATCCGTGCATCACAACGGTCGCTGGGTGACAACACGGAGCCTCACGCGCTTCAACAACTTCACATCATTCCTTTTTTGAAAATTAGTAACTAGGCACTCGTTTGTCTTTTATTCTCTGCAGCATGTCCAGTACTCGAGTTAAAGAAACTGTGATTGACGAAGCAATCACGACTCAACCACTGCCACTGTAAGTTTGAAATGATGTGTATGTTTTTTTTCAATCCTATTTGCATTGGGCCGGGCCGGGCCAGGCTTTTTTTCCAGTATTTTTTTTCAAAATATTTTTGGAATTTTCAAATACATGTTCTTTCTATCGAAAAAAACTTACCGAGAAGGTGGTGTCATGAAAAATATCTTGTTAAAACTTCGTGAATCTCGGAATTTTTACAAATGTGGAAACTTTGATTGATCTGATTTTTCAAATATGTTCTCAATCTAAACATGTTTTTTATCAGTCTGGGCATACTGAACTTTGAAACAAAAACTTATAAGACAACATATATGAAAATTGTAGTTTTTCAAGTTTTTAAGAAAAAATTCTTCAAACTCACTTATTCTAGCCGTTGGTCACCTCAACCACCAACTCAAACGGACTCCGACAAGAAGTGTTGCGGATCATGTTGTCTGTGTCTTCAAGTCGTTGCGTGCGTTGCCGAAATCTTTTGGGCTCTCTGTCCATGCCGTAAAAGTGAATAATTATGTGTTTGTCACTCGTTATTCTAATGAACATTTCATCGAAACTCAATACCTAAAGTTAGCAATAAAATTACAGAGAGCAAATCCAAAAATTATCTACGTGAAAACCTAATTTTCATATGAATCCATTTGTTTTCTTCCTGTTTCAAAGGTAATATATCACTACCCACTCTTAGTTTTGCGAGACGATGCGAAAATCTAAAACACTTCAATATAACTCGTGGAAAAAGAGCACGCAATTTTTGACAGCTCACATCGTAAAATAAGATTTATGGGAGAAGGTGGAAGAGCTTCAGCTGTGGCCTCCGGTCACATGTCATTGATGTGGTTTTTGAACCACAATTTTTCAGGTTTGTCTGTTCTTATTTCTTTTTTTTTAGTTCACTGTAAATGAGGGACATCAACTTCTTGTCCGAATTCTTAATAAATTGACTTTTCACACTTCGCAAGGAAGCGTCAACATCTCGTAAACCCAGAATTCGATGAAAATTTCAAGATATGTTAACGATACACTATCTAAACATTTCTGAAATTTTCCGAGTCCGCTCGCCAGTTTCACTCAAGTTGTATCAGCTTTAGTACTAAAATTCGCCCTTTCGGTAGAAAATAACGATTTTCTCAACTACTATATTTAAAACGGGAAGAACTTTCATATTTTCACCATTTCCTTGAAATGTTTTTTTCATTTTTTGAGTTTTTTCGTGATTCCCCAGATTTATTCGAAAACTGAAACAATCATTTTCGAGAAAATGATAAAAATTCGATTTTTGATACCGAAACTGACATAACTCGGCTGAAACTGGCGAGCGGATTCTAAAATTTTGAGAAGTGTCTAGATAGCCTATTGTTGACCTAGCCTGAAAATTTTCATCAAAATCTGGGTTTACGAGGTATTGAGGCTCCCGGTTATATGTCAAATTTTAACACAGTGTTTTTTAAGGATAAGATTTCAGTGCCCAGTTATTATCGTTCAATTCAAAAAATGGATCCAGACAATAAAGGCTTCCTCATGAAATATATTGTGAGTCTCTACCCATTTAATTTAAAAAATGCAGAGCATTTTTCGAATTTCAGCGCCAACTGGAAGTCATGAAGTTTCTTGCGGCCCGCATTCGTAATATGCACGTGAGTCTTTATCATAACTGAGAATGTAATTGCTTTTTCTGAATGCAGTTTCAAGTTGGAGTCATTGATAGGAAGGTCGTGTTCTTGCAAGGATTTGAAAATCTCGTCGCCCACATTCTTACAATTTTCGAAAATCCAAGAACCCCGGAAGCTGAAAGTGAGTTGATGGAGTCTATCGACGGCTTGAACGCCTTCGCTGAATCCGAAGAGTTCCAGATGGCTTTCAGATTTCAGTTATGATATTCTTTTTTCTCTTTTTGTATCTTGTTGAAAATGGCTCTCTATAGGGTATTTAACTGTGTTTGAATAGAAAAATTGGAAACGAGCACGTATTTTTATGGTGTCTTTATTTTTAATGAATGAAACTGTTGCACAGACAGCAACAAAAGGAAACAATGAAATTCTGTGAATAAATAAAACCTTCCGAATTATTCATTTTGAGAAGCTCGGGACGCACAATCTAGCAGATTATTGTTTGTAGAACCACTGTCTGGGAATTCAGTTCTGAATGAATAAAAATTTTTTTTGATGAAAACTATTATCCCGGACATAAACATTCAAATCATGCAAATTATCACTTGGATGAAATTTGATCTTTTTTAGAACAAGAAAATTCAAAAATTCAGTGTAAACATGGAACGAAATTAGCATCTTGGAACGAAATTAGCATCTTTAAACATGGAACGAAATTAGCTTCTTTAAATAAACGACGTTCTTCTAATTTTCACGCTTTTCCAGTTGATTATCTAACAGGGGATGTCGTTTTAGAAAAGATTTCAGAAATTTGTTATTTTTGATAGGGGTTAGTTTACGCCCTTGTAAACCTCCTGCCAAAAACTTTATTTGCCTTTTTTTTAATGCTGAAAATTTTTGTCTGAAAGTTCCCGAATCTTTAACCATAGGAAACCTCACTTTCCTCCGTTATTTCGCCTCCTAGGGGACCTCCGGGGAACACCACACACTTGATAATTTTTTAGTTAACGAAGTTTTGGTGGTCAATCCTATGCGATAATTCCGAAGAAGTTTTTTTCGCTCGAAAATTTTCATTTGTATGGGACGATTTCCTGTGAGCTCTAGTTTTTCGACCCAGAACAATACAAGATCACTCAAAATTTACTGTCATCTTTCGATTTTGAACCGTTCCAATCATTGGTTTTCGATATATTGCGAGTCGAAAAAAGTTAGGAGAACCATGAAAAATTAACTAGAGCTCACAGAAATTGATCCCATACACAAATGAAAATTTTCGAGCAAAAAATTTGACCATCAAAACTTCGAAATTATCTAAAAAAAATTAACTTTAAAAAACTTGATGATTTCTGCTCCTCAAAGTTCTAAAATCGGCAAAAACTCAAAAACTCGTGTCATAAACCAATTTGGAGCCCAAAATAAATGTATAGAAGTTTTATAAAAAAAAACAAAAAATATTCTCAAAATGAAGGAGTCGAACCCCAGACCTTCAGCTTACCAACACGCGCCACTACCAGTCGGCCACCTCGCCGCTGAAAACAACAGGGCGCGATGGCGCACAAGTGTGTGGTGTTCGCCGGAAGAGGCGAAATAACAGAGGGAAGTGAGGTTTCCTATGGTTAAAGATTCGGAAACTTTCAGACGAAAATTTTCAGCATTTTCGGAAAAAGTGCATATACAGATCTTGACAGTGGTCAAATAAGGAGGTGAAGTCGGAATTCAAATTCATCAAAATTCTGAAAGTTTTTCAGAAACGACTTCCCTTGTAAGCGAAAAAGAATTTTTTTTTTGAACATGGTCTCTGAAACACGAGATCCCTACTACCGAAATAGACCATTTTGGGGACTTCCTATAAAAGAACACCGAGACCTCTCCCAATGTATCATTCCTTCAGAATGTCACTGAAATTTTTGCTCCTGCTAAATTTCTTGTGCCTTCTATTGATAATTTCCGGTATTTCGAATGCGAACCCTACTTTTGATCGAAACCCTTCTGAATCCGATCCATCCTATGGCAAGGTGTATGATGATTTCTAGCTTCCACGCCGCCATCGCCATCGCGAATGTATTTTTGTTATTCCAGATGATTGTGATAGTCGTCTTATTTGGAGCTTAGAAAGTAACATTACTGATAGGTTATCAGCCATCTTGAAAAAAGGATTCACTTACAAAGGATGCCAGGAGACATTCAATAAGGGTGAGTTATTGAAGAGGATAACATAGAGTAAAAAAAAACATAGAGTAAACTGACGTATTTAACAAAAAATGATCAAAACTACTACAAAAACTGAATTAAAACAAGTTGGGCTAGTCGAAGTTTTCGAATTTTGAAGTTTTAAAACTATAAAATCAAAATTTACCGTAAACACTCTAATATATAGCCCTCCTAATTGAACGTCACCCTTTAATAGAACGTTCTCCCAGCTAAGCATTGAAAATTAGAACGCCATGGTATTAAATTATTCATTTTATTCATTTATTTTATTTATTTATTTATTTCAACGAAGGGGAGAAAACCACTAACACGTGAAATGTCTATGAAACTAGGAGATATAACAGGGACATACATTTTTATTAAATGGGAAATGGAGGAAAAACCGAGTTAGTAATTAGTTGAATTCAAGACAAGAAAATGTTAATGTTTTAGATCACAGGATAATAGTCGATTTTTGAAAGCCGCTGACGAGGGCTTCACCGGAAACACATTGGCGGGTAAAGAGTTCCAACATCTGATTACTCTATTAGAGAGAAATTGAGAAGATATTTTTGTTGAGTTTTTGATAAGTGTTTTGAGATAGTATTCGTGGCGTCGCTATGATCCAGCATGATTAAATATTTCGAAAATTGGAACCTCCATGATAATTATTTATGATAATTAGAGTATTTTACGGTATTTTAAAACTAATTTAAAAATTTTGAAGTTTCGAGAGTTTCACTGTTCCAAAATTTGAACTTTGAGGAAAACTATAACAATAGAAAATCTCATCATAATGCTCTGAAATTTCAATAATTCCAGAAGACATTATTGATATTGCCGAAGAAATCGAACACGAGTTCAATCTATACTGGAACATAACTACGATCCAGATAAACAACACTACAACCGACTCAATCGTCGAGGTAACCGAGGGTGATTCTAATGAAGATTCTGATGAAGGCCAAAGCTGTCTTTGACTTAAAAGAAAAAAGGTTCGTCAGTGCAGAGGCCGTCGGATGTATTACATCGAGGAAGGAAAACCTGCAGCTTGATAATTGGTTTTTTATCAATAAACATTTTGAGCATTCCAACAATTAAAAAATTCAGGAAATGACATACTGAAGGGATTTTAATTGAACATTCATCAACATGTAGACCGTCAATAACATTGTCTGTCGGCAATACATTTGCTTTCCGTAATTTTCCAAAAATTTTGAGTCTTGCATGAGTAACGCGTATGAAAACGCAGTTTCGAAAATGTTGAAATAATGATGTTATAGATACTCGAATTCAGGATCTTGGGACTTCTAGATTTCTAGGCACCTAGATACCTACATACCTAGATTCCTTGAAACCTAAATTTCTAGACTCCTAGATTCCTAGACTTTTAGATTCTCAGATTTCTAGATTTCTAGATTTCTAGATTTCTACATTTCTAGATTTCTAGATTTTTAGACTTCTAGATTTCTAGATTTCTAGATTCCTAGATTCTTAGATTTCTAGATTCCTAGATTGGGATTTTTGGATGATATTGGAAGAGTCGAAATTCATCCAAATGAATTGGAGTTCATTCTTCAGGTGAGATTAGGAATTTCAGAAGTTTTTTTTCTCCTAGATTCCTAGATTCCCAGATTACTAGCTTCTTAGAATTTTAGATTCCTAGATTTTTAGATTCCTAGATTTCTAGGTCCCTAGATTCCTAGATTCCTAGAAAACATTAAGCTATATTTTTTCAGCAAAACTTCAAATTTTCAGTCGCCAAAAATTTGAACATTCCTTTTCGACTGTGTTTAAAAACACAAATCAGATAAAACTTTTACAGATCATAACCAGTAAAAAAATATACACAAAAATCATAAAGTTAGCTTTTCAAAGTGCAAATTCGGAGTTTCCTTCTCCTTCTCCGAATCGTAAATCATCTTTCCTCTGTTCAAATAAAAAATCGACGTGATTTTTCGAACAATAAATATTCCATGATTCGGATAGTCTTCAGAATTTTCCATAAATCTATCATGGACTTTCACAGTAGCTCTGACAATCAACGTTTTGTTTTTGAGGTGAGTGTAGTCGTTTGGATACTTCTCCTCCAGCATTTTTCGATGAGCTTCGATTTTCTGAAAATTCAAATTCAAGCTTTGAAAATTTGGGATTTTATCCAAGAACACCAATTTAGGAATCTAGAAATCTAGAAATCTAGGAATCTAAGAAGCAGAGAATCAAGGAATCTAGGGAAAAAACTCAAAACTTCTGAATTTCCTAATCTCACCTGAAGAATGANCTGAGAATCATTTGGATGAATCTNGNCTNTTCCAATATCCACATCTACAAAATGAGCACTCTTTGACAGTTGCTGGCTCCGAATCTCCCATGGCTGCTCTTGGTTTTCCGGGTCTTCTAGCATTTTGTGGTTGAAGGCAAATGAAGCGTCCATCTGGAAAAAATCAGAATTTTGGGAATTTCTGGAGTTTGTCTGGAGATTACATCAGACTTTGGGATGGTGGAAATTCAGATTCGGAGCCTTGAATTTCAGAATGTTGAGTTATAAATTCAGAAGAGTTTTTCTCAGGTCTGCAGTACAGAAACGCGCAAAATGGGTGTCTTTCAGTAATCGGTAAATATCTAAAAAACTTGGAATTCGCAAGAAATTCTGTGAATGCAAAGTTTTCAATCTGGGCCTGTTTCACACCATCCATAACTTTTAAAGTAACGGGAAACTTGACGGCCGAGCACCAGACTTGAAAAATTTAGAATCCCTACCTCAACGTTTCCATTAATAAGACATGTATGCTTTTGTGGTTCCACTTCTTTTACTTGAACCGCCGTAGTATTATAAAATACAGTATCCGTTGGTCCCAAGTCTTCCACAGTTTTTGATCTGAATTTTTGAGCACGAGACTTTGCGTGTCTATTGTCACGAAGTTGGTATTTGTACCATTTGCCGAGCTGGAAAAATTGAAAGGATCCAACAATCCAGTACTTGGAGTCCAGAAATAGGAATCTAGGAATCCCAAGAATTTCAAATTCCCTCACCTTAAAACTCGGTTCATCAGTGCTTCTAAGTGCTCCTGTCACATGTTTATCCTTATGTACATGTTTTGATACCTCCATCTCTCTGATCAGCCACTTGGTGAGCCCAAATTTCGGAGAGAATAGCAGACCGCACTTCTCCAGTGATCCTTTTACCGCAGCACAGTATGCTGGATTATTGACGTCCACTTTTATGCAAATTCCAACTGTCACATCATTTTTGACAGTTAGTCCATACCGATTGACAATCTGGAATTTCGATATTTTGAAACCAAATTTCCAAATAAATTCCTGAAACCCACCGGCAGGGCTGGATGCAAAACATGAACTGGTTCCATTCGGGTCACAAGGAATTCCATAGTCCACGGCTGGAAAAAAAAAATTATACTTGAAATACAGTAGCCGACTTACTGGCAATCGAGCATAGGCCACATTTTGTGGTGGTGTCTCCCTTTCAACAATTCGGACTCTTCGAAAATGCGCTCATTGGTTGGATGGTCCTTGGATGGGGCAAATTTGACCACTACCTAAAATTAAATTTTTGATGGTCCGGGTTTTCGGAATATCCTATTTTTTAAATCATTTTCTATATTTCTGTTTGTCCTGGTGTTCTTGAAAGTATCCTTCATCCAGTTTAGACCCCTTTAGAGTTCACCCGGTTCACATCAGTTAATCTAAGAGATTTCACAGAATGTCCAACTGACAAAATATTTCGGACATTATGATGAGTACTTTATCAGTTGAAACTTTTTTGATATCTCTCAAAAGAACTGACATAATTGCGCTCAAAGTTGAAACTTACTGTAGTTCATCCTACACCTGAACTTTCAGATCAATTATCTCGGTTCCGATAGGAGGTATCAAAAATTTGTCAAAAAATAATAATATATTTCTGACATTATGGTGAACAATTTATCATCTGAAAATTTTTTGATATCTCTTATAAGAACCGAGATAATTGAGCTCAAAGCTTAAGTATTGGGGGTGCTTTTATGAGAGACCCTATATGAGCAATTTGGCCTCAATTTTCTTGGTTCTTTAAAGAGATACTGAAAATTTGTGAACTGATAAAATACTAATGACAATATTATAAATCATTCATCAGTTAATACATTTTTGATATCTCTTAGAGGAACCGAGATAATTGAGCTGAAAGTACAGAGAATATTTAAAAAAATTTCTTCAAAATTATATGACATTTTTCTTTTTTATCTAGAGATACCGTAAAAACTCTATTAGATAGGCACCCCTAATAGAATGCCAGCCGCTGATATAGTGCCATCCTAAAGCACCTCCGAACAATAGAGTAACAGCCCCTGATATAAGGCCACTGCGGAGTTGATGACACTGTGGTACAAGTTGATGAATAACACAAAAAATCATTTTCTGGTTTTCTAGCTTTTTTCAAGCTTAAAAAAGGTGCTGTATATGTCTAAAATGTTTCAGGATATCAAACTCCGAAAGTCTCAAAAAAAGAAGTAGAAAAATCAAGAAAATCTCATTTTACGAAGTTGAAAATTGAGTCCTTTTGTGACTAGTTTTAGTAGAAACTGGCTCCAAACAATAAAGTGCCAGCCTCTAATTGAATGCCACCCCCTAATACAGTACCACCCCTGACCACCTCCGAACAAAATAGTGCCATGGCTATCTAATAGCGTTTTTACGGTAGAAGTCAAATCTTCCAATTTGCTCTAAAACCAAGTTTCTAGTTTATTCAGTACCCGAGAAACGGTCAATTGAAGTTTTGAAGAGACCCACACAGTTAGAGTGTCTTGTTGTCTGCCTGTCTAGCTTTCAAAACTTTAGATAGCCATATCTTGGCTTTTAGGGATGCTAACTGAATGGTTTCTGCTGGAAAATATTCCAAATTTTAAAGGCCTAATTTCTTACCTCTCCAACATCACCACCTCTGAATGTGCTATTAAAAAGGTCCTCCTTATCATCCAAAAACTTCAAGAACGGCGACCAAACTGCCATTCGGTACTTGTTTCGAATCTCACGTGGCAGCGCAAATTCATTGGGTCCGATTGCCATGACTTGTGCAAAAACTTGTCCAACCGTGTTCGCCCAAACTTTACAATCCGTCATTTCGAAATCGAAATGTGTCTCGTAATCCTAAAAAATCAAAATTAGTGGATTAAAAAAGTAGAGGAAAAGTTTACCCCTTCAAAAATTGAATACCACTTTCCGAGGACCAATTTCTCTCCGTTATCGGAGATCGGGAGTTCCAGAAGTCCGTATTCCAGAGTGTAGAACTGAAAATAGAAACAAAGGAAATCCGAACACACAGAAAAAACTCACCTTGACGATTTGATCATCCAGCGAGCACAGGAAACCGGTGGTGTTGATGGCTTGAATGTCGAGGGGAGGATCCCAAGAGCTCATTCTGGAAATCGATACGATTTTTTGAATTTTTTAGATCGATTTCAGAAAAAAAAATGCAAAAAAGCGACAAAACCACTAGTAGAAAATGACAAAAACAAGGAATACAAACATCATTTTTCGCACCCATAACAATAAATCAAAAAATGTTCGATCTTAGTTTTTGATCTACAATGGTATTTTTTTTCCAAATAGATGAAAAATGCTGAAAATAAACAAAAACAGCTAAGAATAAAACCAGAAAACATCATGGGAATTTTTTGAAAACTGACTTAAAATACCGTATTTGCTGTAATAGAAGACGCATATTTTATCAGTTGAAATATTTTTTATATCTCTTAAAGGAACCAAGATAATTGAGCTCAAAGAGCATGTATAGAGTGGGGTTCAATTTGAGCTAAATACGGTGAGAAAAAAGGGAGGAAAATGTGAGAAAACACTGAAAAATGCATGTTATTAACATGTCAACAGCAGCAAAATATCAAAAACTTTGTTTCGATGTTTGTTTGCTGACTGAAGAATGAATGTAAAAAACGAGCCGATAAAGGAAAACTGCTGAAAATCGTTTGAAACTTAATGAGCAAACCTTTATAAAGGGAGTGGAAGAATCAGACTTTGTGGGAATGGGAAAATAGTAGATTAGTTCTTTCACATCATTATCCGTGATTTTGTGAAAAAGAGGTAAAGGAGGTCCTTAAATTAGAGAGTGTGAGAGACGCACATTAGTGAGTGTGAGAGACAATGACATAACGTCTTCCCCTGGAGCACCTGGACCCCTAAAATCTGTATATAACATCCTATTAGTCACCGATTCCGTCTATTGATTGATTGCTCTATTTAGCCTATTGCTACTATGTCTCCATCCCCACAAACCATTTCTTCTAAATCCTCCGATGTCTTTAAGAAGACTATGCATTCAAAGTATGTGCTGGAAATCTCCTCCTGGTTTTCTGACTTCTCTGAAGATGAGAGCATTCACCCGACATCCCGCCTTCGTCTATCGGAACTCGTCAGAATGGCAAGACGAAGAAAAAGAAACCGAAAGTTTAGAGATGACAAGAATTTTCGAAAAGGAGTACTCCACGATTCTGTCGTCAAGAAGGTCTGCCGGTATCAGAAAAAAGTGCTCCAAAATTTGAAAGAAGAGAGAAAATGTTATCGATGAGCAGACGAATCAGATGATAACGGTAACCCCATAGAATACTTGAATGAAAGTAGAGAAGAGGAAGTACGAGATGACAACGGAGACTCCCGATGCCTCAGAATTCAACGGTCGCCTGCCAAGCAGCAGAAGACCAACACCACCGACTCTTACGAACCACTCGACATAGAATCCTTCTACCAACGCCTTGACGCCAAAATGCTCTAATAATTTTTGTTTTTTCTGCCTTTTTAGTTTCAATTAACTGTGTCGATAAATTGACGAGAAAAACAAACTAACAATTCAAAAAATCAACCATGGGTGGGAACACCGACACACACATTGCGTACAATGCGCCACAAACGACACCAAACTGACCTTCATGAGAAAAAGAGAGAGAATATTGTTTTTGAATATTAAACATCATTTTGATTCGAATTCTGTTTATTTTTTAGTTTTCGTTTTCTTCTTTTTACTTTCTAAACTTTTTCTATTTTTTTAGAACCTTCAAAAAAGTCAGCTATGTCCAAGAATTGTGAAAAATCCAAAAAATTAAAGAAGTGAGTTTTTTTGAAATAAAAATTCGGAATTTCAAAAATATTGTTTTCCAGGCACACGGAGATTTCGAAAGCCGAAAAAGATGAGCAGGATTTTGATTCCTGGCTCTGGGGACAAATGTTTTATTCGGATTGTTACATGAGAAAGTGAGTTTAAATTTTTGAAGAACCATTTAAAAAATTGGAAAAGACAATTTCAATTCTTTTTTTTCAGTTTCGAAGAACAAAAAAAAATCTACCTGACATACAAGGAGCTGAAGGAGAAGGGAAGATTGGAGGAGTTCAAATATGAAAGAGCAGGAAACTCTGGAGATCTTACACTTCTGGAGCCTGAAATGGAGAAAATCAGAATCGCCGAGGAGGGTGCAAAGAAAGCTGAAGCTGTAGAAAAAGAAAAAGAAGAAGCATGGGATTCTAAAGATCGACGGCCATGGGAAACTGATAAGGAGTTCCGGAGACGAATTCATCACCCGTATTCTGATTCATCAGCGTCTGATGATTGAGGAAGGAGCAGTTGTTAATTCAAAAACTGAATTTTTCCAAAATTATTAGGTTGTCAGGAAAGTAACTGTCCATTTATTTATTAGTAAATAACACAAACACAAGAGTAATCCTGAATTAGCAATATGCACCGTCGTGATCCACAACATGTTGGCAATGTTCAGGTAACTTGTGGGTACCATCCCTCCAGCTAGTGGCAAGTCAAAGTATCCCTCCAGTCCATTTTTTCAGGCATCAAGTGTGTTAAAGTCCTTAAGCTCCAGATGATGTCGTATACTTTTGAATAACCAATGATCTGATAGAGCTGAATCAGGTCATTAACGGGGGTAAAGGAAACCCGTTCAGCCAAAGCGGCTAAGGTACGGCATGACTTTCCGTGAACATGAGGTTTTTTCATTTTTTACCTGCAGTCAAGTCAGACCTGAGCAGCTTCAGCGGGACCATTCTCCCTCACCTACTTATAGTCTCGATTGAGCTCTATCAGATTATTGGATATTCGGAGAGATACAGCCTCATCTAGAAAATACGAAAATTTGCACCATTTATGTGAAAAACAGGGAAAATGAATACTTTGATTCGCGGCTAGCTGGCTTTTGAAGGTATTGTATCCACAAGTTATCTGAACATTGCCAACATGTCATGGACCACGACGGTGCATACTGCTAATCTTGGATTAATCCTGCTTTTGTATTATTCACAAATAAAAGAAGGGACAGTTACTTTCCTGCCAACCTAATATCTTGTTCACTTTTTTCCCACTTCTCGACTTATTTTTTATTGCAATTTTGTCCGAAAACACCTTCAATAAAATTTATTCTAAAATCAAAATTTTCTCTCACTGTTAGCGTGATACGAATCAGACAAAATCCGATGACTATTATCTGAAATGGTCCAAACTTCCGAGTCACTACTGTAGGCATAAGAAGATGAACGTGTCTAACAGTATCTTCTGTGTTCTGCTTTTTACCAGGCCTACAGCACAATCGTTTCAACGCATCTATTGATCGCTGCCTACTCGCATCACGCTCTCTATGCACAAGAACAAAAGGTCAAACGGACCATCCTCTCTTTCTCACCTCATTTTCTTGCCCTATTTCTGTGTGCTGCCTGGATATCGGGTTCACGTGTGTCTTCTGCGTATCGATTGTTTTGAGCGCATCATACCGCAAAATATATATGCTGATTCATTATTCCAAGAAGCATGGGGACCAGGCCTGTGCGGCAACAATTTTTTTCGGCAATTCGGCAACTCGGCAATTTGCCGAAAAAAAATTTCGGCAATTTCGGCAACAAAAGTTTTGCGTCTTTTTTTTAGTAAAATCGATACGTAACTCACCTGAAAATGCTTCTATCAGGCTCAAAACTACAAAAAATGTATTTCATAAATTCCTTAAAGAAGTAATTACAAAAATTGGCAACTCAAGACCACATTTTTTATGCAAACTATTTCTCTTTAGCAATAGAGGGTATTCCAATGGTTGAAAATATTTGTTCCGATTGTTAGTTTTGAAAATAGTGCGCTCAACTTGTTAGGCAACTCACGACGCACGTTCCCTAGAGATTTGAGACAAATCGGATAATTTTTTTTGATGAGTTGGGACTTGTGATATCTATTTTTCTCCTATGCTCACAAATTTGAAGCCCATTTTTAAATCTGATGCAAGTATTTTTGATGATTATTGGGACACATTTCCTCTAAAATTCACTCTGAGGGATGATGGTGTTCAAAATTTGATTTTTCGAACTTCGAAATCATTTTTTTGACTAAAAAAGTTGTGAAAATCTCTAAATTCAAAAAATTTCAGTTGCCGAAATTGCCGAAATTTTTTTGCCGAAATCGGCAACGGCAATTCGGCAACTTTTTCTTCGTTGCCTATTACGGCAACGGCAAATCGGCAACAAAAATTCGGCAATTTCGGCAATCGGCAATTTGTTGCCGCACAGGCCTGATGGAGACCATAATTAAAGCAGTGCTGAGCTACGTAAGTGACATCATCTTTACTGAGAACACTTTATTTGTGACATAAATTCGCGGCAAAAGCAGATCAGAACACTGTTAAAGTCTAGAAAATATGTTCCAGAATACAATAGCATCATTGCGATGCGGTATATCTGTTAGTTTCTCTACAACTTCTATAATCACCCAAACAAAGCAAATGTTTTATTTTTCAGAAAATTGCTTCCGACGCAATCGAGTCCTTATGAGAAGTTTGTCGAGATTTGAAATGACGCGATCACATTATCATTAGGATTGATGATAAGCAATACAGAAGCCACCATTCATGAGTTGTCATGGAATGTTTTTGATTCAAGCAAGCGGTAGTAACAATAACTTTCAGAGAAAAATTGTTTAGTTGGCAAGCGTCCTTCCAACATCGCTGTGTGCCCGAAATTCAAAATTTTGTGTAAAATATTTTGAAAAAAGTTCGAAGTCTGCAAGCATTATAAGCTGATCAAATTCCGGTGAGCATTTGGTCAAAAGACTAATTTGACTAAACTTTTTCAGAAACGACACGATGCATTATTTTCCAATTTTTCCAAAAACGTCATCGCGGCCAACAATGTCTATCTGGAAGTCTCAGGCTTTAAAAGACACAAGCTGAAATAAACAAAACGGAACGAAGCACTCATGAATTGATATGGTTCATACGATCCTCCGAACTCAAAGAAATATATCATACAACACCATGTTGACACAAAACATCGCTTGCTTTGGACATTTTTGCGGATGGAAAATTCACCCACGAGACATTGAGGAGCAATTCTACAAAGAAAACTCTACCCATCTTCATATCTGCATAAGGAATTGCAAGGAAACATACGATAAAACGCCAGAAGGACACGACAAGCAACATTTCTTGCTCGATTGGATCGCTGTAACGATAGAATACTCCATTGTGAACGTCGACTCAATCATCCAGCTTCATCTTCTAGCAATAACGGTATTTCGAAACCTCATCCTAAAAGATTACTCAAGAATTTGTTGAAGAAACTGCGAACTCGATCAATGTATGTAAGGTTTTGATTCAACCCAACGATATCCCTTTTTATTCTTCAGAAAATAATTGAGTAATGGACCAGCGTCGCTTCAACATCGCTGATTTGAATTCGCATTCGAATTTTAAACATGAAGACAATCCGAAGGCTAAAAGCACCCGTATTATTGATTCTGGTCGTACTGAATATGTGTAAGCCGACGAGAAAACCTAAGAAAAATGTGCCCAGTTGCGAAGATCCCAATCCCTTTATGGATGCTAGCAGAATCTTGAAATTAATTAGGAGACGACCCGATTGATATGAAGATACGTCCTCAAAGCGACCAGAGCACATTTCTCGGTGATATCGACGTGTTGTGATCAAGAGATTGGTATTTTTTCATAGTTGTTCCAAGCCCTGAAGCCAAAAGAAAAAACCATAAGATTTTCTCCAACACTGAAACATTTTTTCAACGCCACAATAGTTCTCTGTGTGTGAATGCAAGGGCGAGGACTAGTTTTTCCTCTTTCCGTGGCCATGTGTCGATTTACGCAGCTTATGTTGAAATATACTCGAAAAAATTCAAGAAATGAATTTATATTCGTGACTTAAATCAGATGAATGATTTTTTGAATGGATTAAACGTAGATCAGGTATTAAAACTGTGTAACTAGATCGAACTGCTAGCCTAAACCGCGAAAAATCAAAAATTTCATATTTCAGAGTTCTAAATGGAAGCGACGACATGATCAGGCAAAAAAAGGATCTGGTTGCAAAAAAAGGAAAATTTGAGGAAGCCCGAAGTCATGTGTATTGCTTCCCAGTGTATTGCTTCCCGAGTAACGAATAACATATTTTCTGCGAGATTGTTTTGTGAGGCTCAGAAGGATACTGTCGATGTTATTGAAACTAGATACCTCGTAAGCTCAGGATGATAATGTTTGATGAGACGAACTGGACCTTGATTAGACGAGCCAAAAAGCTGAGAAAGAATAACGCTGCAATGACCCCCATCGCTTCATGGAAGCTGGAAAAATCGTAAAATTAATCAGAAGGCGATTGAAATAAAGAGATGCATTAATGTTTCGAAACATCTTCCGGGAAGTAACCTGCTGAACGGGACTGCGAATTCGAACAACCACAGTCACTACAGCTGATTGATTATGTAAGTTTTTGATTCAAGGCTGCTACATTTATTATTATTTTCAGAGAAGAAGTGAGTACTGGGTCAGCGTCCCTTCAACATCGTTGTTCACCGGAAAGTTGAAATCCATGCAGTTTCAATTTTGAAGGCCATCTGAAGGCAACTTGGCATAATGATGATCAAACTTCTAGTCGTTCTGAACATGTGTTTGCAAGCAAACGAGAACTGCAATAAACTGTAGCTAATAATAGCTGGGTAGATCTCGAAATCAATTAGAAGACAAGACAATCGATGTAACGAGGTGCCTCTCGTCACGATTATGCTGATCAAATTTAAAGTTATAGCGGATTTTTGTTAGCAAGCCGAACAGGGATAAGAAGAAATGCGATGAATACTATCCGAAACATTATGACGACACGACAGAAGACATTCCTCTTTTGACTGAAACGTTGAAAAAATATCACACTTCATCCTGGACGCTGACTCAATGGACGTTGACTCTTCATCGTTTTCCTGTGCCTGTACTCTGGATATTTATCCGAGAAGATAGCAAGAAAAGTTTGTTGAGTGGTACTGTAAATTCGAACAACCACAGTCAGAACAATTGGTTTTTGTATGTAAGTTTTTGATTTAAGCTGCCAGTATTTTTCAATAATCTTCAAAGAAAACATGAGTACTGGGCCAGAGACCATTCAACATCGCCGTAAATCTAGGAATTTCGATGCAGTTTTAAATTCGAAGACAACCTGTAAACTACAATCATTGAGACTACGTTGATCATGCATCTACTCGTACTGGATATCTGCTTACAAGCTGACAAAGAGAATAAAAAAAAGTCCGGCTGTTAGTCGCGATGATCCCAATCGTTTAATGAAATCTGGAAAGATCTTGAAATTTAGCAGAAGACGATTGAAGTGAAGAGATGCATTAATGTTTCAAAACATCACCGGGAAGTAATCTACTGAACGGGACTGCGAAATCGAACAACCACAGTCATTACCGTTGATTGAGTATGTAAGTTTTTAATTCAGCGCGGCTACATTTATTATATATTTCAGAGAAGTAGTGAGTATTGGGTCAGCATCCCTTCAACATCGTTGTTCACCGGGAAATTGAAATCCATGCAATTACAAGTTTGAAGACCATCTGAAGCCAACTTGGCATAATGATGGTCAACTTCTAGTCGTTCTGGAATATAGCTGGAAAGATCTTGAAATTTATTAAAAGACAAGACGAGCGAAGGGAAAAGATGCGTTAACGATTATGCTGATCAAATTTCAAGTCATAGTGGATTTGTGTTAGCAAGCCGACACAGGAAATCAAGAAAAAACGTTTGGCTGATAGTTGCGATGATCACACTCGCTACATGGATGCTGGAAGAATCTCGAAATCAATCAGACGCAGAGACAATTCGAAGGAATAGAACTTTTCGAGAAAAAACAAACTTTTATCGATTTTTCCATTATTTTCACCATTTCCGAAAGGTTGTTGTCAAGAAACCGATACACTGAATCTCCACAATCTCACTTAGCACCAAGGACCTTGTTAGTTTCATTTTTTTTGCTGTTCGTCGTTTCAAATTTCAGTGTGCCGCTTCTCCAATTTCAGTGTGCCGCTTCTCCTCGGATCGTGCAACGAACAGCGTCTGCAATGTGAGTTATCTGTGAAATCGCTCCAAAACAGTGAAATTCTCCAGATTCTGCCTTTACTCCGGGTTTCGGATGTTGTCCAGTTCCAGTGAATGAAGCGCCAAGGGGAATGATCAAAATTACTGAGTTGGGCTGCAGAAAATGGGAAATCAAAGAAGATTTTGCGGTGAACCAGTTCCAATTTGAGCGCATTTGAGGGAATCACAATTACGTTTTTTCTCATTATTTCAATTATAAATTGTTTCTAACTAATTTTATTGCTCCAAGCAACGACTTCAGCAGCGTTCCCAAGTTTAATTCCTTTGTATGCTTATCTCTAAAACGTATTTTAGCAGTTTTTCAACGGTCATGATCGTTTTTGTTGTTTTTTCGTCACCACCAGAGAGACTTCAACGACGGCGTTAGAAAATTTCGAGTCTTCCAGATTTTTCTTAAAATCTCAACATGTTAAATACAAAACTTCTCCGTTAGATGCATCAAACGGTTTAAAAAAAACAGTTTCATCGGGTTGACTGCTTATTCTGGCTTGCAAAATAAAGAAAATCCGCAGAGACACGCTGACTGCGTACCTCAGTGCGCACGATACTACGCGCAAACTATAGATTTTTCATTCCAGTCTTCCTACCATTTCCACGCTGAACTCGCAACATTTTTCCGTTTAATCCTGTAAAAAAACAAATTTCAGCTTCTTCCTCGGATCCAACTCACCACCGTTTTGCGTATGTGGATCAATTCTATCCGGAACACAATCCAACGAACAACTGGCAATGTGTCGTCATTTTTAACAACAATCATCCAGCTCCAGGTAATTTTTATGAAAATTATAGCTCCCAGAAGAACAAATGTTGAATTTTCAGGAATGCGCGATTGAATCATCGTCCAAAATTCTCATCGGCGATCAGAAAAGAAGGAAATTTCAATTCGAATAAAATATGTACTAGAATGAGACACCGATCATTTTTGTCTGGCGGAAATCTTACTGTTAGGAGTAGGAACGCAAACGGCAACCCGTCTGTATATGAGGACTGCCAAAAAGAAGAATAAACGCTAGTAGAAACGCTTGTAGACATTACGCTAGTAGACAAGACGGGCTTGATTAGGGCAGCAAAAAATTCAACTTATTTACTAATTTGTGAGAGATAGGCACGGAGAATGTGGATACTATGACTGGAATCAATGACCGGTTGATCATATGGCGGCACGATTTTTTCAAGTTTAGAAAAATGGTGATGTATGAGCAATGCCACAGGCTTCAGCGTTTTTTGATTACGCACGTAAGTTGTACAGATCAAAATACACCGGCATAAATTATAATTTTCAGAGTGAAAGAATGATGCGCTTATCTCTCTCAAACACACCGAAGACAACAGAAATTGGCACTTTGCTGATCAGACGTTCAATCGTACTACAACATACATGTCGCGTGCCGGGTCGGGCCGATGGAGGAATTACACTGGCCCGGGTTTTCGAGGCAAACATTTTTAGGAGTCATTTTTTGATACAAAACTGGATTTTTGGAAACATTTTGTCAAAATTCTTTTGTTTTCAGCTTTCAAAAGGGTCTTGTGCCAAATTTCGTATTTTAAAATAAGAATTTAAAAAAATGTATCAAAAATCAACAGAAAAATTTTAAAATATTCGGAACCCGGTCATCGTCTCTCGGTGGTCAGCAACTCCGTCTTTCATTGCGTGTTTGAGCTGGAATTTGCCATTAAACCGGTACGGCTGTTCCTACCCACGTCAAGTCAGTAATTTTTTACATCAGTCGGAAAGGGCTGCTCCAAATGGAACAATTGAAAATTTCTGAAAATTTCTGTGATCTATGATAGACTTCTATGAAGTTCTATCCATTTTGCTACTTCCAGATTGTTTCACTCCGGCTAAACCTAGCATGCCTGGTCTTGCTGACGCTTACTTTAGCAGAAAATCAGATTTCCGGTTTTTTTAGGCATCAACATGTATGTTTTAATTGAACACACTTCAGACAAGATAAATTTGTCATGCACACTTTTTTCAGGCGCAGGAACATCACTGGCAGTAGTTTCTATTTTCCTCGTCAATTCGATTACATTTCTCAATCCCTCAAGTGATTTGTGCAACCCGTTATGGATTTCCTATCATTCAAGCTTGATTGAGATCATCTGTGACAGATCAGCTGCAACACCTCCTTGCTTCCAAAATTAATAAAGCAATTTTCTGTGGCCCGTAAAAAGACATTTTCTGCGGTAAGTTCTGTTTTTATCAAATCTGAACGGGATGTGTTTGGTGCACGGAGTAGAGGTTCTGGAAGCAAAACGCTCTTCTGAAACCCTCTCTGTATGCTTGGCACTCCTAATCAGATATTTTATTATTTTCCAAAAATCTACTAGGTAATATTTTGTTGATTTTGAATTACAGTATGTGAACCATTCTGTTCATTTTAATATCAACGTGAAAAAATATTCAGAACTTGAAAACAAGGTTCATTTTAAAAATTTGCTCCTTTGCGAGATAATAGAAAAGTTATCGTGAACTTAATGTTTGAAGTTTCTTCCATTGTTGCAATACTTTGAAGCATCAAAATCTAACACCACTGGATCTCCGTTCATGAACTGTTGTCCCAGGAGTACCGATTGCATACCTACGTGAAAAGCTTGGTATAGGTGAACCAATCTCCCGATGGAGCATGAAGGAGTAGGATAAAGTCTTCTGGCCGCACATTTCAGCACACCTTCTTCGCATTTTTGGTATAGAATGGTGTAGTTGACTGGCATCTCACGAAAGCCGCGTTCGAATTCATCAATTTCCGAACATGATTGTCCTATTTCAATAATGTTGGACTAAATGTTCAAAAAACTTTCAAGCAGTTTCGAATTGGACACTCACATCTCGGAAACAAGAGAAAGCGTCTCCGTAAACTTTACTTCCAACGAAATCCGCTGCTTCAAGGAAGAAAGCAACTACTTTTGAAAGTTTGCACTGTACATCGTGTCCAAAGCAACTCGAAATGTTCCTTGTGATTTTTAAAACTTCTTTCATAGCTTCAAGGTGATATACAAGTTCGAGATTATTATTTACTTCGTGTTCAAACATTTCGATGAAACTCTGAAGTTTTTATTGTTACATATATATAAGAATAATCGATCGATATGAGAAACGATACATCAGATAAACGATTTTACTCACTTCGTGTGGTTTGACGCATTCATTGAATTTCGTTACTTCCGTGGAACACTCAGGGGATTGTCCGAATTCATGTCTTAAACCTTTTAGAAGTTGGCTTTCAGGCCAAATAGATGAAAACGAAGAAGAAATAGCAAATAGCAGAATTAGAAGCACAGTTCGTACCATGTCTTCCTTTCTGATAAATGTTCCAACATTTAGGTTTTTATAGGCAAAAAATAGAAAAGCTTTTGTTTAGAACTATTGTTCGCATACAAACAAAATGATATGTATCTGAAGGTTTTTCATAATATTCTTTTCTGTTCATCATGATGATTCAAGTTTTTTCCGTTTGTTCTTCTATCCAGAAAAACAAACATTTTCAGGGCTTTTATACTTTCACAGTAACTGCCAAAATTTTTTTGGTATAGTCCTTTTGTTTTGAAAAAAATTTACTCATGTTTTTTGATGATTGGTAAATTTTTTCAGGCGCAGAAATACGAGCATCACTGCCGGTGTTTTCCGTTTGGCTCAACAATTGGTTTTTCAGTTACCCAAGTGATTTACTGGCAACCCGTTACGGATCTCCTATCATTTGCGCTTGATTGAGGTCAACTGTGACAGATCATCAGCGACAACTTCTCGCTACCAAACATGAACATGTCAATTTTTGGTGGTCAGTGGAAACAAGCATTTGCATTGGTAAGTTTAGTTTCTAAGAAATCTGAACAAGATGTGTTTAGTGCACGGAATAGAGGTTCTAGAAGAGGAGTTCTACTGGAACCCTCCCTGTCTGCTTGACACTCCCAATCAGGTCGTTTTTTTCATCGACTCATATACGTTATTTTTTTTGTTCTTTGAACCACCGTGTAAGCCATCCTGCTTATTTCAACATCAATTTGAATTTCTTTCAAATGTCTTAGTTGCCCTTTTATTGATGATTCAAAACGTCTTAAGAATTCGAAAAAATATTATTTTTTAAAAATTGTCTTTATTTCGAAATAGTGAAAAAATTATCAAAAACTTGATTTTGAAGTCTTCTCAATTGTTGCAATACTTTGACGCACCAAAATCTAACAAGACCGGATGTCCCTCCATAAACTGTTCTACAAGAAATGCCGATTCCATACCAACCCGGCCCGGCCGGTTCGGCCGGTTCGGCCCTTTCGAATTTAAGAAAAAACAGAAATTATTGAAGAATTATTTGAATTTATTTCTTAACAAGTAGCATAACAATGTAAAAACCGTATAAATGAACAAGGGGAAACAAAGAAATGGAAACCGGGGGAGAAAATTAAAACTCATTTCAACCAATCCAACAAAAAAGATAGAAAAGTAACATAAAATTAACTAGAAAAATCACTACAATTAGTGAGAGAATCAGTCGAGCCAGTGTGGAAATTTCGTGGCTATTTGCGAACCCGGAACGACCATCTCCACACGCTTGTACAGTAATCTTGTTCTTGTTTTATCTAACAAAAACGACGCAGTGCTGAACGTAGTCTCACACATGGCTTCACTGGGAACAATCGAAAAAACTAAAAGTGCTGCTGAGTACAGTCCGGGGTATTCGAATCTTTTTCTTTTCCAATACTCCTCAACCGATTCGTTCGTTGAAGGATCGTAGTACTCGGAGAGATATCTTGAGATTTCCGAAGAAGTGGATGTTGAGTTCGCTTGGTCACTGACCGCATGATATAACTTTGCAATTAGATTTGACTTCTGCGATGAGGTGGGTTGAGTAGTGGAGGGAATAGCTGACGGCATTAACTTTGTGACAAGATTACGGGCCTGAAAGTTATAGGAAAGAAAACGAAAACATATAAACGAAAACAAGTCCTAAACAAAACAAAAATTTTTAGTAATAATTTTCAAATATTAATTAATTGCCGGCCGGCCGGGCCGGGCCGGGCCCTGGTTTTTTTCCCCCGGCCGGCCCGCCGGCCAGCCCGTCAGATTGCAACCCTGCTTTTCTTACAACTTTTCTTTCTTACTTTTCTTTCTTACTTGTTAAGTGTTTCAGAAATTTGCTTTCAGGCCAAAACGAAAACGACGGCGAAATCGCGAATCGCACAATCAGAAGCAGTGTTCGAACCATGTTTTCCATACTGACGAGTTTTTGAACATAGAGGTTTTTATAGGCACGAAAATAAAACGACTTTTGTTTAGAACTATTATTCACATAAAAACAATATAATATGTATCTTAACGTTTTTCACAATATTATTTTTCTGTTCACCAAGATGTTTCAGGTTTTTTTCCAATTATTCTTCCTTCCAGTGAAAACTAACTTTTTCAGAACTTGTTTCAGAATTTATCTACAGTAACTGCCAAACAGGTTTTTGATCTAGTCCTTTTTGCTGGAAAATCTTTGCTGACGTTTTTTGATGATTTGAAATGTTTTTAGTGTTCGGAAAAAACGCTCATTTTATAAAATTTGCTTTATTTCGAAATAACTGAAAAGTTCTCATCAACTTGATTTAGAAGTTTTTGTCAATTGTTGCAGTACTTTGAAGCATCAAAATCTAACACCACCGGATGACCGTCTATAAACTGCTGTCCCAGGAGTACCGAAGGCTTGGTATAGATTAACCAATCTCCCGATGGTGCACGAAGGATATAGTTTTCTGGCGGCACATTTCAATAAGGGTTCCTTGTATTTTTGGTATCAGATGGTACAGTTGACTGGAGGCATCGTGCGGAAATCGTTATTAAGGGTATCAATTTCCACACATGACTTGTTGAATTCAATTATGTTAGACTGAATATAGGGAAAGACTCAAAACTTCGTTAGAATTGAAGACTCACATCTCGGAAACAAGAGAAAGCGTCACCATAAACTTTGCTTTCAACGAAATCTGCAGCAGCAAGTGCGAAGGCGACTAATTTTGACATTTTACACTGTACTTCGTGCCCAAAACACCTCGAGACGTTCTGTGTGACTTTTGAAACTTCTGTCATCAACTTCAGTTCATATAAAACTTTAGGATTCACATTCAATCCGTGTTCCATGAAGTCAATAAAACTCTGCAATTTAGAAAAAGGGAATATATTAAAATCAATTCAGGGTATAAACTAATTTACTCATTTCATATTGTTTGATGCACTCATTGAATTTCTTCAGTTCCGTAGAACAGGTGTTGGTTGGTCTTTTTTTTAATTGTTTTCTTATGCTTTTCAGAAATCTGTGCTCGAAGGGAAATGGAAAAGAATGCGAAACTGCAATCAAAACAGTTAGAAGCAGAATTCGTACCATGTCTTCCTTACTGATCGATTTTTCAACAAAAAGGTTTTTACAAGCAATAAAAGAAAACGCTTTTGTTGAGAACTATGGTTGCCATACAAACAAAATAATGTGTATCTGAACGTTTTTCACTATTTTGTTCTGTTCACGACGATGATTCAGGTTTTTTTTCCAATTATTCTTCCATCCAGGACGAACACAATTTTTCAGAATTTATATACATACAGTACTGGCCAGAAATATTTTTAGAAATATTTTGCTATGATCATTTCGAACGGAAATGTTAATTTTGGGTGTCTGGGTGAGCGCTTAGTACTTTTGCTAAAAATTTCAAAAATAATAACAAAGGGAAACTTTTTTGTTCTTAACAACTATTCTATACAACCAGTCACAAAAATGATGAGATGTTTGAGACCTTTATTTTTCATGTTGACACCTTTTCATAAACATTGACCTGAATAGGTGTTTCGGTACAAGCGAAGGGTGGAAGCATCATTTTGTGGAGCACTGTAGTGTTTTTTCCACCCAGCTTTCATGGTACTGTAAAAAAGTATAACGATGCAGTTCAGTTTTATTCTTCCAAGATACTTCCTCAGGTACTTTCTATCACGGGTGCTCTTCTATGTATTAGGTTGATAAGAAAGTTTCCTCCTTTTTTGGCAAAATTTTTGATCAAGTTTTCCTTAAAGCAGAGTGGGCAAGATCAATGAAAGTAAAGTCCATAAGCATCGATAATTGTCTGGTAACGCTCTGGCAATTTCGTGGTTCCGTCGGCACAGAACGAGGACGGCTGCGGTTGAAAACATGGGTCAACTCCTTTTTTGTGTCATCTTTTCAATTGAAGTGTTTTCTATCAAGATGACGTTGAAGAGCCCCCAATGACCATTTATCCGAAAGAACAAGGTTTGGAAAATACAATGAGTGCAGTAGAATAATTCAGCCAAACGACATGAAATTTTAGCTGACCAGTCTAGTAACGGGGGATCTCGCACTGTCGCCCAAAAGGGAAACTTTGGTATTTTCTCCTTGTTTCGATTCGACTGCCAAAATCAATTTATCTGATTAGGAAAAATATAAAGTGGCAGTAATAATGGTGCATTCATCTAAAAGTTCCCAGTCTCCATTCCTTTGGCAGACCATCAAACTCATAGCATCCCCTTTTTCACGGGAAATTTAGGTTTGATGTCCAGAGCTAGCTGTTTTTTGTTAATCAACTTACCCTTCTGCACATTGATAGAGCAACTTCACCACTTCTCATTTACGGTGATTAGATCATCCACCCAACTGAACGTGTGAAGAAATGATAGGAGAAACATGCTCATGTCCAAATGGAGATTCATATCATAGTCCTTCAAAACACGGGGTACAAATCGACCCAGTTTTTGACTTTGCCAAGAGACTTGGATCCGTTCACAATACTTGGCTGACTAACTGACAATGCCTTTGACATTTCACGAGTGGTTTGAATTGGATCCCCCTACACTACTCTTAGCAATTGATCGAGATCCGACTCACTAGTCCATTGCCATCTTTCAAACTGAACTCCCCTGGGCGGAATTTTCCGAACCAAACGTCAATTGTAGGATATGAAGGAACATGTTCTTTATATGCTTCCACAAATTTATTGCGGATACCAGGTGTTTGAAGAGCAAATGAAAATAAAAATAAAATCATGTTGCGTATGTGCACGCGGATAGGAACCGAGAGAATCGTCATTGCTCCAACATGAAGTGAGATAAAAATTTGAAAATCTACAATCTAATAGACATTGAACACAACTATCCAAAAAAAAAACATCCAGCCTGGTACACCACTTTGGCAACCAATAATTGAAGCTCAAAAACAAGCCTGCCAAAAAGGAAGAAACTTTCTTATCAACCTAATATTTCAGACCTTTGTTCCCGAAGTTCTCATTGAGAAACGCGCTTCAAATTTCATGAAAACCAGAAAGTCTTCTAGTAAAAAAGGGTGTTTTCCAAACAAAGTTTCATTTTTCGCGGAGAGCACTTCCATTAAATGGACCTTTCAGAGGTTTTACGGTAATTTTTGAAATTTTGAGGTGTCCGCTATGGTAAAAGAAAAGTAGCAAACTCAAAAAGTATACTAGTTGTTTCATTTTTCTACTTGTTTTTGATTCCAAAAATTCCAAGTCGGACAGTTATGAGGAACATGTTCTGACACCCAACCATCGATATTACTTCAAACCATATTTTGCATTCATTTTTGGTCAGTGCTGTAGAACCCAAGTTTAGAAATCTCTGGTTTTTTTTCATTCTTGAAGTTCCGGAGAGCACCAAAAAATCATTAATATGAGAGAGAGATTTATGAAACGGAAATTCACGGTCATGAAAAAAAGAGATTACGATAAATTGAAACATGTACTTGGAGATCATTTAGTTCTGTCGTGGCACCGGCTCCTCATTCTCGATTTCTTCCTGCTCTTCTAATTCTTCGTCGTCAAACTCGTCCTCATCCATTTCCTCGTCCTCACCAGCATCTCTGAAATCGGATTCAACAGTTTTCTGATTAAATCTGCTGGTTGGACCATATTCATCCTCGCCATCGGTATCGGAGCAGCTGTCTTCTGTCAGTCGAACTGGCTGGGTTGGCTGAAAATCTTAATTTTTTAGCTTATCGAAAGACTCAATTTTTTACCTGTTGATTGCGTCTGAACGTCATTCCAAGTCCTCGTTCCAGATAGTTTTTTACACTGTTCATGCTATAGTTGCAGAATGGTAGCAAAAAAGGGACTAGGTGACGGATGACATCGGCGTTGTTTGGAGCCGTGTGTCTAATCCACCGGTTGATCTGTCTGGTCTGTTCGTTGTTTAGCTGAACCGCCGGGTATTGAAAATGTGGGAGCATCATCATCAGTGCAAAATTCTCCATGTTTAAGTCCATTTGTCTCCCAGAACCCTATAAAAAGTCGAATAGAAGAGATGAAAAATGAATTTTTAAAAAAGGAATTGGGAAAGTGGAGTGAAAACGGAAAGGAAAAGGAAAAGGGCACTTTCAATCGCTCACTGAAGTATCATAACTTTGAACTCTTGACGAGAGGGCGTGGCCTAGTGAGCTAGAAAAGAAGATAGCCATGACAACAGACGAATTCTCTTGTGTCCTCCTTTATCATGAAAACTTTATATATATATATATATAGAGAGAGAGAGAGAGAGAGAGAGAGAGAGAGAGAGAGCGGGGGAGGATGGCACAATGCTATAGTCAAAAAATGCATGATGTATATCATGGGGGATTAAGACAGAAGTGTTCGAGGTGTCAGAAAAAAAAGATGAATACATGTTTCTTTAGAACAAGAGATTTTGAAAACATGTTCCCACTGTAGAAATAGCGCAGAAAAATCGGATAAAGCGTCAATTACAAAAAGTGCGAATTGAAAGAGAAAGCTGCCTCCTTTCTCCCCCACGACCTCCCATGAATGTAAAAATCGATGTGGCCGAACTTCTCAACGTTTTAGGCCACGACCCAAAACATTGTGAATAGATAAGATCAGGTTTTTGAAAGTCTGCTTGGTCTTCTGTCAGTAGAGAGACAAAGCGAATGTGACCTTCATGACAGAGAAGAAAATTGCAAAAAAAAAGGTGATAGAGAGGAAATTGAATTTTTAGATGTCACGTTGCCATGAGAAGTGCGAACAGAGTACAACTTCAGTTTGTTCAATTTTCAGAAAACATACTCCGCTTGGCTGCGTTTTTAGGAAGTCTAACAAGAGGTGTTAGTTTGCTAATTACAAAAAGTATGTCCGAAAATCTGAATGAAACACTTTTTGATTCACCCTATGGAAAATGTCCGTGATATTGGGATCTACTTTTCCAGTAACCTGAGTTTCCATTATCATTATTTGTTGATTATTCGGAAATCACATCAGAGGATCAACATGTTCTTTTCCATTCTAAAAAACGCATCGTGGAGTGTTTTTATAAAATGCTATACAATTTACATACGCCCTTTACTCGAATATGGAACGATATTCACTTCTCCAATCCTAAAGGATCATATTATAAAATTGGAATCGGTGCAAAAGTCATTTGTTTTCAGAATTTTCAAAAAATTCAGGATGGCATACACTTCATACTTTGAAGCACTGGAAGAATGTCAGCTAAGTTCCTTGGAGTATCGCAGGCTCTATAATGATTTGGCCTACACGTATAAAATTATTGTTTCCAAAGAAATTATCATGGAGGTTCCAATTTTCGAAATATTTAATCATGCTGGATCATAGCGACGTCACGAATACTATCTCAAAACACTTATCAAAAACTCAACAAAAATATCTTCTCAATGTCTCTCTAATAGAGTAATCAGATGTTGGAACTCTTTACCCGCCAAAGTGTTTCCGGTGAAGCCCTCGTCAGCGGCTTTCAAAAATTGACTATTATCCTGTGATCTAAAACATTTTCTTGTCTTGAATTCAACTAATTACTAACTCGGTTTTTCCTTCATCTCCCAATTACTACAAATGTCCCTGTTATATCTCCTAGTTTCATAGACATTTCACGTGTTAGTGGTTTTCTCCCCTTCGTTGAAATAAATAAATAAATAAATAAACAAGGGAAAAGATCTAAAAGACCACATTCTAAAATTGAAACTCATTTTTTCCTAAAAATTCCAAACTTGGCTTTTGCGATGGACTTCGTTTTGAAGTTTGATGAACTAGGGAAAAAAGTTTAAAAATAGCCGACAGAGCGTACGGGTCGTTTATCTTTAGAACATCTTTAATTTCAATATATAAAAAGAAATTTTGCACAATGAAATTTTTAAACGGCACTTTTTTCTTTAACAAATTTGGGAAATTTAGTTGGCTTAGAAAGTTATTTGAAAATTCATAAAGACTCCAGAATACAGTGCTAAAATTCTGAAAGAGCCCGTTTTAACATCTACAGTAATCCGCATTTTCTATACAACAATTACCAGTGATGTTTTCTTTGAACCGGTACTACTAGCAGCTGCAAAACGTTTTTTTGTATAGTCCCAAGAGTGGCAGGGTTGAAACGGTGATCATTAGGAGCTAAATAAAATTTTGCACAAGTGTATGAAACATTGAAAAGACTCTATTCTAGTGTTCGTTCTCTATACTCCAAACTGAAAAAAATCAGAAGTTTCTTGTTCATTCAATGTTTGAGAAATGAGGCCAAAAGAAAAACTAACTTTACAAATTTTGTTCCCCCGAACTGTGGATTTTGTACTCCTAAATCACACCCTCTGTTATGACAGTTCAGAAAGTTCAGAAACACGACGTTTCAGAAGGCAACGTTTCAGAAACATGAGTACATGAGTATATTCAAATCAGTATTGCTCATTTTGAACTAGTTTTTATGGCAGATACTCACTAGTTTGACGATTCTTTACTACATGCTCGTTTGCTAAATAGAGGGCTTGTTCAAATTGAACGTTTCGACTGAAACTGGTTACCGGGAAACAGACGTTTTAGCCAAAGCCTAAAATACTAAACAAAAACCGGAATATTTTGGGAAAAAAAATTCAAAAAGTGGAAATTTTGCTGTTATTTGTGAATTTCAGTACTTTTTGACTGAATTTCTTTCAGAATATTCCGATTTTTGTTTCTTCTAAAAAAACTACAGTTCAAAATGAGCAACACTATTCGAATATACTCATGTACTCATGTTTCTGAAACGTTGCCTTCTGAAACGTCGTGTTACTGTCGGGGTCTGAAACGTCGGATTCTGAATGTCGATTTCAGAAACGTCGTGTTTCTGAAACGCCGCATTCTAAAACGCCCAGGAGCCGAGGTGAATTGTGATATGAATTGTGTTTGATGGTGGGTGAATTTTTAAAATATGAAATTAGAGTGAGAGAGACACAGACATAAAGAGAAAAATGCTTCCAGTTATTATCATCTTCCTCAAACTAGCTCCAATCCCAAAAGTTTTTAGGTTATTTAGCTATTCGGGTGTCTAGGATTCAACTAATTTATTTCAGAGTCGCGAAAATGGAAAAACCACAAAACGCTACATCAAAGTGACCAAACAGGAGCGTATTCTCAAGTAAATCATTCGTAATAGAGCAAGACCGCACACCATGAGAAGAGCGTTCATTGTTGCCAACAATTACCCCGCCTATGCCTATCTGGACGCCCAAACAAGATACGCGCATGTGTAGTTTACATAAGTATTGATTCTAGTTTTTTTAATGTATTTTTCATCCAGGTACCAGTTACGGAGTAAAGCTGTTTTTTTATCGTCAAACTATTTTTTTAATTTTTAATTTAATTTATTACAACCTTCTGTCGTGGAAAATTAAAAGAGAAAAGTAATACAACACAATACAATACAATTAGTCGTACAAAAAAAAATCGACATGTCAGGCAGATAAAAATTCACAGAGACACTGTGGATTCGGAAATACATTTAAACATCAAATGCTGTTAAAGCAAGAATGTCATGAAGAGTAGATTTTAGGCAATTTTGACAGAGAGAAAGTGAATTCAAAATGTCCCCTCACTATCAAATTTGATGTGAACCAAATTATCGTGGCGCCTGTGAAAGACATCGGAATGGTGATTTACTGACAAAGCATTCATCATTACGGCAGAAGTATTTTACCAGTTGATTATCTTCTGATATTTTTCGCTTGTATATAAATTGGCTCAAAAATGGCTGTCAAGGAAATTATTATTAGAGTGTTTACAGTATGTGACATGGTCAAAATCAGAAGGGAATTTCGTGTGAGTGAGTATTAGAAGTCGAGAAACAGAGCGTAAAGAATAAAGTTGAGAATTCAAATCGCAGTGCCACTAGTTGCCTGGTGAGATTCGAGAGTTCCAATCACAGCCGAAATAGCAACCGTCGCCAAGAATCCTCCTAAAATAGCACCAATTTTCTTGAATTCTCCGACTCCTTTGAATTCCGGGTTCTCCATTAGTGGGGTCAAAATCTGAAACAAAAATAAGTGATGGGAGCCAATAGTTTCATATAATGTACCTCCATGAAAGTAATGTAAACAATCGTTCCAACAGACATTCCCATAACAACAAGAAGAGCAACGTCAACCATGAGATTGTTGTGCTCTCCAGTCAGCGTGAGTCCAATAAGAGAACCAATCGGTGTCATGAGAGAATGGATGGTACAACCAAGAATTGCGTGCACCTTTTTCTCCTTGTATCCAGCCGAAGCGACAGTCATTGCCTCCAAAAACTTGTGCAGGAGCATCGGAAGCCCATAGGATAAGATATCCTCTTTGGCATCCTGGAAAAAACAATTTTAAATACCTCCATTTTCCAATTGTCACTCACCTTGTAACCAATCGGAAGGCCCTCGAACAATGAATGCACTGACATCAACGTGGCGAACAAAACGAACTTGTACAGGTTATCTGGTGGTGGGGAGATGACAGTCATGGAGGAGGCGAGAGGGAGTTCGGACATCTCAACGTCTTCCAAACTTTTCTTTTTCTCCCGGATGGCCTGAATGTTTTTGATAGTTTGAAATGTTTTTTTTTGTATCATACCTTGATAGTCGAATCAATTAAGAGCATGAAGATAATTCCAAAAACAGCAGAGCAAGATGTAATAGAAGTGTGGGATTTACTGTTGTATTTCTTGTTGAAGTCCGCTTCTTCAATCCTGGAAATGACAATTTAAGATACAGATGTATTAGTGGAGAAAAATTCAGAGCTGTGGAAAGGAAACGTCGGTGGCTGTGGCCGAAGATCACACAACGACAACAGTTTAAGTGTTTTTATTTCCCCCTTATAAGTATTTTTATTTTCAAGATTTATTTTCTCGACTTCCGTACAATTTCAGTGAATTTTTTATTTAACAAACAATTTGATTTTCCGATTGGTTTGAGGAAAAATATTAGGTTGGTAACTAAGTCTTTGTGCATTTTGTTTTTCCTCTTTTCTCTAAACTGAGCTAGAACAATAAGATAAGAGTGTGTAACAAAAGAATAAGAGTGTGTAACAAAAGATGGTATATAAAATGATAAGGTTGTTCACAATAACCATCATTCGCCCTGCGCTCATTCCGTTTGCAAACGAGATGATCCTTTTCATAACCACTTTTTTCGGGTGGAATTTCTGTATACTGTTTATATTTATTTCTAACCGGAATGTGTCCGAGATTCATCACCGCCTGGTGGAAGTTTACAAGGACACTGCTCCTATAGAAACACCGTTGCAAAGTGGTTTGGCAATTTCAAGAACCAGGACTTTTCAATGAAACAAGAAACTTGTCTCGGACGACCAGTTCTTCAAGATTCAGACGAGCTGAGAGATCTAGTGGAACGGGACCTTTCCCAATCTACCTGTGAAATGTCTATCTCTTTAAGGACAACTCATACCACTATTGAAAATGGATTGTTAAAGTTGGGAAAGACCAAAAAACTTAGACGACGGAAACCTCATCGTTTTGACCGATGTTGATGTTCAGCGGCGAGTGGTCATGGGCATGCAACTTTTTAATATGCTCGGGTACTTTGAGCGGCTGAATTATGTTATCAGTTTGGATAAAAAGAAGGTCATATATACTAACCATCACAGAAGAGCTCAATGGCTTGAATTCGATAGACAGTCAGTAGACGTCGTCAAACAGGAATTGCACCCGAAAACAGTGGGTATCAAAAGGGGCATCTCGTTCGCAAGCGGAATGAGAGCAGATCAAATGATGGTTATAGTGAACAGCCTGATCATCTTATATACCATATCCGGTTATACACATGTTATTGTTCTAGCTCAGTTAAGGAAAAATAAAGAAACCAAAATGCACAAAGACTTAGTTGCCAACCTAATAAAAGAGATGAAAAAAAATAGAAAATGAATTTACGAAAATATAATTTTTCAGGTTACTGTAGTTGTCGTTGTGGGGCCTTCGGCCACGGCCACCGTCCTTTCTCTAATTTTTCATACCAGTATAAGTAGTAAAAATTGGAGAAACAACAAAACGCAACTTACGGAAGTTCAGGGTTCAACATCAAAAACACGATTCCAAGGAAAATTCCAGCAGTGAAAGATTGGGCGTAAGTATTCACAGTTTTCGCTCTAGACATGCATCTCATAGCCTGAACCTTTTTTATGTGAATTTAAATTTTCTTTCAACTTACAGTGATGGTAAAAAAACCGCCCAAACCGTTAGCAAATAAGATTCCAAGAGCCAGAAGGAGTTTGTATCCGAGACTTCCCATGCTGATTATTCAGTTAATCCCACCAATTAAGACTCTGAAAGTTTAATTAAGTATTATTTTTCATGCACTTGGAGGGAGAGTGGGAGGGGCGCAGTGACTCATCCATATAATTTTCGGAGAGGAGCTCGGAGATTTTTCGAGAAAAGTGTGATATTGTTAGTTAGTGGTAGATTAATTACTAGCAGTGAAAATATATGGTGTTACCACATTTATTTGATACTTACTATTGAATTAGTTAGCTAGTTATGATAATTTTGATATCTATTGACTCTGATATTCAAAAATTGTCAATCAATGAGGAGTTTGCCATATAAAAGCCTACATGTTTTAAATTACATATTTTTATACCTGTCACAGGTCAAAGGGTTTTTCTAAACCAACAAGAGAAACAGATTTTGTGAGCTTTCTCGTTTTCTCAAAAAAAAATGGATAGAAATGAAAAAAGACGTTTCGGGGGGAAAAGTTCACTACGAATGAATTGCCTTCTATTTTCCAGTTTCTTATGCACTGTTTTTGTCTTTAAGATGACTTGTATAACATGAAAGACTTCGAAAAACTCAGCTAATCAACATAATTTCATCATGGGAATAGAGCAAAAAAACTGGAAGAGGTGGAGTCGCAAGAAGACAAAGACGATGTTCTAGAAATCTACTATTTGCCTAATTTCAGCTATTTAAACATGAGCTCACGATTTGTTTAGTTCAGAGTCTTAGGAAGTTGTATTTCAAAACCCTCAATTATAATGTTTTTGTTTTCACAGCCCGGATGTTACAAAGTTACACACCTCAGGAGTTTGATTATACGGGAAAAATATGAAAAACACACTGAATCCCAAAATGTATACTGATTGACAGAAATGAAGTAGAAAATTAGTAGAAAAAAGAAAATCCCAACATCCTATGACAAATGCCATTTTAAAGAATTGATTCACTTCCTATTGCTCCTTTTTGTAGTCATTCAAGGAGTTCAAATGACGTTCTAATGGATAGTTAGTCTAAAAGAGCGAATTTCAAAAATGGATGATGAATGGAATGGCTTTTCAGAATGTGTACAAAGTCGCTTTTACACATTTCATGCTCATAAGAAATCTAGAGAAAGTACAATAAAGTTGAGAGCAAAACGGAATGAAAAAAAGCATGTCCTCCAAAGTAAAAAGCTTTTAAAAGCTTTCCCAAGAACTTTTTGTCCACTCTTGCTTATCACCAGACACATCGGATACATCAGACAGTCTTCAAGCCCCGCCTCCAATCTGTTTGTAACTTGATACCTCACAATCAAATGCAATCTTTTTAATCAAAAGAAAGATATTATCTAAATGTCTGCTTCCACCAGACAGTATTCAAGCTCCGCCCACAGCTCAACTCACTTTGTAACTCAATACTTTGATCGCAATCTTTTTTCTTGAAAAGAAAAGATGGACAAAAAATTGCAAACATGCAAAAAACGTGACAAGCGAAGTAAATGAAAAGATATCAGAAATTGAAATTAATTGGGAATTTGATGAGTTCTGAGTACACAGTAAAGTTTTCCAACGGTTTGCAAGCGTTGTTTGGTGTACTCGGATTCTCCAACCGCAATTATGTTGTCAATGTAAGTGAGCTGTACGACCAGTTGACGATATCTTCTTGTCTGTTCACCAAATTCGATTTTCTTCTGAAAATTGATAAATTATGTTTGTTCAACTTCTGAGAAGTGTTTTTTTTCTGGCTTGTCAAATCGTTCAAAAAACTTCAGCTCTAAACCAACTTCAGCTCTAAATCACATTCTTTTTAATAATTTTTACAGTAATGTTAGAGGAACTGATCTCGTATTTTTGCTTTTAGTTTCCTCTCCCATTCTGTCAAAAAACTCGCAATTTTAAAACCCTTATCAGTTTCACTTGACATACCTTGGTTTAAACGGGAGCTACAATGTAATCACAACAAGAACAACATCTCTGCAGAGCAATATATTTATTAGGTTGGCGGGAAAGTCTTTGTCACTCTGTTTGTTTAATCACTGTTCTCGTATATGGAGGCTGTGTATGATATCGACTTTAGTGAATAACAAGGTGATAAGAACCTTCCATATAAACAAGTCCCCATCTCCTTCCCTGCTCCTCATCTGTAATTGAAACGATATGTTTGTTCCCACTGCTATTCACATCAGACATGTTTTGATTTACCTCTTCCTATCTCACACCACGATGAAGGATTCGGAAACTTTCTTGAAGAATGTGTACAACACACATGCCCCTCACTACAATACTATTCGCAATTGGTTCCATCGTTTCGAAAAAGATGACTTCTCGCTCGATGAAAGGATCGCTCTGGGAGACCCCGTGAGTTGGATTTGGACAAGCTGAAGCACGCATTGCAATCGGATCCATTTCAATCTAGCCGTGAACTAGCTGTCACATTCGGAGTTCACCATAGCACAGTCCTTGAAGGTTTGAAGTCTCTTGGAATGAGAAAACTTTTTGGTCGATTCATACCTCATCACCTGACTCAAGCCAACCTTGACCGCCGAGTCGACGATTCGATTACTCTCTCTCCACGCGGGCGATCGATGGCTGGACCGGCTAATAACCGGAGATGAGAAGTGGGTCTTCTACGATAATCACCACAGGAAATCCCAGTGGGTTGGAGAAGGAGAGAGCCCACAGGATGTCCCCAAACCCGACCTTCATCCGAAAAAAGTTATGCTCTCTGTGTGGTGGGGAGTGGACGGCCCCATCTACTGGGAACTTCTGCCCGAGGGCAAAACAATAACTGGAGACCTCTACACTACTCAACTACGAAACCTCAAGAAAGCAGTCGACCGTTCGGCCCTGAAAGACAAGAAAGTGTACTATCAACATGATAACGCTCGCCCACATGTTTCGAAACAAGTGAAGCAGGAGCTGATGGGATATGGATGGAATGTTCTCCCTCACCCCCCGTATTCTCCTGATCTTGCTCCTTCCGACTATTGGTTATTTGGCGATATGACACGTGCCTTCGAAGGAAGAAGCTTCAATTCCCGTGGAGCGGTCGAAGCGGCACTCAAACAATACTTTGCCTCACGCCCGGCTGGATTCTACCGCAATGGAATCCATAAATTGAGGGAACGTTGGAGACATGTTGTTGATAATGATGGACAATATAATTAATTATTCGGTTATTTTTTCTTTGAGAAATAAACTATTGAAAAAGTGACAAAGACTTTCCCGCCAACCTAATAGTTGAAGAACCCTCAATTTTTAACTTTGAGCTAGTATATCTTATTTCCTTTCAAAGATACGAAAAAGTTGTCAACTGATGAATTGTATCAGGTTATTGAAGCAGAATTGTTAAAATCCAAAAAAAAAGAGGATTTTTGTTTAAAAAATAGCGACATTTTTGCGTTGTCAAATACCCCGAAAAAAAGTTTTCGAGAAATGTTTCCCATTTGATCTATAAAAGTAATATTCAGCAATAATTCTGTGTCAAGGTGTGCCCTACAGGTGCATTAATTCAAAAATTGATTTCCGTCGTTGTGAACGAGTTCATATGTACATCAAAACTGCTTCAGTTCAGTTCTTTTTTTTCTCAATTTTGTGAAAAATGTTTTTTTCTAAACGCATCCCACAACTGACTATTGCATCCATTTCCTCCTTGATTTCAAATCTTTGGTTGTATGCGCTGATCTGAAAGTCGTCGTTTCTACTAATTTTCAGATGTATTCCTACCAATCTCTTATTCGTGAGCGTTTGTTTCTCCGTGCAGTTTAGCTTAGTGGCCATTCTGAAAGAGTGTATAGTTAGAAAAAATATCACGAAAAAGTCAAGAAATAAAAAGCCGAAAAAGATGAATTTTCTCTGTTTCACTCTCAATGGTTGGTTGGGCACACTGCATCCAAAACAAAAAAATGGAATGGGAAAATCGGAGTGTGATAAAAAAGGGGCGAGAGATATCAGAGAAGTGGCAACGAATTTGCATGTGTACATTTCACCAAATTTCTGACTTTGTTTTATACCCACGTAAACTATTAAATTTCTATTACAACGTGAACTAGTAAAAGAGAATGCGCGTAAACGGAAAAAACAATGTGAATTATTTTTTCACACCTCGGCTATATATTTACTAGAAATTTTCCCTTCTCACAATTTACAGACGGTTGTAAAAAAGATGGCGAGAAATAGATAAGAAGAAGGTGTCCGATGAAGTTTCTTGAAGTCGTAAATCAAGTTGACTTCTTTGATTACGGAAAACGAAAAATAATGAGCAGATGTTTTGTCCAAAGAGGTCAAATAAGATGCAACAAATAATAATTTTGCGAAAAACTCACAAATCACGGGAACCTGTGAAAGAAACATTGAAGGAACAGATGAGGCAAAAAAGGTGATTTGGGCACAAAACATAAAATGGGCTATTTTTGAAATTGAAAAAAAAGATTTCTAGTAATGGAAAATGTTTCGATTGGCTCGATTGTTTCTCAATAACGTGACAATAAAAAATTTCCGAAACCTTGAAATATTTTTCAAACAAATCCGTTGTGTTCTAAGGGAACCAGAGCCAAGCGTTCTCGTTGACTAATCTGCCGGGAAGCCGATTTCAATTCCATTAGCATTTAAAGAAATTCGCAAAGACTAAAGATCGTTTTTTTTATAATTATGACGCCATGCAAAAAATGGATTAGTGGTTGTTCGCAAGAAATTCAATTTTAGGTATACGGTAGATTTTATTCTGAAGCACTGAAAAATAATATTTGAGAAAAAAGTTATTCAGATTGAGAGGGAGAAAAATAGGGTCACAGGAATGATACAAATAATTGCGTTACCAAAATAATGAGATCAGATGTACGGTGGGCTTAGAAACATGAACTGATATACATCGGACAGAATGATTATACATTAAAAAATATTTATTGAAGTTCGATTCCCTGGTAATAGCTCGGCGCTTGCATCCATCCTAGTTGTCGAGATGACGAAGCAGAAGATGGCGAAGATTGTTGATGTTGATTGGCCGCAATCTTGGCGAGCTGTCTGCCCAATTTCCTTTCAAATGTGTACCGTTTAACATCGTCAAGAAGATGGCGAATTTTGAGATAGTCGAAATCAATAGTAAAAATTCTTTGGTACTTGATTACGGCCTGAAGAATTAAAAACTGAATTTGGAGTAATAAAAAAGGTTGAAAGCTACATTCTCTAAATGCAAGACGGATAAAGCGTGAATCATATAGGTGTGTTGATCTTCCATGACCTTTTGACAAACATCACAGACTCTCTAGAATATTGTATGGTTATATTTTCCAAATACTAATAATTACCAACCGGAGAAAAGTATTCAGAGAGAAGGATGTGTAGAAGTTGTCTCTCATCTGGATCCAAGTTTCCGTACTCTATCAGAATGCGTCTTGCAACGTCAACGATAGACGACACTAAAACACTTAATCAATCAGACATCACTTTTTGAAATCTTACATGGAAGAATTTGATCATCAGTTACAGATGGATCACGAGTTCCAGTTACAAATGGACACCTAGTGGAGGTGCTCAGATTGCTGAGAAAACTGGATAGGTTGAATGTGCGGAAGTTGATAGGTTCGTATCTGTACAGGGCTGGATTTGGAATGATTTCTGGCAGTGTCCATTTTCCAATAAACTGTGACAGACGTTTTGGGAAACAATCATCGCGGCCGAATAATTTTCTGAGATCTTCTGAAAATTAAGACAATCAGTAAAATTTGTAGAGACTTTTAACAAAATTTATTTTTTCATTATGTCTATATTTTTTAAATTACATAACCAGTCAATAAGATAAAACGTATTTCAAGTAAAACATACTTTTCACATGATTTTCGTAAAAATTTTTACTTATATTTTATGGGTTTTTTGACAATTTAGATCATTTTCAAGAGTTTGGAGCTCGACTGTCAAGTTTCCAATCACTTTTAAAATTTGGGATGGTCTAAAACAGAACTATTGTCGGATTAAAAAAACTGGGACCTGAAAATCTCGGAGACGCCGCTCGTGTCGATTTACTAGGAAGCGGGGCGAAAACGCAATATGCGCGCGGTCGAATTTGCAACCTGCCGCACACCGATAATTTTACTGCTTTTTTCTACACATTTTATGTAATAAAATGGTTTCAAAGCAGAATTTCGAATAAAAGTATATCAATATGTAAAAAATTGTAGGGTACATTCAACAGTGAACATGAATGAACACTTGGGCGGGTCTCACAGACATCCACCGAGCACAATCCCCGCTCAAACTCTGGTAATCGGTTTCTAACCAGTTTCGGGAAATTTTTCAAAGAGGCCGTATGCAAGAAAATGGAAAACCGTTTTCCGATGTTTGGAAAATGATTTTCTGACAGTGTGAAAATATTTATTTTGATTTAAAAATGGATTCGGGGCTAAAAAATGACTAAAAATGCATGTAATCACTGTAAAAATTCTTGTCAGACTTTCAGAAAATCATTGGTTTTCCACTTTCTTGCATATGGCCTCAGATTCGGGTAACGCAATTTTCCAGCCAGATTCGAGTAAAATTCAAACCAAATTCGGAATTTTTTTCATTTTCTGACCAGATCCGACCGAGAAAGCTAATTTTTCAACCTGGTTCGGACAATTTTCTAACCAGATCTAGCCATTTATGCTCCGGAATTTTCCTGAATCTGGTTAGAAACCGATTACCAGAGAAAACACCCAGCGACAATAAAGCCACCAGACACTCAACAACCGAATAGAAACGCTCCCACCGTGAGCTTGAATCGACAAGGTAAAACAACAATCGATTCTTCTGAAGTCAATAATTATAATTGTTATGCACCAATTAAAAATTGATTTATTGAGAAACACATTGATCACACCATAAAGATTATAAAATACATTTTTAAAAGGTTGTAATCCTCGCCCTCTTCCCCTGACTCGTCCTCCATTCCGAAGTCGTCACATCCAATGTCGGCACGCGACATTCCTGGCTTGATGCTCGAAAAGAATTCGGAACCCGTCATGAACACCAGCTCCACCGGGACTCAAAGTGAGCCGGCTCACACTGATGCTCACGACGTGTTTCACGAGATTCCATCGCAGTTCTGGTCTTATGACGTCTCTGGGAGCGATGTTGACTTCGATGATGACGAGGACGATCCAATGGCTGACTGAAAAAAATAACATTTTCTTTGAACCGATTTATCAAAGCATACCTGTGACATCCTTTTACTTCCGTTTTTGAATAAATTATCTGAATTTAATTATGAACCCCCAAAAACCCCCGGAAACAACAATTCTTACTAAAATATCAGAAGAAGAGAAGCGATTATGAAGAACAATTATAAACACAAAATTCAAACATGGGATGATTTGAAAACGGTTTTTTTCCGTTTAAGAAAACTTTAAAACTTCGAATTCTGCTTTGAAACCATTTTATTACATAAAATGTGTAAAAAAAGCAGTAAAATTATCGGTGTGCGGCAGGTTGCAAATTCAACCGCGCGCATATTGCGTTTTCGCCCCGCCCCCTCGTAAATCGACACGAGCGGCGTCTCCGAGATTTTCAGGTCCCAGTTTTTTTAATCCGAAAATAGATTCAAAACTAAGGATTCATGCGAATTTTCTTAAATTTTTAGATTTTCAGTTATTTGCCTTTTTATGAAAAAAAATTTCTTTTGACCAGTTTTTGTATAGAAAACGTGCAAAAACAGATGTCTTTCAGAAATAGGAAAATTGCTGAAAACTAGAAATTTTCTATAACTATGTGAAAGCAAAGATTTTAATCTAGGTCCTCAAAAACTCAAATTGATCGGAAACTTTACAGCCAAGTTCCAGACTCTCGAAAATGCCGAAAATGAACAATATGTTCTTGTGTATCTCATTGCCGGATACCGTATATGCACACTTCGAAGAAAATGAAGAAAAAAAAGACTTACCAACAGATCCAAACCACTCCAGTAGGCCAACAGAGCTTTTCCTGGTGCATTCGATAATTTGAATTCGACTTGGGTGATGCAATTTTCCGACGGCATCAAATCTTTTCATCGCTTCAACATCATATGGCCCACTGAAAAACAGGAAAATAATCCAATTTTAATACAGAACATAATTCAACTCACTATGTACATCCATTGCCATGCCACAAAAAGTAGATAACCTGACAGTCTAGAACCTGAAGAGGCATACGTTTTGTTCGGTAGAAATTGACTCTCCTCATTATTCTTCTGAGCAATCCCATACTCTGGATAAAATGTGCTCACAATGAAAAAACGTGAAGTGGATGTTTCTATGGAGACCACCCTTTAGATGCGCGTACTCTAATCTCAACAACTTACTCCAAACACTGGCATTTTGATCTCCCTTGTGACGGAGTGTTTTGGAGGAAGCTAGGGATTGCCAAGTTGAAAGCGCAGAAATGAATTGTCAGTTCTACTATCTGAAATGGGTCGACATTGTTAAAATGAAATAGAGGAACGGGATTTAAAATAAGCGAACCAAATTAAAAATATCGTTTCATTTTAGGAAACCAAACAAATACCGCTAACACTCTAATGGCCTTACGGTTCTTGCGCTTTAAGCTCAATTATCTCGATTTCTATGAGAGATAACAAATATCTATAAACTAAACAAATATTCGTGATATTATGACAAACATTTTATCAGTTAACAAATTTTTGATATCTAATATGGAAATTGAGATAATAGAGCTCAAAGTGCAAGTATAAGGTGGCCTTTTATCAAAGCCAATATGAAAAGCGAGATAAGTTCAATAAGAATGAGAATAAAATTCAGTGATAAAAAAGGTAAATTAAGTTATTTATAAAACAAATCACAAAGATTTAGTTCATGAAAAATCCAACTTATCGAATGTCTCCAATGTTTTCAAATTTTAGCCAATATGTGTATTTCCTGTAAGAAATATCAAAAAGTAAGCAATCTTCACTTTTGTAGTTAACATCTTTTTCGTGCAAATTAATCCGAACGAGATTTCCCGCTTGAAATCGAACAAGTGCCAATTCATCCAAAAATAACACTGCCTTCAGAGTAATGACATTTTCAAATGATTTTTCTCATTTGGATGAGTTCATACAACTACAAAATTGAAGCCCTAGCTTGATTGAATAGAACTAGAAAATTTCATGCTCATTGAGCAAAGGCTACTGAATTTTTAGACAACTAAAGTTTGCGTTTTCTCACTGAAAAAAAGGTGTAATTGAAAATTTTCTGGTATTGAACGGGGAAAACCGCAGACACAGAAAAGAAATATCTCTGAATTTGATCTAAAAGGTAAGTTGGTAGAATTCTGTTGAAAGACGAAAAGAGAACATCAAGCATGGATGAGGACGAGAAAACGAGATGATAAATGCCGTAGATAGGCTGCATCGTTCTCTCAAGGACAGAATGCAAGCGACACGATTCGTTTTTTTCCGATGCCCACTTCTTTTATCTCGGAGTGTTGGCGCTGGCCGATGGTAGGCAGAAAGAAAACAAAACTCGTTTTTTTATTGAGATGAGAAATTTACAGCGGCAAAGAATGACACGAACTGAGACGGTCCGAAAAGAATTTATGTTCTATTTCTTTCATTTTTCCTTGGCAACGTGAAAATCGAAAAATAAGATGAAGAATTTTAGGAGAGAAGAGGGAACAAAGTACAGTTTTTTGGCTCCTGCAGAAAGAAGCTTACGCTTTCTGGAATCAGGGGATTTTCTTCTGGTCTTTCGATATGAATATTAAAAATAATTGCTTTTCTGTTGCTATTTAAACATTTGGATGAAATACTATACTTACAGAAATTTTGTTTCTACAATAAAATCCGGGAAAAATTCTATTCTTGAAATATACCGTAGCTACAAAACATCTAACGAGCGAGTATCGAACCTAGAATACTTCAAAGAAAAAAGTTCATATTTTGAGATGCACAATATCCATTGAAATCCTAGAAATAGTCGATTCTCTATTAATAATGAAGACTGAAGCAGCTACAGTAACACAAAATAAAAATTGATGTCTGCTCTAGACACCACCAGCCAGGCATACCGAATCATTGAACGGAAAAATGACAAACAGAGGTTTTTAGATAACGATGTTGTCGTTAATCCAGTTTTACTTATGGCCGTCAATCATTGTCTCATTAATACTCGAATTAGTCCCATCATTGTGAACATAACGACGTCACATGAAGAATGTTTCTAATCAAAAACGATAAATAGAACAGGTGTTCCTAGCTTTTGATAACTAGCTGGCAGTTTTTAGATCTTCACCGAAAATTTTGAAATTTTTTTGAATTACTGAAAATGGCTCAACAAATCTCTCTCTCTCTCTCTCTCTCTCTCTCTCTCTCTTTCTCTCTCTCTCTTTCTCTCTCTTTCTCTCTCTCTCTTTCTCTCTCTTTCTCGGTGTACCTGACATACTTTTACAAAAATTCTAGAATTGACCAGAAAAAATTATATACAAGAATAGAAAAAAATTCGATGCCATCCATATTCGCATTCTCGAATGAAGGATTTGGAAGCAATCTAAGGAAACGAGAAAAATGAATTGAAAAAACGAAAATGAATTCGAATGCCCGAATCGAAGGAAGACGACGGATTGTGACGTAGGGTGAGCAACAGATAGATTTATTATATCCTCATTTCGTTTCTCTTTCTCTTATAGGATAAACTGTGACACAGATAAAATAATGGCTAAACGGGAGATCATCTGAACTAAAATATTTCTAGTACATACAGTTGTCATAGGCAGTTGACAGACGTCAGACAATAATCGCTTAATTTCGGGGGTAATGTGAAACTAAAGAGTTCAGATGCTGAGTTTTGAATTCGATTAGCTAAGTGTTCTGTTATTCATCTCATCCATCTGACATTGGAATGTTTTCCTACTAGAAAAATACTGAAGAGTTGTCGAGGGGAGGCAGATTTTTTATAGATATTAAAAATGACACCGTAAACATTAATAGTTTGACCCCAAACCGTTAACTTTGAGCTTATATGTCTTATTTTCTGTGGAAGATATCGAAAAGTGGTCAACTGACAAAATGTTTATCATAATATCAAAAGTATTCTGTTTGTTAACCACTTTTTGATATCTTTCACAAGAACCAAGGTAAATCAAATCAAAGTTAAAAGTCAAGGTGGTCATTCTATACAGTTTTACGGTAACTCTGACTGTTCAAAAAATATAGTGAACTTTGTTTAATGAAACTTTCAGGTATTCTAAATAAATGAACAGCTTCATTTGTAGTTCAATTTTCTCGTAGAAATTCATTCGAATGAGATATACCGCTTTAAATCGAACAAATGTCAAACTTTTCATAAATCGGACTGAGTTCAGAGTTGTGAGACTTTGAGCCAATTTATTTGGTTTTGATGATTTTTCACAGAAAATAGCTCATTCTATATTCTGACAGAATTTTGATTTTCGGAAATTCAGAAATGCCATCTTTCAATTTTTTCAATACTAAACTTACATCGTCCCAGATTTGTGATAATCCTTTTCATACCTCCGAATGTCGGTATACACTATTTCTTATGGAGTAAGAATGGATTAGATCATTTTTTTTTCATTTCATATAAATCGCAGACCACATTTTAGGGCATTCGACGTATTATCGAAACAGCAGCCAAAATCAAGAAATCAGGCAATTGAATATATCGGAGAGACGGAAATTTATGAGACAGTCGGAACATGTTAAAAGAACAGTCCAAGAAAAATGAGATGGGATGGAGAAAAACCGCAAGACAAGAAGAAAATACTGGCAATTTGAGAGATTGGACCAGACAATGGGGGTGATAGAAAAGAAGATAGAAAGGTGGTGGAGTAAAAATGATTTTGTTGGTTTTGTAGAAAATGAGAAATCGGTTGCAAAATGAAAATTGTGTTTCTCTCAAAAAAGAAAGTCAACGGAGAAGATAGTTGCATATTTTTGTTCCAGTTTTCATCGTGTGAAGTAGTTTTGTATTTACACAAAAATTATCCGAAGGCGTACTGGACGGCTTTTTCGAGTTTCCAGTTGTTGCAGCTGAGAACACCGATGGCTTCGCCCTGAAAAAGTAATTGTAGTGTTCTGGTACCAGGGTTTTTGAATGTGTGTATTGGATAGTTACCTCTCGAATACCCATCTCAACGAGACGGTTGACCTTTTTCTGAAAGTCCTTGTCGACCTCTCTCTTTGAGTCCGCGAAGACCGATGTCCAGTAGGTAGCAGTAGCCTAAAATTTTTCAGAATGAACAAGATGTTTATCCGAATCATAACTGTTGCATTCTACGCATACCTTCATAAGTTTGTTATTTTTATCTTCCTTTTTAATACTCAGTTGTGGTCTACCTTGTCAGGAGAGCAAGACATTTGTTTCTTTTTTTTAAATTGATATTTTGGTAAGAGCCCCTCAGATTTTAGGACTGAGCAGCCTTCTTTTTACTCACTCGACACTTGCTCTATTCCCTCAGTCGATATTCATACCCTGTGCTATTCAGATTACTCTCATATTCGACTTCTTATCACTGGCGACTCTTCTCATTTGCGTGTCCATATTACCGACTACAATATGCCAGACCCCAAAGACACAAAAAACCGTAAACGCTCTAATAGATGACCACCCAAACTGCCAACTTTCAGGACACTTAACTCGGTTCTTGTGAAAGATATGAATATGCAGTCAACATAGAAAATGTTTATTTTAATATTGTTAATATTTTTTAGTTGACCACTTTTTTATATCCTTTAGAGGAACCGAGTTTTTTGGGGTCAAAGTTGGCAGTTTGGGTCGTTTTCTATTAGAGTGTTTACGGTAACTAATATGAGACACATGTTGATTATAACGATAATTCCGAAAATTCAATAAATTCCGAATTTCCAAAAAATGCGAAATTCCAGATTCATTCCTAAAATTCAGATTATAAACAAATTGGAACATTCCAAAAGTCGAAAATTTCGATTTTCAAAAGATCGGAACATTCAGAATGTTCCAGACTCCATAAATTTCCATTCAGCACACTGCTCACTGCAAACCCTACCAGGAGCAGTTATTCACCAGTTACAGTGAATAATTCATTTGTTTTGCCGATTTATGACTTTTCAGTTTTGTACTATTTTTTCACGTTCTCAACGGTCCCAATTTTTTTTATACATTTTTTTCCGATTGTGAGCTAGCTCCTCGTAATTTCGTAAATGAATTACAATTTTTCTTCGGTAAAACATACTTATGCTTCTATTTTTTTTGGCTCTTATTCTGTACACTTAATGCCCAAATAAATGTACCAAGAGCGATTTGCTACCAGACCAAAGAAAAAGGCGTTCCGCCCATCTGGCAATGGCATCTTTGGCCAACGCGTATCCTTAGTAGCCACATCCTCTCCGCGTCTAGTCAAACCAGTTTTACTCTCAACGCTTCACAAGGCGAGCCTGAGTCCGTGGTAAAATCTCTCATTTTCATTCATCTATATCCCACGCTTCTTTTTCGTATCAGTATGTATGATAAGATTTAACAATGTCTGCACTGACACCATTTTCCTCTCTCCTTCACCAAGCTTAGCTCACTACTTTCTCTTCAGTCTCATCTTTTTCTCAGTTAGCATTGATAATTATATCCAGCCGCCTTACCTTAAACATTGGGTAGTTGCTGATGTATTGCTTGGCCACGACAGCGTCTTGCGGATCCGATGGCTCCGGAGCACACATCATCGCTTGAATCGAGAGAAGCACAGTTCGCAGAGTAAGACTAGCAGCCCTATAATTATTGTTTTAGCTACAAATCTACACAAAACGTTTTCTCCTTACCATTTGTCTTTGAGAATATCTAGACAAATTGCGCCAGTTTGAGAGCTAACGTTTGGGTGCCAGACGCGTGTGACGAATTTCACCTAGAATTAATAATTTTCCTCTCAAACTCAGCTGATCGTTTTCACCTTTGGTGGCTCAAACGGATACTGGTCCGGAATCGACATATGCACCTCGAACATTCCATCCGCATACGGAGTGTCGTCAGGGCCTTTGATGAGACCCTAGAAAATTTTTGTTTGAACTTTGTGACAGTAGGAAATGTGTAACAATTGGTGTCTAAGAAGTGGATCTTTTGCCGTCTAAACCTCCTTTCTCTAACCATATCCTTGCGTTTTGCAAAAAACATCATTGCAAATATTTTCTCTTTTCTAAAATTTACTCATCTTAATTTTTGCTTTTAATTCCAAAAAATTTTGATTTTCTGTCAATTTTTTGTGCTTTGGAACAGAACCATTAACCATAAAGGAATTTGCCGCTCATGGATAACGTCGAAAAGCCATTTTCATTCTTTCATAACCTTTACGGCACACGGCGGTGAACACATGTACACGGATTTGCATTTAGATTTAACGTTTCCTTTTTTTTGCGTCGCCATCGCGTCGTTTTTGAATTCGCTGAGTAGCGACTCAGGTTAACGCTGATGAAAAGGATACTACACTCCGTCACACATGCGCTATTCGCACGGTGTCAACGGTACCATGCGGTATGGCTCAATTGCCGTGTATAAATGTTTTTACCTCCATGATGGTCCGATTGCCACCTATTCCGACCCCTGGCTCCAACCCAAATATATACACGTCTACTCCAACGCATTAGACAGTCTGCGTCTCCTCTCTCTCGCTCTATAGTCGTGGATCATTAAAAGACACCTGTCTGCGCACCCCGCCACCCCAGCCCCGACAGTCTACACCACACACACCAAGTATTATTGATTTTTATTCTTCCTGTTTGCCGTCAACTTTTTTGTTCGCCGTTCAGTGTTTTGCGGTTTTGTCAAAGCTAATAATTGCTCTTTCTCTTTGCTTTTCTTCTCCATATGCTCACCTTAATGTCCGTAATGTTGTTATCGGTCATTTCCACATGAATACCGGCTTCGGTGATGTCCGATGCTTGAGCCACTTCCTTGCACTCGCGCGTGACCCGTGTCATGGCTATGTTCGACATTTTTGCCCTGCAAAAAAAAAGATGGAGTCAAACAAAAGCGGATGTGCTCTAAATCTCATTATTCTATGAAAAGAGATAGAAACACGTCATTTGGAGAAAGATAAAGAACACGCGAACCCGTTTAACGGATGGGGCGAGTGCCACACATGAAAAGAAGGCTCATTTGCATTGGCGCGACTAAAACTGCGATGTAGGGGCGGAGAGTGTGGTTGTCCCAGCACAGACACACACACGCGCACTCAAACGCGCACACTATTTTTTAGATGCCCGTTTTCTTGCAGTCCTCTTTTTATTTTTCGCTCCCTCTTTGTCATTCCAACCGCCGAATTCAAGTTCAGCTCTCACACGACACATAGACGACACCAAGAATTTGAAAAAAAAGAGTTGGGATGGCGGGGTGGGAGAGGATTGGAAGGGGTTTGTGGGAAAGACGGAAAAGAAGGAGAATGGCAAGAAAAGGAAGAACATGAAGGAAAAAAGATGAGAAAAGGAAAAGTGCTATTTATCATCTTCCCCTGTCTCTCTTATGTATTCTACTTCAACTATGTTTTGTTACCTAGCTAATTCACTTGCACTTTTACATGTACTCTTCTTATTATACATTTTCCCTTTCAGAAGTGTTATATATTCTGCCGTTTTCAGATTTCACATAACTCATCACTTGAAGAGAAATGGCCAACGCCGACAATTCAATGGCTGAATTTATCACTGATCTCGAGCTGGCCAGCCAGATGTATGGTATTGAAGTTGTCAATGAGGATGAGAAACAAGTCAAGGTTAGTGTTTGCGCTATGTAAATCTGGGAGTATGATGACAGCAGATGTAAAATTCACAGAGATTGTGATATCACAGAGTTAGGTGAGCAATCATACATAGCTACAGTCTAAGAGAATTGTATTACTGTAGTCACTGTTACATTCTTCATTTTTGTTTCTTCTTTCCGGATTTCTCTGATTTGTATAGCGAAAATTCAGGAATTCTATATACCGTAAAACCTGTAATTCATGACATTCTAACTTTTAGCTTTGAGCCAGTTTATCTGGATTCCTGTCAAAGGTATAAAACTGTTGCCAACTGATATATTGCCCATCATACTACTACAAACATTTTATCAGTTGTCACATTTTTCATAGATTAAACAGGTACCGAGATAAATCAGCTCAAACTCGACATTGTCGGGGCCTTTTATTACATGTTTTTCTGCAGCCTAAGCAGTTTTCAATACAGTCCACTTAAAAAAAGCATATTTAACAAGATCTTTAGTCTTTAGGACTTTTGTTTGTTTTGAAAAGGCCATGGTTTGAAATACTGAGAACAAATGAGGGCAAGATGTGCGAACTACCGTTTTATCGCGTTCTTCTATCTTTCTGGTACGCGTTTCGTTTTTTGGAGTTTTTAAAAACTTTCTTTCTCGGTATGAGAAACGATAACGGTTTAGAAAAACATTTCTAGAGATCTTTCATTACCCCAGAGAAGATTATCACCATATTTAAATTTTAGCATTTTAAAGCATACTTGAAATATCAGGGCTTGGTACGTGACTCCTCGGCCCGGTCCGGCTGGTTTGCTACATTGAATTTTTTTTCGAATTCCTGAAAATTTTTGTGAAAATGTCTTTCAATGGCACTCTTATCTTGGAAAAATTTGACAGAAGAAACTAATTTTTTTTGAAAAAGTAGCATTTTTTGACAACCCGACTGGACCTTGAAACTTACAAGTATGTTTAGAACTCTCTTCTGTTCAGAACATTATTGTTGCTCGTTGTAAGCATCACATCTTAAGCCTGTTGATCCTCAGAACTTCAATATTTTCCTCTTCAGTAACCTCAAAAAAAAATTATAAATTCATAATTTTCATTTTTAACTATGTTTCACATGTGGCTTTGAGAATTCGAATCGTCTAATTTGAATGGGTATTTATAATTTATATGGTTTTGCTTTCTCTAGTTAAACTCTACATAAAACCAAAATGACTCAAGAGACAAATTGTGGTCCATATCGTTATGATTTTCAGATCCACGTAGCTGGAATCGAGTCAACCCCATATGCAGGCGGGATCTATGAAGTTGTCTTCAATTTCCCAGTCAACTACCCAGAAGGCATTCCGCACGTAAGTTTTTAGTGTCTTTATGTTTCTCACATTTGTGAAATTGCAGGTCACATTCAAAACCCCCATCTGGAACAGCGCGGTGGACCCCAAAAGCCAAAATGTTCATTTTCTCGGATCTGAGACGTAATTTTTAACAAAGTCTACATATTAATAAACGGAAGATTTCAGATGGAACCTCATCACGGCTATCGCATACGTTGAGGACTTGATCCTTAAAACCAAGGTGGACGAATTCTCCACGTACTTTGTGAGTGACAATTTTCGATTTTATAATTGTACCGATTCAAATTTACAGAGAGTGGCTCGATTCTGGGCCTGTCAGTTTGCCGGAGCGCCAAAGTCACCGGAGGATATCCAACTAAAAAGCGTCGTCGATCAGCTCGTCGATATGGGATTCCCCGTGGTTGGTGGATTTTAATGTTCACAAAAGTTCTTAAACAGAATTGAGCTTTAGACGAACTATAGCACATCTCCGTTATTCCACAGAATTGGAAGATTATGCTTAAACTTTGTGAGAACAGTTCAATAAAAATATTTTCTTCCAGCACGCCGCTATCATTGCACTCTCCAACTCTGAATGGAACGCGGAGCATGCGTCGGAAGAACTGCTCAGAGGAGAATCTGGAGTCGAAGCTGGAAACGACAGAGAAGAAGCCGACCCAACCAGCCCAGACGAACACTAGAGAATTCTCGTTTTCCAACTTATTTTCTCATCCCGTTTTGATTCGTTCTCTACTTCACATGTGAATCCTGCCAAAACAAGTTCATTCAATTGTTTTTTTTTTGCTTTTCGGTGCAAAGTTCTCTTATCTCCCCAAATTCCTCTGTTAATATCTCACTTTCTCCAGGCTTTTTAGATCGATATTTCCCGTTGTTCTATGTTTGAAATTGACCTAAATAAACTTATTGTAATTTTCAAATGAATGTATTGTAGATTTAAGATTTAAACGTTCCTCTAGTTTTTTCGAAAATTAATAACGGAATCTTATCAAAATAGACTTTGGCAAGAATTGTCATCTAGAGAGGTGAAGTACTACTTTTCTTCAGTATACTCTGCAATTTTCAGACAAATAAGAAAACTCTTTAATTCTTTCGCAAGAGGTTCAAATTTAGCTATTGTTTACTGAAAATGTCAGAGGGTGATACCGTTAACAATCTGAGAAAATGAAATCCAAACTGTTACTTTTGGGCTCGTGGACGTTTCAGAACCCGACAGTTCAGAACCCGACAGTTCAGAACCCGACGTTTCAGAACCCGACGTTTCAGAACTTTTCTGCATTTTTGTATAGGGGTTTTTGCGCACCAGATGAGCATTGCTCACTTCAATTTTGTGTTTATCTGCTTTTTTGTTTATTCTCATCTACCGTACTCCAAACAATGTTAGTTTCACACTGGGAATCTCTCAAAAAATCGAAAAAGTTGAACTTTTAAAAAACGATGTCATTAATAAAATTATTCAAAATGAGACTTCTATTCGCCGGAAAAATTATTGCGTACTTTCTAGACATCGTTCTTGTAAAGTTCAATTTTTTCGATTTTTTGAGAGATACCCAGTGTGAACCTATCATTATTTGGAGTACGGTAGATGAGAATGAATAAAAAACAGAAAAACACAAAATTGAAGTGAGCAATGCTCATTTGGTGCGCAAAAACCACTATACAAAAATGCAGAAAAATTCTGAAACATAATGTCATGAAACAAACGTCGGGTTGTGAACTGTCGGGTTCTGAAACGTCGTGGTTCCGAAACGCCGGGTTCTGAAACGTCCAGGAGCCTACTTTTGAGCTCATATATCTCATTTCCTGTAAAATATATCAAGAAGTGATCAACAGACAAAACTTTTCCGATATCATAATGAAAATTTTGTCAGTTGACAACTTTTCTTCATCTTTCGCAGGGAATGAGATATATCAGCTTAAAGTTAAGTAAACAGAAGTAAATACAGTGCATGTAGAAAATCATCATGTTTTGACATGCTCAGTAAGAAATAGCCAACATTGAACTTCTTAAAAAGTAGTTCAAAATTTTTCGAGTTGTGTGAAATTTTTTTTACTAGACAAAAAAATATCTTCATTTTTGTAGTTGACGACTTTTCTGTGAGAATTAAGCAAAACGAAATGAGCAGTTTTTAAGTGTCAAAACTCTCATTCCGAGCGAATTTTAGAATTTTAGGTAACGAACAACATATCTCACCAGAATGGTGAAAAAGTTGTCAATTTTTAAAATAAAGAGCTAGTTTTGTTTAGTGTGCTTCTTAATTTTCAGACAAATCTAAAACTGCTGTAGCACTTTTGTAAGAGCTCAAAGTTGACTGTCCTTATAAGAAAAAACATCGTGTAAACTGGTTTTAGAAAGGGTCCCGTGGAACAAACTTTAAACTTTTGAAAAGTAAACGATTAGGCTTTTTATTAAAAGGCGATTCGCCCACCCGTACCCGTTTAGGTAAATTACCGTAGTAATCAAAAAATTTGCCGTGGGGACAACCTAGCAAGGGAACCTTTTAAGTGAAGGTAGGAGTCAGCAGAAACCACATACATACAGTACCGTGCAATAAGATATACAATTCGTGTTTTTCAACTGTAACTTTCTTCAAAATAGAGCTGAAGCGTCAAACTTTTTTGTGAAATATAACAAGTCTCCCAAGAAAAATGAAACAAAAACACTCTCAACTTGAAAAATAAATGAAAAAATTTTAGTGGAAAAATGCACTTTTTGAAAAACTTCAGATTTTTGGGTCATTTTTTAAAAAATCTGGGAAAAATAGAAAACGGTGCTGAATGTGACATATAACATTTTGAACATTATAAAAGAGACTTTGACCAACTTTTAAGCAAATCATATATCATCGAAGTACAATTCCGTGTATGGAACGGCTGCTCGAAGTGTCAACTAGAGGTTTCCGGCTTCTGGGCTTTTCCAACTATCGTTGTCCAATTTCAAATTGTCATTGTTTGGTTTTTATATGTTTTTATTATTTTTCAGATGTTTTTCTACAATATATTCTTATTAATCATTCAAAAGATGATTCTTTCAGCTCCAAAAAATGATTTTATAAATTGGGAGGCAAGCAAAAACAAGTATGAGGGTTACTTTTATTCATCGTGTCATAGTCGGCTGCTGGAATTCGATACTTTTTTCAATAGATCGCTTGCGCGATCTGTTTTGTATTGGGGTTCACGTAATTTCATCCCTGTGTTGGCTCACATGGAATGACTCCCAAGTGTTGCCCTCGAAAAAAATCGAGACTTATATGGTTGGATAGACCATAAAAAGTTATTTTAGATTCCGAACGGAATAGTTGGTAAAAATTTTTTTTTTTGGGAGTTATGGTCCAAAAAGTACCAAAAAATGCCTAAATTTTCAAAAAATCATAACTTTGTCAGTTCATGTCCGTTTGTTGAAATTTGAAAAACAGTAGATAGACAATTAATTGAACATTTGAGAACTAAAATTTTAATTTTTTTCCTGTTGATTGGATTATTGATTTTTTGAAAAAATCAAAAAATTTTTCAATATCTCAAAAATCCTAGGTTAACTTTTTTTTCATTATGACTATCAAATTCAGCACATTTTATTTACTATAGAAACATATCGATACCCCGGGGGAAATCATGCTCACACAAGTTATGCCGAAAAATATCGATTTTTGGTACTTGGCTTCTTTGAATTCGTTGTTCTCGGCGGCCGGTATGATGAGGGGCATACTTGTTTTTGTGATTTTTGCTTGCTTATGGTTTGCCTAGAGTGTTTGAAATAGAATTCTGCAACATACAACGTCAATTTTTCAAATGCCGTACCATTTCTTAAAAATGGCGTTAACAGTTTTTCGATTTTTTTTTCGTTCTCAAGTTCAAAAACAAAAGGTGTCCCATCATCAGTGAATATTTTTATTTTTAGGGCCTAATTAAAAATTCTGTTCAAGCCGTTGATAAGATTTTGTCATTTTAATCATGTTTAAACAAAAGTTTAGCTGTTTCCATCAAGTTTATCTATAGATGTGCCTTGTCACATGTCACACTTCACCAAAAAAAGGGGTCAGGCTCGGAAAACCGTAAATATTTTTGATTCTAGGACCAAAATCAAAATTCTGTTCAAGCCGTTAATAAGATTATGTTCTTCTGATTATGATGAAAAATAAGTTTGGCAGTTTCTATCAAGTTTAACTATAGATGTGCCCTGTCACATGTCAAAATTTTGTTTTTTTCAAGATGATGATTTTAAGAAATGGTACGGCATTTGAAAAATTGACGTTGTATGTCGCAGAATTCTATTTCAAACACTTGAGGCTAACGATACGCAAGTAAAAATCACAAAAACAAGTATGCCCCTCATCATACCGGCCGCCGAGAACAACGAATTCAAAGAAGCCAAGTACCAAAAATCGATATATTTCGGCATAACTTGTGTGAGCATGATTTCCCCCGGGTATTGATATGTTTCTATAGTAAATCAAATGTGCTTAATTTGATAGTCATAATGAAAAAAAAAGTTAACCTATGATTTTTGAGATATTGAAAATTTTTTTGATTTTTTCAAAAAATCAATAATCCAATCAACAGGAAAAAAATTAAAATTTCAGTTCTCAAATGTTCAATTAATTGTCTATCTACTGTTTTTCAAATTTCAACAAACGGACAGAAACTGACAAAGTTATGATTTTTTGAAAATTTAGGCATTTTTTGGTACTTTTTGGACCATAACTCCCAAAAAAAAATTTTTACCAACTATCCTGTTTGGAATCTAAAATAACTTTTTATGGTCTATCCAACCATATAAGTCTCGATTTTTTTCGAGGGTAACACTTGGGAGTCATTCCATGTCAGATAAATAATTTGACCTTGAAAAAAAGAGAATCTTATGTTAGTCATACTCAAACAATAGCAACAACTTCTTCATACAAATTAATCGTTGAAAATTGATGAATGGAACACTCTGGAAATGAAACTGGACCAGTGTTCTGTTATATCATTAATTTACTAAATGAAATCACTTTTGAAATCAGTTCTATCGTCTCCATGGGCTTTCCGCATCACAAAATTATGTTTTATAGGGTTTAACGGTACTGTATTATTGATATCTATTGAAAAAAGTATCAAATTCCAGCAGCCGACTCTGACACGATAAATAAAAGTAACCCTCATACTTGTTTTTGCTTGCCTCTCAATTTATAAAATCATCTTTTGAATGATTAATAAGAATATATTGTAGAAAAACATCTGAAAAATAATAAAAACATATAAAAAACCAAACATTGACAATTTGAAATTGGACAACGATAGTTGGAAAAGCCCAGAAGCCGGAAACCTCTAGTTGACACTTCGAGCAGCCGTTCCATACACGGAATTGTACTTCGATGATGCATGATTTGCTTAAAAGTTGGTCAAAGTCTCTTTTATAATGTTCAAAATGTTATATGTCACATTCAGCACCGTTTTCTATTTCTCCCAGATTTTTTAAAAAATGACCCAAAAATCCGAAGTTTTTCAAAAAGTGCATTTGTCCACTAAAATTTTTTCTTTATTTTTCAAGTTGAGAGTGTTTTTGTTTCATTTTTCTTGGGAGACTTGTTATATTTCACAAAAAAGTTTGACGCTTCAGCTCTATTTTGAAGAAATTTACAGTTGAAAACACGAATTGTATATCTTATTGCACGGTACTGTAGATCGAAAGAATATGGTCAAAATCCTATGAATCCGTTTTCAAAGGCTGCTTACGAGACCTTTGAACTGCTGAAATTTCAGATTCAGTACCAAAAAATCCCATTTTCAGTGTAAAATCGGCAATTTTCAAATTTAATTTTCTCCACTCCTAGGAGGTTTTAGGACTTGAAACTTAGTGTATTATACTTGAAATTATGAAATTAGGAATTAAATTAATGTGGAATTTCATATTTCAGACATTTTCTAAAAAAATTGTCAAAACTCGGAAACTTGCTCTCACCGAAAATATAGGAAAATTTTCAAACATCCCAAAACTTTTCCGAAAATAGATTTTTTCAGAAAATGTCTGAAATATGTAATTTCACATAATTTCAAGTATAATACAATAAGTTTCAAGTCCAAAAGCCTCCTAGGAGTGCAGGAAATTAGATTTGAAAATTGCCGATTTTACAGTGAAAAGAGATTTTTCGGCACTGAAGCTTAAATTTCAGCACTTCAAAGGTCTCGTAAGCAGACTTCGAAAACGGATTGATATAGGTTTTCTACCATGTTCTTTCGATCTATGTAGGTGGTTTCTGCTGACTCCTACCTTCACTCAAAAGGTTCCCTTGTAAGTCTCGGGCGGGAGGCGGGGGTCCGCTATTTTATGCACTCAAATGCAAACCCTACAAACGACTTTGTGTTGGTCGACATTGCCCTTTGCTCGCTGTCAGAGAGTGTCAATTCAAAAATTGGGAATACCATCGTTTCATGGCGATCATTTAAATTTGAACCTTTAATTTCAATATTTTTTCGAATGTTCCAGCCTGCTTTTTTTAACAAGGATTTTCGAAATTCAGAAAATGTACTTGGTGGCATCTCTAGGATGGTTGGGAAAAATTAGGGTTTCCTGGTCAGGAGAACTACATGAATAATTGACAAGTTATTTCAAAAACTGAAGATGAATGCGGAGGCTCTATGTGAAATATTCTAATATCCGGATTATCTCAATGTGAAAAAAAAATAGCCAATATAAATAATCAAACTTCCGAATGAATATGTATAATTCATTTGATCTTGATCGGAGCGTTTTTATATGATGAAAAACTAATCATTTTTTAGTATTTATTCATTTTTTTTCTTTGGTGAGAATTTATATTTAGTTCTTTCTCTTCTCGTATTCCTCGTTTTCCTATGACCAGTTGCTATTTCAAACGGGAGTTATTGGTAATTAGGTATTTGCTTAGAGAGAGGGGACGCAGGGGTCACTTGACCCGTTCGGAGGGGTCATTATTGTCTTTCTCGGCAAACTCCTGCCAGGTTATGAGTACGTCTTTCCTTTTCTATTTTTTTTCGGTTTTTCATTATGTGTGAGAAGTGTTTCCAATCGCATAATCCGCTTACGTGCAGTTTCAGTTTGATAAATCTGTCAAAAATTTCGAAAAAATTTTCCTACTCTTTCATTTACGAATTTTTATTTTTTTTTTTGAAGTTGAAGTTTTTTTCAGTCTCTTCGGTTTTTTTGTTTAATTTTTTGAGCATCACCACAATAGTGATCTTTTTCTGTCATTGCGTTGTAGAAAAACCAATTGCCTATTCAAATGTACCTTTGTCGACCTTCAATAACCTCTGTCCCTCCCCTACCATCCGTTTACCCATCTTTTGACTCTCCTCGCTCTCCACACTATTTCAATTGCGCGGCAATCTAGTTTCATTTGAATTTAGGAGGGTTGACGGTCTGTGGTATGTTTTTTTTCTTTTTTTGGGATACCTGTTGTCTTTTTTTACTGGATTTTTGAAAACTTTTTTTGGAAATATATATTTATTCTTTTTTTCTTTTGATCCCTTAGTTTTTTGATTCCTTCTTATTCTTTCAGTTAACGGTAACACTAAACGAATATGAACAATTCCTTGAGATGTTTTTTTTTTCTTTTTACATCGTCTTCTAGCGGAATCGGTAATTGTCGTAATTCTTCTTAACCCGGTTTGCTTTGCGATTTTATTACCAATCATTCATCGCGGAAAAATTAATGGGTCCAAATAGGGAGATTTTTGTGGAAAAACGCAAAAATGATCAACTGACACTCCCTTATCAGTTTTACACTTGCCCGTGAACCAATTCTTCTTTATGCTATTCGATTTTCTTCTCCTCCTTTTGCTTCTCAATTTCAATCCATCTATCCGTCAACCTCTCCCACTTCTCCACCTTCTCTTCTCGCCTCTTCTGTTGTCATCCATCTTATCTGCTCTCGTAGGTGGCAGTTGACGGGGGATATGGGCTTATGTTCAACTTTCTGCTATAGTCTTTTCTCACCTTGACTAGTGAGAAACCGAGGCATTGTTCGAAAATTTGTGATAAGGTGGTGGCAAGTTCTGATATTTAAAGTGAGACTCTGACCAATAAATTGTATTGCATGAATGTTTTTAAGCGTTATCTATTTTTCTAAAATTATTGTGATTATTGTGAGGGACGAGTATGTGAAGTGCGAAATCTAGGCCACGTCAGCTTTGCGCTCTCTTTCTCAGACAATTTTTCCAGATTTTGTTTCACGTTTATCGCAAACAAAAAAAATAAATAAAACACCAGTCGGCCACTTGAAAAAAATGCTGTCAGGCCCCGTTCAATAAGTTTCTTACTGCAAATCTTCAGTTTCTCACTGCAAAATCCTTTCTGGGCATCTTTAATTGTTATTTTTAAACTGCATTTTTCGGGAATTTTGGTTTTTTTTCGAATTTGTTTTTTTTTGTTTTTTTTATTATTGGCCAAAGTCCCAACTTCTAAAATCTAGGAAAAAAACGCTCAAACACAAACTCTCATGCTATCTTAATTTCCAATCTAACATCATAGGACTTCTATTGTTCCAATCAGTTTTTGATTATCCATAAATTCATCTTGTTATCTTATCTCGAAGGTGGGATGAGCGACGACAAAACATTTTCCGATTCAGGCTGATGGATATCTAATCTAATAGTTGGTACTGTTTTTTGAGCCACAGCAATCGAGCCGAATCATTTTTTGTCGGGCCATTATCCTATACGTCATCAATCTTCAAAGAGGAAGGGATTATTGCGCGAGGCGGAATTTCTTTTCTTTTTGTGATCCATATAATTGGTGCAAGAGCGGCAGCGGAAAGAAGAACTATTAAGACCACAAAAATTCGGTTTTCTCGAACTTTCTCTAATGTTTGTACGTGCGTTCTATTTCTTCTTTCTTATCAGTAATGTTTATCAACGTTTACCTGAACCCGTACGTTTGTAGTGTACACCAGTAGTCTCTGATGTTTACAGAAACAAAAACACCTCGTGACTTGCATTGGAAAACTTAAAGTTACTCTTATTTTTCTCAAATAATCACCTTGAGAAGAAGCAATGTAGATTTTTGGATGACCTTCTTATCTTCTTCAGTATAGCAGAGTCGTTCATCTTCGTTTCCATAAATCAAACATGGAATTATTCTCCCATTCCCCCCACGATATCTTATCTTCAGATCTTTATACTTCACGTATTCTTCTTTTCTTCTTTTTCTCCTCCTTCCCCCTCCTACCCCCAAACGATTTTATCTATTCGCATAAGTAGCAGTTGGCGGATTGTGGTTCGGTGACAAGTCACATTTTCTTTCGAGAATAGCTTCCCGATTGTATTTTTTGTATTTTAATGTAATCTGGTAAAATAGGTGGAAAAAAAATAATGCCTCAGTTTTTTTTTTTGAAACTTGAGTTTTTTCTCTGCTCCTCCTTCTATCTTCAGGAAGTGAGTTATATATTAAATCTCTTCTCAGATATCTTTCATTTGTTGTGCTTTCCGCTTTTTCTACTGTAGTCAGAGAGTTGATTCTTATCAAAAGTATATTTACAGGTCAAAAATGCCATATTCTCCATTCGAAGAGCTTTCTGATTGTACACTTTATGGCCTCTTCAAGCTTGCTATCGAAAAAAGAACAAATGCGATCAACAACCGATGTCAAAACCTTCACTACCGCACAACCAACACCAAGTTCACGATTAGTCTTCAGAAGATTCTGAGACAACACCGGGACTACCTCATCAGACGACGTCGGTTGCTTCCCGTGGACCCATCGGAGACTCAGGTCAGAGATTAGAAATATCTGAAACTTGATTTCGAATGGATCTTGAGTAGTGAAAAAGCAGTACGATAATACAATTCAGATTCAGTATAACGTGCTTGTTGGATCTAACCCTTAATAGATAATAGATAGTAGCATATAGAATCACTTTTTTAGCAAATGTTCTTCAGATTTGAATTAGGAAGGAATTCTTCAAAAAATACAACTAGTAGAGGCAAAAATATACTGTAACTAATCTTTTTCCCACTAGAAACCTAGATTTGGATCAGAAATTACTACTTTATGTTGTAGGAAGACACAAAGATGCACAGTATTTTTTTTCTAATTTCAATGCGCGTTGTCGCCAAATATTCAAGGGTGAGCGACGCTTAGGTATGTCAGGAAAATTTGTAAGGCGTATTTAAAGGAGCATGTATCTTCACAGCTCTTTTCTGCCTATAGAATTTTTCTACAACATTTATCGATTTTGAGCTGGTTTGTTTTGCAAATATCCGACAAATCGCCAAATAAAATCAAATAGTTTTGTTATAAAATACGGAAAATCCAACGCCTTTTTTATAGAATGAATCTAAAAAATCCCGAAACGCAGAAAATTCCAGGCTACTAATGCGACTACCTCAGAAGAACCTGCTTCCAAGCGTCTCAGAATTTTCGTTGAACAGCAGTCTGCTCCAACCACTTCTTCTGTTGGGTCATCTTCTGTTGAATCAACTGCAGCTCCAGTAGAAGGTGATTGTTTAACTCAAAAAATCTTTTAAAGTACTCTAAACCCGATATTTGCAGCTCTCAGAAGACCATACCGCATCCCTAACATCTTGAAACGCTCCCATGCCAAGAGAAGTCAAACTCCAGCTAGACTATGAAAGAAGAAGGCGTGTTTAGCCAGTGAAAGGTGAGATTCGCATTTTCAATATTCTCGGTATCTGACATTTCCTTTTTCAGACCCAGCTCAACACGTATCAACCCCGGGTTACTGTACAATTCTTGTCAAAAACGCATTTCCTAATTGATTTTTTTGTATCTCACTTGTCTTTTTCGAAAAAAGAAAACTTCTCATATAACTTCTCAGTTTCTCCATAATCTTGTCACAATAAAACCTTGTGTTCGAAAAATTTTATTGTGAGAGTGACGACTAAAAGATAAATTAATGAGGAAAAGTTATTTAACCAAGATGTCGACTGAAGACAACTAGAAGAACCGACAAGAAACATGTGTTACGAAGACTGTCCAGGGTTTCAAACAACTCAAGATGGCTCAGTTTGAATTCTCCTGAAATTTAGCAATAGTTATAAGTCGATATTTACCTCAAGTATCTCAAACGTCAGTTATCAATATTGCTCCGCCAGCTAGATAAATAAGAGTTCACTCACTTGAAGTTTTGGTCTTTTTGGAACTGGTTCACTTTCACTGACATCATCCTCTTCTTCATTCACCTCGCCAAACTCGTTAGGATCCATATTTTCAGCCATTTCGACTCTATACTCCTCCAAAACTCTTGCAAAGTTAATGTTGATAGCAATAAGGCGAAGATTGTCAAATGCTTCGATGAGTTCGTCGAGTTTCACATGAGATGACTGAATGAGCCGCACCAAGGTTTGATGGGATTGATTCATCTGGAGAAATGATGTTGAGGAAAGAAGTAGAATAGAGATAAATAATTGAAGAAAAGTCATATTTGTTTCTAAAGTGTTGATCCGATAAAAAGAAGGATAAACTGTATAACATGTAATCGAAGGGGTTTTCTAATTTCCAACTTTGAGTTAAATTTTCTCGGTGCCTGTCAAAGATATGAAAATGTTGTCAACCGATGAATTTTTTTTCATGATATCATAAACATTTTACCAGTTGACACATTTTGGATATCTTTCATGGGAATCGAGATGATTGAGCTCAAATTTAGTAGTACTGGAGCCCTTCTATTTCCAGGTTTACGGTATTGATAATAGCACTGCTTACTAGGAAAAATTAGTGATTAGGAAAACGGGAAAATTTTCAATTTATTCAAACAATTATAACTCATTTCTTAACATATGGCTTCAGATTTTCAAACGGAAAAATAGTTAAACGTCCAAAATAGAAAACATTGAGTGTAAAAGCCAAAAAAGGGACAATCTGGAAGTGTATAAATTTGCAATTCAATTCATCTGCGACTTTGCATCGTTTTTGTTTCTGATTAGTTGTTTCAAATAATGAAAAATGAAGGTTGGAGCTACTACGGAAATGTCTTAATGTCGTAAAATTCTAGTGAAAAGGGACAAATCGGATTTTTAGAAATTAATGTAAGTCGCTCACACCTTTTACAAATTTTTGTAACTACTTATGGAATTCATTCAAATGAAAACTTTGAAAAATTCTGAGTTGGACCCCAGGGATGCTGTATTTTCAGTTCTACAGAATCCCATCCTCATAAAATCTCGATCATAAAATGATGCGAGACCCCGAGTGTGTTGATTTTCCGTTTTTTGATAATCGAATTATAGCTTGGGAACGGGGAGACGGAAAAAGCTGAGTTGGAAGTTATTTTCTTCCCCCTAGCTTTTTCTGTAAAACTTGTAGACATTTTCATGTGGTTCAACGGGAGACAGTCCCGTTTCCTGGAAACGGAGTCCGGAATCGCAGTCATGCTGGAGAACTACGACATCTACAACAGCTACAAGCCAATTCGGCAACAGTTGTGCGGAAACAGAGTCTCCGCGATGGATCCATCTCCCGTTTTCAAGATATATGGCTTGAACAACAATGAACATTATTAATTGAGTTTACGGTTTGATAACATCATCGACTGTATGAAGTATGGTTGTTATGCTGAGTTTTGCAACATATTTAGATATTTTTCAGACCACCAAACTCAAATTTTGATCCTAATCGTGAATTCAATGACAGATTGTTCAAAGAAAGGAACTATATCATCTATCATCCAAAGGGTATTCGTACTGGAAAGGAATGGGCAAAGAGTAAAGTGAGATTTCATATCCGCATCACTTCTAACCCAAGGCTGTTGGATAGTCTAACTGTGAGTTTTGATCTTGAATATAACGTGTTACACAAATTCTTTTTCAGTCACTTCTAAATGCCAAAACTGTTTACTGCACTACTCTTCTGATTAATCAGATGAGAAAGGACAATAACGGTGTAATCCAGACGGTTTTCTCCACTGAGTTCTGCTTCGAGTGTTTGCGGTTTCAAACTCAATTCGGTATCAAAACCATTAACCTAATAATCAATAATTGATGACTTTACAGAAAAAGTACCATTGGTCTTGGATGAAATAACATTGGAGAGCGACTCAGGCGACAATGAGAGCGGAGAAGGGACTAGTTCTAGCGGATAACAAATAAGTATCAATAGTTGATTTCGTCACGGGGGTCTTTCAAGAATATTACCGTAAAACCTGTATTAGAAGAGCCGGTCTTTCTATTGTTCAGTGATATCTCCAAGAGGCCCGTCTATTACAAAGTAAAACAGAGACGTTTGGAACAATGTTCCGAAAATTATGAACATTCTGATTTCTATCAACTTTCACCAGTTTTTGGCGTTATTGTGATATGAAAATAGAATTTTTTAAAACTTGAATTTTGCAAAATTCCGAAATTTCAAAATCGGAATATTCCGAGAAAATTTCAAAAAGGCTATTCTGAACATGCCTGTATTAGAGTCATTTCTATTTCTTCAGTCAGTTTTTTCCAAAATTTCCATTAAAAAACGATGAACTTTCGTTCAAAATATAAAAAAATTGGCAATTTCACTGAAATTGAGCATGTTTTTGAGCAGAGAAAAGTTTTTTCAAAAATTTTCTATGTAATTTTCAAACTTTCGAAACAGTTAATACTGAAAGCGTTCCGAAATTTTTGATTTTGAACAACAGATTTTGAAGTAGGACCTTCTGTTTATCCAAGCGCCTCTCGAAGGCCCTTCTATTGAAGGGACCTTCTAATACAGATTTTACGGTAATTAATTTTCAATTGAATACTCATTTTATAAGGTCTTACTGATAAAACATTGAAAAAAAAATGATAAAGAAGATATTATTGCACATCTCTGAAACGTGACTGAGGAGAGCTGACTTCTATAATAGTCTTTTTCGAGGACTTCAATTGGCTGCTCTTTTCTCTTGAAACGGGATAATCTTCTCTCCTTTATCCGCTACTTTGTCTTGCTTATCCTCTATCTATTGCTTTCTCAAAGTGAAATAAGGAGAGTGCAAGAAACTCCTCCTCATGCACATTATTTTTTTCTGAATAGATGTTCTCATCACAATCCAGAGGCTATTTTTGCAGGCAATTAATCTGTTTCTTGACAATGACGATGCACATGATACATGGAGGGTTTCTTTGGAATTGAAAAAAGTTCCTTGAAATTTTAATAATTTTTTAGGTTTTTTTTTCTTTTTTGACTTCCTGATAGGTTCTGAAATAAAACTGTCATCCATTTTATTGTCAAATTATTTTTATGATCTTCAGAAGACTGTTCTAAAATCACGAGACGAGGACGGAAATCAGTTAATCACTGGAGAAAGCAATAATCATTAAAGTGATGACTGGCAAATTCCTGTTTCCAGGCAACTGTTTTCACAAAAATTTGATTCAAGAAGGTTCATATTTGGAATAAAATTCCTACCGGAATATTACCGAAAAATGTATTTGAGTTACAAATTTCTGGACTACGGTATGTCAAAGGCGCACTCAAAAAATTTGCTGGCAGGTCTCGAACGGAGTTACTTTTCATATTTTTTACGCTTTCGAGATTTTCTTTTATTTTCATCAGTTTTGGGAAAATTCCAAAATTCTCCGAAACCGAAATCCCAAAATTTTCAAATTTCAAATATAAATTTTCGAAATCAGAATATTCCGAAACGAAATTCGAAATTTCGATTTTTAAAACAGGAATTATCCGAGAAATTTCTGAAAATTCCGAAAATGCCATTCCGAACATCCTTGGTAGTAAATCGTGACTAGAAATCGGTACCTAATGAGGGGAAGGATGCTCACGCACCTATAAGAAGCAAAAATAGTAATGGCGACACACATTTTCAGCACATTCCCTTTAGAAAAAGAAAGAAAGATTGCATCCCAATCTGCTTGGCTTTTCCATTCCTCTTTTTGTCCCCGCGTTCTTTTTTCTGCCATATTTTTTTCTGTTTCTCAACCCCAAAATTTTCAATTATATCAATCCCCCACACCCATAAATGTATATATCCCCCTACATCCATTTATTCATTTTTTTTGATTGAAACAAAAAAAAGAAGGAAATATACACTTATCCATTTCCCTCTACCCTCCGGCTCTCAGGTAACCATACAAATTATTTTTTATGAGTTTCAAAAAACTAATGTATATGGGAAAGGTTGAGGAGAACAATGTAAGAAAGAGGGGGGCATAACATACTGCTTGCCTGTCTAGCTGTGTGTAGAACAGATGAGGTGCAATTTTCTTTCTTTTTCATTTTCTTCCTCATTTTGTCTCTCTCTCTCTCTCTCTTGCTTCAACTTTGAACTCTGCTTTCGGGCTAAATCGCATACTTCTGGTGTTGATACACCCCTCACATCCTCTTCAATCACTGTCTTTATTAAATTCCTTGTCATGTGTACAGTATATATACCCCTTCTATTGCATTTATCCTATCATTCAATCAACAATGTAGTTTTAAAATATGGTGCATCGGTACTCGGGGTCTCTGGATAAGCTTTATTCCATATACCCTGAAACTTTTTATCAAAATCTGGATTTACAGAATGTTGAGGCTCTTTTGTCAGTGTTTCAAAAAATAATTTTATCAAACTTTGAGAAGTGAAAGTTTCCGAAAAATGGAATTCCTTGTAACACTCGAACTTGTATTATGTAATCCTCAGTCTCCTGTCCCCAGAATTCTCATGTTTCAATCGATTCTTCCACAAGGCTTTGGCTTACGCGCGTGATCAGTCTTTCCGATGATTCATCCACATAAATGACTTTTTTCCCTCCCTGACCTTAGTCACTCTTTTTCCTTTCCTTAGCTCCAGTACCCCTACAGTACCTCCAGTATTAGGAAAAGCTACCATTGGAAAGTATTCATTTTATTTGTGTTCAGTTGAAAAAAAACAAATTTTAGATACTCAGAAAAACAATATAGTTCTTGTTGTGTTAGCCTTAACGTTTTTTTTAGTTTTTCAGTTTTTAATGGTCTAGCATGGCCCTGGTGTGTTTTCTAAGTCATTTAGACATGGTGGCCTAACTTTTGCGTACCGAATTTTCTAGACCATCATAATAAACTCGCTTCTTAATAGGCTGACATGCCCCAGGTGTGTTTTCTATGTCATTTTGAAGTGATGGTCTTACTTTTCCAAGTCGAATTTTCGAGGCCACCATGATAAAATGTCGTGGGAGTGGTCTGAGATGCCCAAGGGTGTTTTCTAGGTCATTTTAAGGTGGAGTGCTGACTTGTGCAAGTAGAATTTATAATACTAGGCCATCATGATAACATGGCATGGTTTTCTAGGTCACCATTTAGAAATGACCCATAAATGGTCTGATATTATTCTGGTGTGACTTCTATATTATTTTAACTTGATGACCCAGAAAACTCAACTTGGAAAAGTTAGGTCAACATGCCAAAATGGCCTAGAAAACACAACACTTTCATGATAGGCCATTTCTAGACTAGAAAAGGCGGTGGCCTAGAGAGCTCGAAATTCCTTGCAAATTTCTTGAAGACATGTCGAAAAGATATACTGATTAATTGTCTTTTACAGTGTCACAACTTATCTTGAGGGGTAGAAAGATTTTCCATTTTTGGGATTTTCAGTGTTTCAAAATGGAAATTTTCTCCATCCCTTGCTCAAATTAAAAAAAATTCAATCGACTTTTTTTTCTCATATTTCCAGTGACTCAGTGATCTCAGTGATTGTTTTCTATTCAAGAAACAATGAGTAACTAGCTTTTCACCCAAAATCTACCGACAGGAATCCCAAAAAATTTCGATTTCATCAAAACAGAGAGGAAACAGTTATCTTTCTTTTTTTTCCTTTCCCTCTCTATCTCTACTTTTCAACCGAATTTTCCATTTCTCTTTCTTTCCTGGATTTTCGACTCTTCTTTTTTCAAAAAACGTAAAATTCTCAAAAACATATCGTAAGGATACACTTATTGTCTTTTATAGCTTCACAACTTATCTTGAAAGGAAGGGAGACCATACACTTTTGGTATTCTCAGTTTTTTCAAAACTGAAAATTCTTCCACCCCTCTCTGAAGGAGTTTCGAAAATATCAATCGATTCACTTATCTGAAATTTCGGTGATGTTGTTCGTATTTTCTGGAAACAATTAGTCATTCGCCTTTTTACTACTTCATAAATCCCAAAAATTTTGTATTTTATCCGAACAAGAGAGCGACAGAAATAAATTCTGATCCCCAATGAAAAAATGCGTGGAACTGGAGATTTCGGTCGTTGATAAGAGGATAATTTATGTTCCCGCCTAGACTTCCTGAACTTTTCGACATTTTTTGGGGGTGGATATCACAATACGCGGTGTTAATTCTATGTGTTTCTCTTTTTCATCAGTTCCTCTCTTTTGGGTACTTTCCGGGTCAGTCTAGGAAAATCAATTTCTCATATTTCGTTGAAAAACTAAATTTAGACACATTTGTACTCTAAAAGTCGGCATTCCCATTCCCTCTGTTCCCTCATTCAAACCATTTTTTCAATATATCTGCGTCTCTCATTGTCCCTCCCAGCTTTTGTTTTCCCAATAGAAGATATTAGTGATATGGTTTGGAAAAACACATAGACATACAGAAGCAGAGGAAATTAGTCATTCCCACAATGCTCGTGGAGGAGGGTGGAAGACGACCATTGGAGGAAAGAAGAATGACTATGATGATATACAGTCACCATTGAGAGAGTGTAAAATCTTTTACGAATAGTTTCCTGTGTCCCTCTTTTCTAATTTTCATTGATTTATTATAGGAACCTCTCTTTTTTTTTCCTTTTTTGTTGGCCTAGTAAAAGGAGAAAAGGCTAGACAATTCGTTATATCCCCCGCTCTTTTTTATATCTATTCACAGTTCTTAATGTTATTGGTCTGAAAGTCTGTTGACAACGTCATTTTCAGCAGAAACATAAAGCACTAGTTGATTGTTTTGCTTTCTGGGAGAACCTTCAAACTTTTTTAGAAATTTTCTTTGTGTTTTCTTAAATCTATGATTTTTAGGATCTTCCGTCAGTCAAGATGTACAGCTCATCAAGACCAACATCATCAGACCAACAACCACAATCAATGGAGCTTGGAAAGTATGAGGTAAGGAATTCAGATGGATATTTTTATTGGCTACCGTAACCTCTCATATAGAATTCTCCTCAGACTGTTAACTTTGAGCTTATATATGTATCTGATTTTCTGTAAAAGATATCGAAAAGTTGTCAACTGACAAAATGTTCTTCAATTTTTAGGTCATTTTGAAATGGTGGCTTAACTTTTGGAAACTGAATTTTCGGCTCTTTTCTAGTTTAGAGGTCCTAAAAAAGAATAGAGGTCCCAAAAAAACTTAAGGTCCCAAAATAAAATTGAGGTCCCAAAAAAAGTTAGAGGTCCCAAGAAAAAATAAAGGCCCAAAACTTAAAAATGCACATATGCTGGAATAACGTACTAGAATTTAAATTGTGTAAGAAATTAAAGTTTTGAGGTCTTATAGCAAAATAATTGTTGATGATATAGTTTATACTTCTAATAGGCTTAGGAATGCATATCTTCTGACAATTATTAAGCCTGAGAGACAGTATAATCATGGAGTCATTACCGTATTGCCGAAATGTTCCTCATATGTAAATTGGGGTTCATCAACAAGATGCAAGAGAGTTGGAGCTAAAATTGTTAGGAGCAGTCATATCATCCTATGAGACCCCAAAACTCAAACAACTCACACAGTTCAAATTCTAGTACAGGGTGGGGAATAATTATAGCGCCGCAACTTTGCGTAAGCTCTGGCGCCTGTGAAACGGTCTGTGGTGCACACATTATTATTTTTTTTTATTCATTATTTTGTTTTAAACTATTTCTGAAAGTTTCAGCCAATTATTTCAATTTTGAAGGTAATGGTGGCAGGTTCTCCATTCCGCACTGCTATTGTGGAGTGCGCGGAAAACGGGATGACTTCTTCGGAGATCTCTAAAAAACTTGGAGTCGGAAAATCGGTGGTCAATCGAACACTCGTTCGATTCAGAAAGATAGGAACTTTTAAGGACATAAGAAGAAGCGGCCGTCCGGTGACTGTGACGACTCCTGAGCATGGGAAAGATGGCATCGGAGTTTGGAATGAGTCCCAAATCAATGAGAATTATTGTCCGAAACAAGCTCCATATGATCTCATATCGAATCCAAAAAGGCGCTTTCCTAACGGACCGCAACAAGCAGTTTCGTCTGAAAAAAGCCAAAGAACTCCTTCGAGGCACGCTCACTGGCACGCACCTAAGGACAGTGTTCACAGATGAGAAGTTGTTCACTGTTGAGGCTAACAAGAACGGCCAGAACAACCGAATTCTGGCAATCGATTATGATAGTGCATATAGGAAAGGGAAAATCTTGAACAAGACTTCTCACCCGGCCGCGGTGATGGTGTTTGGTGGAATTTGCTCAGATGGTAAGACGCCACTGCTGTTTTTCGATGTAGGAGCCAAGATCAACAAGGAATACTATATTGAGCGGATTTTGAAATCGGAGGTGCTGCCCTGGTCCCAATCACATTTCGTCAACGGCAATTGGACATTCCAGCAGGACAAAGCGCCTGCTCACACTGCAAAGCTCACTCAGGAGTGGTGCCAAGCCAATTTTCCAGATTTCATCACCAAGGATCAATGGCCAGCTTCCAGTCCGGATCTCAATCCGATGGATTATGCGGTGTGAGGATATTTGACCCAGCAAGTCTCTACAAAAAATTATCCCAATTTGGATGCCCTGAAGAAAGCCTTGACCGCGGCATGGGACAAATTAGACGCCAACTACCTGCGTGCCGTAGTCGACTCCTACCCGAAGAGACTTCGACCTGTGATCAAAGCGAAGGGAGGAAGGTTCGAAAACTGTTAATGCTATCTTTTTTGTTGTCTCTTAATGAACATTTTGGTTAAATTTCAGAAAAAAATCTTTTGCTTTGACCTTTTTACACCGTCTTGAAAGCGGCGCTATATTTATTCCCCACCCTGTACATTATTCCAACATCTGGGCGTTTTTCGAATTTCGGACCTCTATTTTTTCTTGGGACCACTAAACTTTTTTGGGACCTCTAAATTTTTTCGGACCTCTAAACTTTTTTTGACTTCTAAACTAGAAAAGAGCCGAATTTTCTAGGCCTCTATGATAAAGTAGCCTGAGAATGGGCTGACATGTACCTGGTGTGTTTTCTAGGCTATTTTGAACTGGCGACCTTATTTTTGCAAGTCAAATTTCTAGGCCACCATGATAAATTTGCCTGAAACAGGGCTGACATGCCCAGGTGTGTTTTCTAGGCCAATTCGAAGTGATGGCCTAACTTTTGCAAATTGAATTTTCTAGGCCACCATGATAAAATGGCTTGAAAATGGTCTGACGTTCCCCGGGTGTGCTTTCTAAGTCATTTTGAAATGAGGGCCTAGCTTTTGCAAACTGATTTTTCTAGGCCACCATGATAAAATGTCCTGGGAATGTTCTGATATGCCCCTAGTGTATTTTCTAGGTCATTTCGAAGTGATGGCCTAATTTTTGCAAATTGAATTTTCTAGGCCACCATGATAAGATAACCTGAAATTGGTCTGACATTCCCCCGGTGTGCTTTCCAGGTCATTCTGAAATGAGGGCCTAGCTTTTGCAAACTGATTTTTTTAGGCCACCATGATAAAATGGTCTGAAAATGGGCTCTAATGCCCTAGTGTTTTTTCGAGGGTACGATGAATTCGAACTTTCCCGAAATCGGACTGTCCCGAAAACGAACTCGTTCGAATTAGAACTGTCCCTTTATTGAACACGTCCAGAATAGAACAAGTACAGAATCAAACCGTTACAGATTCGAATTGTGCGGTGTCGAACTGGGCCGGATTGGAACTTTTTTTGCAACAGAGCGCGCTTGCATAAATTTTATTTCTCAATTATTTTTGTTAACAAATTTTTCTTTTTTTCTCCAGAAAAACTTCTTTTAAAGAATTTTGGATGTTTCGCGGGTTTATTTTTTTGTTTTGAGAATAAACAATTCTTACAGAAATGGCCCCCCGTAAAAATAAGCCGATTATCCAAGTTTTTCTTTTTTTTTTACATATATTTTCTACTTCTTAAATTGTTTTTTCCTCGCTGTATTGAAAAAAAAAAAGTTTTCTTTGTTGTAAAAATGCTTTTTTCTGAAAAAAACTTGAATATTTCAAAGGTAATGCAAGCGCGCTCTGCTGCAAAAAAGTTTCAATCCGGGACAGTTCGACACCGCACAATTCGAATCTGTAACGGTTTGATTCTGTACTTGTTCTATTCTGGACGTGTTCAATAAAGGGACAGTTCTAATTCGAACGAGTTCGTTTTCGGGACAGTTCGATTTCGGGAAAGTTCGAATTCATCGTACCCTCGTTTTTTCTAGACCTAATCTTTGCAAAATCTTTAGATACTCAAAACAAAGGTAATAGATTGTGTGGCATCAGTTCAAACGTACCGTAAATACTCTAATTGTATGTAGCATGCCTCTAAGTTCAAGCTTATATATCTCATTTTCTGTGAAAATTAGTCAAAAGTGTTTAATTAACAAAATGTTCATTATAAGATGAAACTGTATTGTCATCTAATAAATTTCTTATATCTTTCACAAAAACAGAGATACATTGGATTGAGATTAGGGCTCATTTGATAGGAGTGTTTACGGTGGGTTAACATTTTTGACAAGGTAGAAAAAGTAATTAACAAGATCTATCTTCTTTTTCGAATTTTGTGCCGCGATTTTGAATTTTTTTTTTCTTCTAGAATGAAAATACCACCCGTTAAAAACCAGATTCAAATAACTTCCTATAACTGAAATACACGGTTCTAAGTCCCCACGACTGACGGAAAGATTTTCAGAACAAACGTCTCAATAAAGTGATGGGTATGGTCGAATTGCATTCGAAAAACCCAGATAACGGTGTCATCCGGGTGGATCTCAAGATTCTCCTTCAGAAACTGTTTGGAAAGTTGAAGTAAGTTACATTTAACAAGTTCATGATTTCGAAATTTTAAACAAAAATAGAACTGAGACCAATACAGTCCAAATTTTGGAGAATACAATTCTTGAAAATTCGAATAACACAAAATATTCCAAAGTTGGAACCCCGGATTATTCCGTTTTTTTTTGCCATTAATCGAAATCTAGAAAGATTCCAGATCGTTTGCAAATTTCAATAGTCTGATTTTAAAATTTTAAAAATCTTCCGAATTTCAAAATTTTTTTGGAAAATCGAAATTTTCGAACATTCGGAAAATCGAAATTTTCGAACATTCGGAAAATTTCAGACATGAAATTTCGGAATTTCCTGTTGTTTTTTTTTCAAAAACTAGAATTTTGAAATTAGAGAAGCCCCTAAATTTTTTCGGAAAATCGGCATTTCGGTATTTTTCAAACTTTCAATGATCTAAAATAAAATTAAGAGTTTTAGAATATTTCAATTTTTGGAAAAGTAGATTTTCAGAACTTTAGAAAAATTCAAATTTTTGAGCAAAATGGAACAAAATTTGAAACAATTGCAAGATTTCAACTATCGAATTTTGAGAATTTTATAAATTTCTGAAATATGGAATTTTCAGATGTCCGTATTTTTGAATACCAGAACTTCAGAAGTTTAAAATGTTCCGACTTTTCCAGAATCGGGAATTCAGAATTGCGAAATTTTCTGACAATTCAAAAATCGGAATTTTAAATTTTTAGAATATTTCAAACTTTCGAGGAGTAATCAAAATTCAGAAAATTCGGATTATTCCAAGTTTTTCAATATTGGAATTTCGAACAATTCGAAAATTTTCAAACTCGATTTTTCCAAATATTCGATTTTTCGATAATCGGAGTTTTTGTTTCTCGAATTTTGCAGAACTTTTGAAATTCAAATGTTCGACATTTCGGAACTTTTCGAATTCTCAATAAACGCAAATTGAAAATTAAATTCAATTTTTTGAAATGAAAAAAAAACTATTGCTACAGTAGCATTTCTCATCACACCCTAACTATTTACAGCCAATACGAGATACCAGCCGAAAATGCGTTTCTCGTGGGAGGCGGAGCGTCATACGTCCTTAACCCTCGATGTTCGTACTCCGACATTGACATTTCCATTCCAGTCAGCTTGTCGAACACCTACAAGTCAGCTCGAACAATATTTGCTTTCATTATGAAAGCTGTTCTTGAGCTTATCCAAGAGCTGAGCCACGCAGTCCGCGACCCGATGTCTTATCTCCAAAAAGCGATTCGAGTGAGAAAAAAACAAATGCGTTTAGCACAGTTTAACGAACTTTATTTCCAGATCGAGCAAAATGTGAGAACCAATTACTGGTCTCTATTCGCGCTTCGAAATGAAGAAGGGCGCCACGTTGAGTTGAAGTTTGTGCTCTCAATTCCCCGAGAGTTCATCTTCTTCTCCGACTCCATCGAGATTGATTTGACCAACTTCGCCAAAAAGAACTGCGTCACAAAAGAGAAGAAATCAGAAAAAGAAAATCATGTGCCAATCGCAATTGGAAGCAACCAGAAAGCCGAAGATGCAGAACCAACTGGTTCGGACGACGAGAAAAAGGAGTATCTCCCTTCGAGAATCTCCTCGTCATACAAAGATCTGAGAAAGGTAGTTATAGACAATATATTTCTAATGAGTTTTTCCAAACTTTCAGGCTGTCTCGGATGTAAAAAGCAGAAGAATCGACACCGTGGAACCGAACATGATTCGTGGAGGAGGATTTCTGAAATATGCCCATCTGAAGACAAAGGGATTCGTGGATTCACGAGATGGACAGGATCTTGAAAAACTTCTCGAGTTAGTTTGCATCTTTTTTTTTTGGTTTCAGAGTTGTTCAAATTCAAAGAAAATAATTTACCTTTTTCGCAGTAGTTTAAAATAATATGAATATTTCAGAGGAATGGTATCGGGATTCCTTTCGGAATTCAACGAAAGTAAGTATGATGTCCTTTCACAATATATGAGGAACCACTTTGATACTCATCACTTCCCAAAGAAGTTCAAGTTTCTTGATGAACTCAGAAGCTTGTGTTGCCACTTGGAGAAGTTCAACATCAAAGATGCAATGGAAACTCGCATCGAAAGGTAGTTTCTTTGCTTCGAAATTATTTTCAACACAAACAATTTTTCAGAATTCATGAGGAAGAGCTCGGAAAAATGGCCATCTTGAGAGCGACAAATCGTCACGCCATTGTCATGCCGCTTCTCGATGCCGACGATGGCTTCGACTACTCTAGCGATGCAGCTCACCCATTTTTCCCATACCTTTATGCCATTAACTGGAAATTCCCATTCTTTTTATTCTGATCTTTCACTTCTTGTCCTCATTTTCTTCCATGTCAATGATATCGTCGTTTTTTCTCATACAGCGGGCCTGATTACTTTGTAATTCCACATTGACGTTCCCACAGCTTTACGGTTTTTATGTAACTATCTCGGATCCGCTGAAATTTCACTTCTCTTCTAAATTCAACTATGATAATACTTTCAAGAAGCCTTTGAATGTTTTCATTCTGTATCTCTTCCCCAAAATGTTATTTAAAAAATTAAGCCGACAGAATACAGTTGAAGCAAATAAAGTCAGTGCTAATACAAGTCTCTGTTCTTAGTGATATTTATGAGATATCAAACTTTTCAGGTTACCGCAAAAATTCCGGAACATTTTTCAGGATGCCAAAATTGGTTGTTATCATTGAAAGAAAAACAGTCCTTAATTTGACTGACAAACTATTTGTCAAAATATCACCAAAATTTCATAAATTGACAAATCTTCGATATGTTTCACAGGAATCAAGATAATTGAGCTCGAATGGGCATAGTACGAATGGACTTCTATTGAAGGAAGTACTGATAATTTCTGTCAGCTACAGTACTTTGAGTTTTTTCTAATCGACCTTTGATGAAATTTCCACACCCCTCTCTGGTTTTCATTTCAGTAATTATTGGTGAATTGAAGAGTAAAACTGAGAAAACCCAGAGAATTATTTTTGTCTACTGATCTCGCTTTTCTACCGGCGTACATTTGATCTCTTGCCATTTACAGTTTTCTAGGTATACATTGTCTTTCTACATCCTCAATTCATGTTTATTGCAATGTATCCTTTTTCTCAAAGCGGATCCAAATTACACGGTTCCAGCTTCTCTCCAACCAAAAGCTAAAAAATTATGCGTTCGGGGGGAATCGAACCCCCGTCGAATGCTTGGAAGGCATCCATGCTGACCATTACACCACGAACGCGCATGTTCACTCTTTACATTGTAACGGAAATAAAACGAAACGATTACATGGACTGACAGTGATGTCCAAGAATCGCTCCGAAACCTGATTTCCCTACTTCCGCGTTTGACAAGAGACCGAGAAGTCGTTCCGAAAGAGACATAGAGATCGGTATAGATTAATTCCAACTATCTGGAAAACTAATAACACGCGTTCGTGGTGTAATGGTCAGCATGGATGCCTTCCAAGCATTCGACGGGGGTTCGATTCCCCCCGAACGCAGTATTTTTTTTCAAACGTTTACTATTTGAGAAGCTGGACCAGTTTTAAAGTTTGTAAACACGCCGGTGTACGCTCCTGCCGGGGTTCGAACTCCTGGCTCTCGCCGGCTGTATTTTACAGTCGAATTTCAAAATTTTCTAAAATTATTGTGCCTTATTCAACATTATTTTAGAAAATAATGAAAAGCAATTGGAAAAATGCGAAAAATTGAAGAAACATATATTTTTGAAACTCTTTTTTTCATGATATAGGTCCATAGCATTTTTGAAGTAGCAAAATTCGAAATATTTGTTTTCCCTTATTTCAGTTCTAAATATACAATATCCAAATTCAAGCTTTCCAAAATTTAGAAATTTCTAAATTCTGTTAATTTGAAAATTTCAAATTTTTGAACCTTCAAAATCACTAAACTTTTAAAATTCGAATTTTTTGAAAATTTATATTTTCCGAATTTATATTGCTTCAAATTCAATGAATTCAAAAGTTTCAATTTTTCTAGCTTCAAGATCTCAGAATTTTCTAATTTCCAAATTTCACGAGTTTCCCTAATTTTCAAAATTCCTCGAAGTTCTGAACTTCCAAATAAACGAATTTTTAAAATTCCGAAATTCGAATCTGAATTCCTTTGTTTCTCAATTCTTAATTTTTTTAAAATTCTGATTTTAAGAATGATAACAAAAATCTAAAAACAGAAATCTGCGTTCGGAGAGAATCGAACCCCCCGTCGAATGCTTGGAAGGCATCCATGCTGACCATTACACCACGAACGGGCATGTTTAGTCTCCACATTATAACGGAAATAAAGAAGTGCGATTATATAAAGAAACAGTGATGTTTACGAATCCCTCCGAAACCTGATTGTCCTACGTCTGAATTCAAAAGAGACGGAGAAATCGGGATAGATAAATCTCAATAATTGGAAAACTAAATATGCGCGTTCGTGGTGTAATGGTCAGCATGGATGCCTTCCAAGCATTGGACGGGGGTTCGATTCCCCCTGAGCGCAGATTTGTTTTCAAACGTTTACTATTTGAGAAGCTGGACCAGTTTTAAAGTTTGTAAACACGCCGGTGTACGCTCCTGCCGGGGTTCGAACTCCTGGCTCTCGCCGGCTGTATTTTACAGTCGAATTTCAAAATTTTCTAAAATTATTGTGCCTTATTCAACATTATTTTAGAAAATAATGAAAAGCAATTGGAAAAATGCGAAAAATTGAAGAAACATATATTTTTGAAACTCTTTTTTTCATGATATAGGTCCATAGCATTTTTGAAGTAGAAATATTTAGTCATCACTTTTCTTCATTTCAACCAGCACTGTTTCCTTCTTTGGCCAGTTAGCTTCGAAAAAACTTTTTTCGAGCGCAAAAGTCTTTATAATGTCTTTGCGAGGAAGCTCAGAATTCAAAAACGTGAATTTCTCTTTGAAAAATCGTTTGGTTTCCAAATAGTTGATTAAAGTCCGGATAGAATCGGTTTTGAGGAAACGACGAGTGTCCTAAATATAGTATATGCTTGCTTAAATCAAGTCAGCATTAAACTCACTATTCCGTTTTCTGGAAGACGAAATCTGACAGTGATGCAATCCGGATTAGTATCATCTGGCTCAACTGGCATCTGTGAGGACAAATTCTTCACACGTTCATCTTCTTCTTCTGCTATTTTCTTCTGCTCCAATTCCATTTTCCTCTTCTTCTCCATTTCCATCTCTTTCAGACTCTTCTCCGAATTAATTCTCTCTATATCCGCTTGCAAGCTCTGTTCATAAGCAGCATTTTGCTGTACTAAAAGTTCTCGTGCCTCTTTCTGCTGCAAATCCTTGCTAATTTCTGCCAGTTGGTCATTTTGAAATATTTCATATGCCTCGTGTAATCCGTTAACCACCTCATTGAGATCACTTCTTCCATTGAATTTGCGAATGACCTCGAACGAATATCGTTTTCGGTGTATAATCATCAATAACGGGAAATTGGCTCGGTCTGAGAATGAGAATGCAGCATTTTGCAAATCCTCCTGTATAGCTCTCATACTGCACTCGGTCAACATTTGGCACAGTTGGATTAAATTCGAGCTGTAAAACCTCTTTTATCAGTATACATTGTTACCAAGATACAACTTACTCTTCAGTGATATCCCACGGAAACAAGACAAAATGTTCTTTCGAAAAATCTGTGACAAATTGGTTGCACATCACATTTTTAACAAAGTTTTCCGTCAGAGTACTGTCTTCGTTGTTGATAAATAAGATCATTGGCTTTCTGAATTTCTTATCATCGTGATTGAAAGCAGTAACAATTGCATTTTCAAGAGTATCTGTGTAAAAAGATGGGAGAGTGATATCTGCGGCCGAGTATTGATTTTCGAAATTTCTAACGAAGTCTTGAACTTTCTCCAATACGGTTTGATTTCCAGATGGCATCAGAGACTCCTAAAAATGTCATCGGATTTATGGATTTTTCTCTGAAGACTTCAAAATTTCAAACTCGTTTGCCTTTTTGAAGTTTGTTGATTAGTTCGAAGATATTACCGTGTTCTTGTGGCAATCATTTACATTTTTCATATTTGTCACGGACCGGAACTTCATCAAAATGAAAAATTCACCAACCAGGTGCGGCCTATCGACTCGGTTCAGGTTATAAACTTTAAAAATTTTGAAGTTTTATGAAATTTTCGAAAATTTTTATTTTGTGAGGGCTTGATATTTTGTGAGAGCCGAATATCTAGAAAAAATGTCACAAAACCTTTAATAGAAGGGCCCCTTAATTTTAAACTTTAAGACAATTTGCATAGAAATCGAGATAATTATGCTCAAACTTGACCGTCTGTGTGCCCTTCTATTAGATGCTTTACGGTATTTTGAGGTAAAATTCAACCCATTTTATTTAAGAATTTTTAAAACATCAGCTACACTGACCAGAAGAGTTCATTCGACTCCGGAATTTGACAAGAATTGTTTCTTCATACCAAATACAAGTAGATTTCTTTCAGAACGAATAGAAAAACTCACAACCGCGTGGGGCTCTCTTATTGGAATCTCTGGAATTTCGTTGTCCGCAAACCCAAATTCTTCCGAGGCCTCATCATTTCTATTGTTTTCGGATACTGTCAGGCTGCTGAATCCAACAGAAAAGAACGTTCCAATAGCTTCTTCAACATCCCATCGATTCCTTACTAGCAATTGATAAGCAGAATCCAGGTCTTCCGAGTCTGTGATTTCCTAAAAACGTGGAATTATTGATAATTTTTTGAAAAAATAGAAAACTCACCATGAATTGATTGAGCTTCCTCTGTTCCTCTGAATTAAGAAAGTCGAAATTCATGATTTTCCCCTGTGAATTGATTAGATAATTCTCTGTGAGTTTAGCAGGGTCGAGAAAAAAAGAGTAAAATTAGAGTGAGGAAGAAAAACAGGAAAAATGACTTTCACTCTCCCAGTACACAGTAAGTATTGCGAAATCTTGCTTTCTTATCATCAGTAAAAAACTATAGGCATATGAAATTTTTGTGTTCACACGTGCGGAAATAATGTGTCTGATGAATTTTCAAATGCATTTCGTAAAGATTTCAAAATTCAGATATCAAAAACCGAGTTGAGCGGATTCTGGGGGATAGACAGACAAAAATATGGAAAATATATACTTTATTAAAAGTTATAAATAGACGCCAAAATACACTGGACGTCCTTTTCTCGAAACTGCAAAAACAAAGGGATGGTCGGCCTTGAAAAAATAGGGTTCTCGGTTATCGGGACGATATAACATGCCGGCCACACGAGGCGAATGCTAAATGTTTGGAATTTTTTTTAACTAGGTTTATTATGCCAAACCTTGTACTTAAGGCTGGTTTTGATAGGAGCCTGAAGTCCAAGCTGCTTTGAATTGATAACCATTTGGAGGATGTCTAATTTTGGAATCATCATGTGCACTAATTCAACTGTTGCGTCATGAAGAAGTGTCTCGAGTCGGGATTTCGTTAGCTTCTGAAAGGAAATAATTTTGGGATGAAAGTGCAAAGAGATTAATTAGATTAAAAATACCTTCAAAGCCTTTTGCAATCCAAATGTCTCTCTTGGGAGCAATACGACAAAGTTGAGGTTTCGATCGTTGTATCTTATGGATATCATCTGGAAATTTGAAATTTAGAGAGAACTAGAAGTGAAACAACTCACTTGGAAGACATCATCAATACCCAACAGAACTTTTTTCTCGTTTTTAAGATATATAATCTGCTTCAGCTTCTTATCCGAAGAGTAAAACACTCCAGTTCGCTTCAAGGGCAATTTAGACTCCCATGCTTGGTTGAATAGGATCCGGGTCTGAAAAAATTTACTGTCCAAACTTGAAAATTTCAAATAAGAATTACCTCGTTTCCTAGATTTCGTCTGGCATCATTCACTCCGCTGTCTCCTCTCACCAAAATATCTCCCAGGTTTTTTTTGAGATAATTGTAAACATCTGGATCATGAAACCCATATGCCGAATAAGTATCTGCTACAGTAGAATTAAAACCTTCTTTTCCCAGAAGTGCCAGTGCAAACAACAGTGAGATTGGAGAGAACACATAGGATTCTTGAGTCACTACCAATTTAAGAATATCTATTCCAAAAGTTGTTTCTAAACCGGAAAGAGAGGCCATCTCTCAGAGTTCAGAACACAACTATACTGATTTTTTTCGCATTCTCGCAACATTTGTTTGCTTTAAACGTAAACAACAACTGTTGCAAAATCACACTTTATTATTTTGAATGGTGCCCTATGAAGATTGTCAAAAGAGGACGGATCACGAGAAGGAATGTGATCTCTATTACTCATGCTTCGGGAGCCAGAACCAGAGAAATAAGATCAAAAATTCATTACAAATTGGAAGAAAAAGAGTGGAGTTTGATGGGACAAAGGAGCAACAAAGTTGACAAGGGAGCCTCAGAACCTTGTAAACCCGATTTCTGTAAAAATTTTAGAATGTTTTAGGTGGAAAATACTCTATCTAGATACTCCTGAGAATTTGAGGCACCGTTCGCAAGTTTCAACCGAATTATACCAGATTCAGAACCAAAAATCGCCTTTTCAGTGCAAAACAGCAATGTTCTCCATTTCTAGAACAATTTCAAAACATGTAATTTGTTAAGCTATCCTAAAAATTAAACGACATTTCATATGTCTAACATTTTCTCGAAAAATTTTATTTTCAAGGAAATCTGGAAAGTCGTTTGAAAATTCGAAAATTAAAACAACATTTTTGAGGCAATGTATCAAATACCAAGTTTCATAAATTTCTGAGCATGACATAACAAATTTTACGTTCCGAATCGTCCTAAAAATTTAGAGAATCGTTTATGAAAGTTGCTGATTATTTACTGAGGAGGAGAACGCATGAAAACATTTAAGTAAACAAAATGCAAACGGAAAATCGCGAAATTCCGAATGTAGTTTTTTTTTCGCTTGCATAATCAAAAATCAAAAATAACCATTCTGTTTTCATATTAAAAAGTCAGTGGAATCAGTCGAAAAATCAATCATTTCTCCCGATTTCGCAACATCAAGGTATGGAAAAATCGATCCCGACTTGACAAAATTGACTTTTCTTGTTTCTACGACAAATAATATGGTTAATGAACAAATGTTTTTCCCCTAAAGATAGGTTCAAAGTCAGTGAAATAATCATCAAAAATTGAAAAAAAGGAAACTTCCCATGCCGGGAATCGAACCCGGGCCGCGTGGGTGAAAACCACGAATCCTAACCACTAGACCACATGGGACTACAAATGATGATCCTCGTCAATTTGTTTACATTCCACCGCACACACTTTCTCTGTTGCATTTTTTCTCTCAAGACGAGAACACACAGACTCACATGTATTTTGGAGTAGAGAGTAGCAAAATGAAGAGACGCAGACACACGCGAGTGGCCCCGTCCGTTTTGTGTGTGGGTGAGCGCGCGCGGTGGGTCTCTCTAGTATTGAACGGGGAGGGCGGCCTCCCGAGAAACGCGCCAAAGATATCGCGTTATGCGCAAACACATTTATTTATTTTTCTCCTTAATTAGCTCGTCGTTTTCACTTATTTCAACTGTTTTGCTTTGTTTTTCCGCAAATTTCTGATGGAAAACATGAATAATGTTCATGTTTATCACTTTCTCTCAAGATTTGTCTGTTTATTTACCACAGAATTGTTTATATAATTTTTTTTTTCAGATGCCCAACTCATCAAGCACTTCGCAGGCCAACATCACCGGCAGTGAAACTGCGTCGACGTCCTATGTGAATTGTGAGTTTTCTCTCGGCGCTTATCAGTTTTTTGTTGCGACAGTATGTGAAATCGGTTTGTAATACGAGCGTATCACGTGAAAATTTGCATGCGTGGTGAAAAGACTGTACAATACACTGACCTGGACCTGGAGAACCGAAATTTCGTCACCAAGAGCTAGTTGGTACCAAAAACTTTTTGAAAACCTTCGATTTCATCACAAATTCAACGAAATTTCCTATTTCAGACGTCGAAATGAGTGCCGAACAAGAATACTTCCTCTACGAGCTGGAGACAACAGATAGTGGAAGTATGGGGCTAGTGCTCCGCGCCATCTACGACACCGGAGATGTCCAGCAATTCGCTCGTGCCCTCCAACAAAGAATCAGTCACTACGACAAGAATATACAGAAAGTGTGCTCCTTCCACTATCAAAGCTTTGTCGATGCAATGCAAGAGCTTATGCAGCTGAAAGAGCAATGCCAAGATATCAAGGATGAGACAGTGCAGATCGATGCGGAGATACAATGTATCAGCCAACGGCTGTGCGCAAAGAAGCAGGAAATTGTCAGATATCGGTGAGTTTTTTCGAGGTATAGGCGGAAAATGGCTGCTCGCTGTTGTCTTTTGGGCAAAGGTTTATCAGACTTCCCTTAAGTTGTTACTAAGAGCTGCCAAAAACTAAAATACCTTAGCCTCGCTTTCCCCTAAAAGATACCAAAGTTTGTTCATAAATTTTCTTGGGTAAAGTTAGAGCGTCACCTTCTTTTCAGCGAACGTTGGCTACTTTCAGCAAGGCGTGTCAGCTTCTGAGCGGACCTTTAAACAGCTTTTATGAAAAACTTGAGCGAAGTCTGGTCAAACTTTACCCAAAAGACCACAATTGCAGCAGAATATGGCCAAGAAACGAAGACTAACTATCAATCTAAACAATTTTCAGCAAGTTGATGAAAAACGCAAAGACCGCAATGGACCAAATCGCAGTTTGCCTCCCAGTCCTTGAGAACTATGCCAAGCTTCAAGAACTGATGAGCAACAAGAAGTACTACCAAGCACTGAAAACTCTCGAGGAACTGGAACACACTCATCTGGCTCTCGTGGAAAAGTATAGATTCACACAGGTCCTCGCTAAAAGCATGACGCCTGTTCGTTTGGAAATCAAAGATAAGGCCTACTCGGAGTTCAAGGATTTCCTCGAAAACATCAAGAAAGTCGCTGGAAGGATTGGAAAGCATGCCAGCAAAGATGTGAGTTGATTTAAGAAAAGGTGTTAAAAGAAAGATCTGATTTTTCAGACTGCCGAGCAGCACTCATTTGGAGTCACCGACGCTGAGAGGGCAAGAAAAATTCAAGAGGAGGCGAGAAAGTGAGTTTTCTTTGAAAATCTGAGCAACCACCGGCGACCAATGTTGACGCAGCTGAGAGGCCACCGCTTTGTAGAACTATTTCTTGGGCCGTATCAGAGATAATTGCTGATAAGGCGTGGTTTAGCTTACTGTGAGCTAGTCATAAGACACACCTTCATGGCCTTTGTCTTCGAGGAATTGAAAAACGCCCAGAGCTTGAAAAACGCCCTCATAATGGCCCTGGTTGTATTTTGACACACTTTGGTTTGATCATGACTACTCAGTATGATGTTGGCTCAGTTTTGACGGAACCCCAGCAGCACTACTTGGCTATTAACAGTATCAGGCTCGCGTAGAGTGCTGTCGACAGGCGCTACAGACTTTGTCGTGTTGCTGCAATACCAGCGTTTCTTAAATATCAGTTTCGCAGTGATTTTCTGTAGTTTTTGATGTCAGACTTAGGCGAGCAGTACTCCAGCGCGTGTAAGCAGTACTCCAGTGCGTGTTTTCGTGCCTTATCAAGCACGCATCTATGCGTGCTTGATAATTAGCCGACTCAAGTGAAAAACAAAAATTAGAAAAAAAATCTCAAATTAGCAGACTCAAGTAATAACACAGTCACGTTCACGCTTATTCTCTACGTAGGCTCTGATAATGCAAGTGTTTTTCTTACAGAAATGCCAGCAATGTCGAGATAGAAGTTTCCGCCGATGGCAGCATTGTCAAGAAGAACGTGTCTCCCAAACGGTATCCTCAAGCCCAAGTTGAGGTGAGAAACGCTGAAAAAGGCATTCTGTAAGCTTACTGAGAAGCGTGAACTTGAGAAGAAGTTAAAATCCCATAAGGATGTGTTTCGGCTCAAACGCGCGCGTACGGCGACTGTCGTTTATTCATTTTTGAAAATTCAAAAATTTGGGGAAAAAACAGTTTCTGTACTTACAGCGGGTCTGCTTGACAGAGAAAGTCGATTGGCGGGCCGACCCTTATATTAACAATTATGATGGCTAGCGTCCGCTTGAGAACTTTAAAATTTCAGGACTCACCTTCGTTTTTTCAGGATGATGAGCAAGTTTCCGCACAGGATCTGATCGACTTCACACCTGTCCACCGATGTTGCCAAATCTTCAACGTACTTGGAGCCAAAGAAGAGTTTGAGCAGTACTACCGTCAGCAGAGAAGAGAGCAGTGTGACTTGGTGATCCGGCCGTCCCACAAAATGAATAACTTCAAGCACTACGTTGAGTATTTGGACGAAATTGTCGGATTCTTCGTTGTTGAAGACCAAATTCTCATGACACAGTCCAACTTATCGACGGCTGCCGAAAAAGACAAATTGTGGGACAACGCGTTGCTCAAGATTCGCCACCACCTGGACGCCAGATTTGTTAGTTTTTCTTGTCATTTGTGTTTGTTTCAACCATTCAAAAGTTTCAGGGAGGATGTCCAGATGTTGAGATGATGTTGAGAATGAAGAAGGTGATTCTTCTCTTCATTCTCACTATGAAATCATATGGATACGCCGTTGCACCACTCTACGAATTACTCCAAAACTTCAGGTACGGGGAAAGAAAGAGTACTATATCGATTGATTGCTTGTTTTCAGAGATCAATACAACGAGATTCTAGTCAAGGAGTACTGTGCTCAATTTGAGAGAGACTTAGACAAGGACAACTACACACCAATTACCGTGAATTCAGAGGAGGAGTTTCGTGCAGTGATCCGACAGTTCCCGTTTTACAAAAGGAGTATGGAGCAGGTGAGATTTTCTGTTTGCCGAATTTGGGGTCAAGAACATCAGTTCGAAAATATTACAAAAATATGGTATAATTCTTTTCCGGTGGTGATGAACCTTGCGACCAAAATTTTCTTTAAAGGCGCATCGTACATCCAGCAGCAATATTGTCGTTGTGCCGTTGGATATCATGCGCTCTTGGAGACTAAATTTTTTGAGAACGACTGTTTTTAACGTACTTTTCTCGATTTTCGAAAACTTTTTCAGCTTTTTAAATTATTTTCTTTAATCTCACCCACTTTTTTTTGCTATTATGACATCACAAAACCGAGGAAAATTTGACAAATTGAGAAAAATAGGCCATAAAAATGTATTTTCAAAAAATCCAGAAACCGTGAAGACGAATAGAGTTCACCGTTTACCGGCACAAAAAAAATTTTGCTCCTTCACCGACAATGCGCTTTTGAATAAATTTTTGAATGCAAGCTTTATAGCAGTCGGACGAGAATGGCATGGGTGCGGTTTGCGCATCTACCGTAACCCAAAATCTTAGACACCCATGCTGAGCGCTTTCCGTGGCTCATTCGACTTGTCTCGGTTAGCCACGCCGTTCGGCATGCCATTCCGAACTCCCTCCACCAACCCAGAATACCGAAAAATCATTTATGTTTGCAGGAACCCTTTCCACGGAAATTCCCATTTTCTCGATTCGTCATTTCGGCTTACACTCAAGCCAAGCAGTATTTAATTGGATGTTTGAAGTTCATGGACAACCTCCAACTCAACACATCTGCAGTCGATGATACAGTTAGGCGGTAAGTATTTTGAATATGAACTTGTGCTGCTGCGTCTTTACAACAAGTAAGTCTTATCTTCAATGAGTAAGTCTCTATCCAAGACCGTCTGATGAAAAAAGATCAGGAGAGTAGGAACTTCCTTTGCTAAAAAAGTAAAGACCGTGAATGTGAATTCTCGGGACTTCTCAACAACTTTCTGCAGTACCTCTGTTTCCTGGCACTCAACATTCATGGAACATTGCCAGCCATGACGCAGAGAGCTTGCAGAAGTGCAACGGATAGGTGGCGAAAGCGCGGTAGAGAAGCTAACAAAGTTCTGCTAGTCGTTTCATAAAAATTATCTTCCTGCACCAAACTTTAGAAGCTTCACTGCACAACATTTTGAAATTGAAAGATACTGTAGAGTTGCAGTATTTCTGTGAGCTTTCTGACATATTTCCATGAATGTAGGGCAAGAAAGACGCAGAGGTTCTGCAGAACTTGTCGAGAAATTTTGAATTATGATGTCCTAGTACAACACACGATTTTCTATACTGAAAAGCAACGTTTTCTCGATCAACGTATCTTTAGCCCATACAAACTATTTTTCATTTCAGGTGTGCAAACGTGCTTCTGGGTCGCTGGGCTGGTATTCTCAAGTCGTTTGTTTACAAACGCCTGTCGATGATCCAACTCGTCCAAATCACCATCAATCTCGGATACCTCGAAAAGTCCTGCGAGTCGTTAGGTGCCTTCATCACTAGCAAGACTTCAGGAGAAGAAGCCATCGGAACCACCTCCCACCAAGTCGTTCTCTCTGAAAAAGTGTTCCGTGATGTTCGTAGTGAAGTGGAGCAGCAGATTGACGAGTGCATGAGAAGCAAAGTTGACGAAATCATCGAACTTTCAAACTACGATTGGGAACTGCCGGCAGCCGCTGGACAGGCTTCAGATTTCATCACTGATTTGATCAAGTTTCTACTGACCACTTTCCAGTCTTTCACAAACTTGCCGTCAGGACTGGCCAAGCATGTGTGCACACAGACATGCAAGCACATTTCTCAGTCGCTGTCAGATTTGCTATTGTCGCCAGAAACAAAAGCCATCTCAACAGGAGCACTGGATCAGTTCTCGTTGGATGTGATGCAGTGTGAGATGTTCACAACAAGGTGTCCAGTGGTTGGTGTCGATCCACAAACTTTGTCAATGACGTTCGCAGACTTGAGGTGAGTTGGAGATCATGAATACGAGTTAATCTTGCTTTGGTTTCAGACAACTACTGGATTTGGTTATGTCATCTGACTGGACAACTTTCAATGCCGAATACGGAAAGGATCATGCCAAATATCTTCGTGTCAAGGCATCCACTGCTATTGTGGTGTTAGAAAAGTACGTTTTTTATTGAAGAAATGACGGTTGCAAGAATTTTGAATAAATTTGGGCTCTTACCCAGAAGAACGGTCTCGAAGCGGGACCGCCGGTCCTACCAAATTTTGAATTTTTTTACAACGGACTCAACGGTACGATAGCGGTCCCAATAAGACTTGCTCGAAAAACCCTATTGTCGAATTAAAAAAAAGTGAGACCTGGAAAATTTCGCGGACGGCTTCTCGGTCTATTTTTGAGGCCTTGCCCCAAAAACACTACGGTAGTAAACAAAACTTATTTCTGTGAATTTAGAAGGATTTTCTGAACAAAGTTTAGATTTATTGGTAGGAAAATTATCGCTAGCATATCAAGAATATGTTTTTCATTGAAAAACCGAACAATTCGAAAAGTAGCTCAAACGAGGCAAAAGTCTGAAACATTACGTTTCTGCCGCACTTTTTCGTAGATCAAAAACAGCTACGCCTTCCAATTTTTCAGGTCCCACTTTTTTTAATTCGACAATAACTCCAAACTTTTAAATTCGGTGCCATTTTTGGATGTTCTTATAAACGAAATACTCTAGAACAACTCCAATTAAAAACGAAATGCTACAATTCCGGTTTAAAACTTTTCAATTATCAGCAAAATTGTCACTTTTGTCGCTGAAGTGTTTTTCTCGGTTGACACAAATAACAATGTTTTTATTTTCCAAACAAAGTATTTCGAGCAAGCCTCGGTGGAACCATTGTTTAAATTCGTAGGAACCGGTAGACTGATTATGGGACCGGTGCTCCCAAAAAACTGAATTTTTTATATGTCTGTTAGTGTGATGACACAAATAGACTAATTTGAAACAAAATTATGTACAAATATCACTGTAACTTTTTCAGAATGATTGAATACGAGCGCAAGAGCACTGGTTTCTTTGGAATCGCCAGAGGAGACCGCAAACGCCTTCTCGACACTATTGTTCGTCAGCTAAAGCTGCTTGAAATTCAATAACTGTGCTAATTATAATTTTTTTTGAAAAACTTACTAATTTATTGTTACGAAACTAACATTTTCTATCTGTGATTTGCTTTCTAATTCTAGTTAAATGTTTAATTTTTGCCAAAATCTGATTGTTTATTGTGACCGAAACTTAATGCATAATTTGATTTATGTTGTTTATTTGGATTGTAAATGAGTAAATATATTTTTGTAAAATTGACCATGGCACAATTAAAAGTAATGTGAACCGCTGTCAAACGCTTTCAAACGGCGAAAATAGTTGAAATAGTTTGGTGGGATTTTTTATAAGGGAATTATTCGAAAGTTGAACAGGTCGAGGCTTTCGAAAGTGTTGATTTTTCAAATAAATTTTAAAAATGTTAAAATTCTCAAATTTAGTATTTGAAATTTTTCGAATCTGATAAGCAAAATCCGACTAAATTTCATGTTTTGTTTGGCGAATAAGGACAATAATAACATCCACTACAAGATGAATTTAGAAGACACAAACTCCTGTTGAAAAATTTCCTGTTGAAAAACCTGGAAAACGTTAAAAATGAGTTTGTGCATATAACCAGAATCGACGGAGTTTGGCCCGTTCCTGTTGAAAAATGATCAATTCTAAAACGACCGGTTGAAAGTTCGAAAAAATGACTTAAACTTACCTGTAAATTCACGAAAAATGATTTTTTCAAGATTTTCCAAATGGTCATTTTGCCCGTCAAATACCTTGTAACCTGTATTAAAAGGGTTTTCACATTGTCATGTTCGAGCTTAATTATCTTGATTTCTATGAGAGATTTGAACATTGAGTCAATTGGTCAAACGTTTGCGATATTATGATAAACATTGTATTAGTTGACAACTTTTTTGCATCTTTGACAGAAACCGAGATAAATTGGCCCAAAGTTAAAAGTAAGGGGTCTTCTGTTACAAGTTCTACGAAACCTGGAAATATTCAGAAAATGATATCTCTGTCGATTTCTTGTACGCAAAACATTATAAATATTTCAAAAAACCAGGTACACATGTAATTCTCTGTTTTTTTCCTCACTTTTTTGATTTGTATTTTTTTCATTCCATAGTATTCCTCATTTCTCCCAAAAACAAAATTATATGATTTTTGAAACATGACGCTAGGTGCACTGAAACACATGATTGTGAGTACACTTCTTTTCCAAGTATTAAGTTTTTTCTCATTCTTAAATGTCACTACACGCTTAATTCATTTCAGCTCTACTCCTCTTCCCTCCTTATTCAATACAACATTCTTGTGGCATAAAGCGAAAAAAGTGATGATAAGAATCATGCGAAAGTTGATAACAGAAATATGCACAATAAAATTCAAGATTAGGTTCTTCTTCTTATTTTTATATGTTTCACTTCACGTTTATTTTTACTATTAGTAGTTAAGGCTGAATGTTCAGTTTCAATTTTTTTCCTCTCTGCTTTTACTTTCATTTTGAATCAGTGAATTTCAGATTGCCACGATGAAGACAGCTCGCCGTGTGTTCAATCCAGTCTTGGCTAAAATTATAGAAAGTGAAACTGCACTTCCATCAGGAATCACATCCACTGGAGCACTCTCAGGATTTGCTCAACAAGCCGCCAACACTCTCCGTGACAATCGTAACAGAGAGAAACAGGAAATTGCGGATTTAAATAACCGATTGGCTAGATATATTGAAAAGGTAACACATTGTTCTTTTTTTAAGTACCATAGGTTTTACAGGTCCGTTTCCTTGAAGCTCAAAACCGAGTTCTTGATGCAGACGTTGGACTCTTCCGTCAAGCAGCGTATATCCATTCTGAACGTATCGCAGTTTACTATGAGGCTGAAAAAACTGTGAGTGATTAAACAGATTAGGATTTAGTATCTCAATATTTTGAAGTCACTGGTTACACTGTCTCGTGAGCATGATCAGAAGACGTCCACACACAAACAAGACATCAGAAGACTGGAACCTGAGATTGCTACAGCTAGAAAGAAGTAAGGAATTTTAACTTGTCTACATACTTTTAAAATCTAATTGTTCTAGTTGGGAATCTTCCGTTGAGCATCGCAGGAGTCTCAGACTCGAGAAAAGAACTCAATTGAAACGCCTCTCCGACATTGAGGCAGAGAATGCATTTGTCAAGAGACTTATTAACGAATGTGAGGAGGAAAAAACTCACTTGCAAGCTGAAATCTCTCGCATTCGAGCAGAAATCAAGAAGATTCTCGCGAAGCGTGACAAAGAACGCAGTGGAGTTTCAAGGAATCAACAGTCTGCTCAAGACCTCCTCAAGAAGCTGAGCGCATCAATCAGTTCACATGAAATCGCCATTCGTGAAGAAATCAGCAATGCCAGAAGAAATTCAACGGACAAAAATCGTGAATATTTCCACAGAGAGCTTCATTTGGCAATGAAGGAGATTCGTGACCAATTTGAATCCAACGCGAAGTCATCTCGTAAGACATGGGAGGAGTGGTACAAGAAGAAGATTACTCATATCAAGGAAGCCGGAAAGAAATTCGAAACCACTCAAATTCAAGAAAGAGTAAGTCATAAGAATCACTATTTTCTCTACTGCATAATGATTTTTAGGAAGAAGTGATCCGAATTCGCGTGATTGTCAATGAATTACGTACTAAGATCACTGATGCAGATACAATGGTAGGCAACAAAAGAGTAATTTGAATTCAATAGAAATTTGTAGAGTTCACAACTTGCCAAGAGAATCGAAGAAATGAAACATCGTGCGGACGAAGAGTTGAGAATGTTTGAATACGCTCTGAATGAAAAGGTGTTCAGTGTGAATAAAATGAAGGAGGAATGCATGCGAATGCAAGTTATGATTGAGAAGCTCTTAGAATATCAAACTGTAGGTTTTCTATCCCTTTTCCAAGTTTACATAATTTCAACTTTTCAGAACCTTCGCAATGAAATCACTCACTACCGAAAATTGATTGATAATGCAGAGAATTTGAGAACAACTTATCAAAGTAACTTCGTGATTGATACTCCATCTCCAGTAATGCGCAACACTACATCATATCACTCTAATGGATCTGCTTTCACAATGAATGTCCAAGAATCTCGTTAGTATTTTTTTTAAATATTAATTTGCTGATATGTATGGATTAAATTGTCTTTTATTCATTTCGTTTTCAGATTACTCTGAACCCTACTTTTCTAGCATGAGTCATGCAAGCTATGACATTTCTACCACGAACCGTGACAGCTATGACATTTCAAATTTGAGCAGTATCAATAGCCAGCAATTCCGCAGCTATTCCAGAGGAGACGTTAAACTGATTGTAATATAATAATTATACTTTACAATTTAAAAAAATTAATTTTAGGAGCACAAAGATGAATCAATCGTCATTGAGAACTCGAACAACTACAAATCCAAAGATTTGTCGAACTGGAAACTCCAACACTATGTTGACGGAGCCCTCCGTGGTACCTTCATCTTCCCAGTTGCCACTCATATCCATCCATTAGAGAAGATTTCGGTGATATACAGTTTCCTGTTTAAAACGTGACGCTAAAATTTTAGATCCACTCCTTGGCATCTTCTAACCTTCTTGATGATTTGGTTGCAACAGGAATCTACAGTTTCGATTTCTCAAAGAAAACAAAATCCGTTCTTCTTGACGATGCTGATGAGGTAATATTGTGGTCTTAGTTTATATATAATTCTTCCCGCCAGTCCATCCTCTCCGAAAATTTGTAATCGTAATTTTATCAATGATTACAGGAAGTTGGATGGTATGCGCACGTATCGTACAGTCACTGATGAAAGACCGATTATGCGACAAAACTTTTTCACTATATTATTTAATGCGTTTCCTGTGCGCTTCCAACGTACTATGTTTGAGCACAATCAACAGGAAAATACGTCACTTTTCTATTGTATTTGATATTAATGTTATGTGTAACCATGATGGAATTTCTTATCTTTCAAAGTTTGTAACCGTAGTGTTGCAGAAACTATTTGATAAAACGTTTTTCTCAATAAGTGCACTGAACTTTACAAACAGTATACATTGGAAATGAAGTGACGACGGGGAGCAAAAAGTATTTTTGAATTTTAGATGTTTTCTTTACACCTTTGAAGCTTCTGGATTCTTCAACTGATAAGAAAACTCACTGCACCTCTACATAAAAACTGGAATTCAAGGACAATGGATGAAACCATGAACGCAACACAGAAGAACATTATGATGCATGTGAGGTCAGCCAAAAACCACAAATCCCTTACACGAAAACCACCCTTGAAAACCCAAACCCATACGTTTTGGAATGGTTTTCAGAGGTAATAGTGCAAAAGCTGAGAAACTTTTGGTCAATTTTAGAAATAAAGTGAGCAAACACCAAAAATTTGATGACATTCTAAAGTGAGTTATGCTGGACCGATTGGTGTCACACTTTGCAGTTTTCCAGAGTGTCCAACATTACTCTTGATAAACCTCTTTTTTCTTTTCTGAAAATCCTTTCTTTTTAGCTTCAATTTGCATTCATTTTTTCTTCTCGCTCTCGCTTACAGGATTCTTCAGGAATTCATCGTTATTTCGTTTTGTTCTTTCAGTTCTCTCCATCTCATTATCTCTGTTTCACTACCTCATATAGAGCTGAATTCAACCTCAGTTGACCGAATTTTCTAAATATTTCAATGAACGTTTTGACATTTGTTGGATATTTCGGGCTTCAACTGTATTAACAATTTTATATGATCCATGTGAAACAATATTCAATTTAAAACATTATTCTATTCAAAAAACTATTCAAAAAATTATCTCCCCTCCGAAGATTATCCGATTTATTCAATGAGCGGTTTCAATTCTTCAACCGAAGCAATTTTCGCGGCGAGTCGTGCAGTTGGAAGTGCCAAATTTGTCATTACACTGGTCGATGATCGTTTTCTGGCCTCTGTAGGACTGTTTCCCATAATCGACACCTACAAAAATATACTTCCGAGCGGAAGGACACATGATTTTCTGTACCTTTCTAGAAACTAATCCGGGATCATCATCACTAGTCACCGAAATCTTTGGAGTCCTGAAAAACAAGAAGGCAAGTTATTTTTATTTGATAATGAAAAACCATTACCTTATTTCTTTCACAAACTGTGTGATTCTAAGTGAGTGTAATAGTGAGCTGGTGGATATCTGTGAAGCGGAAATTTTTCCTAAGAAGTTACGTGATTAACCAACTTGTAAAAATCTGCACGGTCCACTGACAGTCAGGGTATAATCTGGCACAAAAAAGAATCCAGTAGGAGGTTCTTTTCCATCTTTGATGCATAGCTCCATTTTGTTTAGAATAGCCTCTCCAAAACAAGTCCAAGGTCCACACTCAAAGAGGAGATCCTTCTGAATCCAGGATTTGTTGAATTGGAACTTCTCTCCAGACTAACCTCGTTAAACTTAATAGACGCTTTGCCTTCAAGTATCAGCACAAAACGCTTGCTCATCTCTCCCGCTTCGAATAAATTCAAGGTTCCTGGGGATGTGCTGTTTTTGGGAGGTACAATGAGAACCTTAAAAAGATAATTGTGTTGATATCTTTGATATATCCTCACCTCTCTAATATTTCTCTGTATCAAATTTTCAAAAGCCTTCGGATTCATTTCACCGAACAGCGGAGTTTTTTCTAGTAGCCACTTCTCTGTCATCTCCAGCATATGCAGTGACAACCTCTCACTCTTTTTTTCACTACAGAAAAGTTCGGCAACACTTTTCTTGGAAGTGTTTGTTCTTCGTTTTTTCTGAGCATCGTCTGTAATGTAGCAGTCGGTTTCGTCGGTGATTTCAGCTTGTAGTAGTTCTTCGGTGATGTCTTCCAGAGTGATTAGCCCAACAAGAGTGATTGCGTGTTCTTCTGGGGCTTCAGGCAACATGGTGGCTTCCACAAGTTTCATGGATTTCTAAAAGTTTGGCAGTTATAATTTTCTTTACGTTCTGTGTAATGAAATTTATAGCACCGGCCGATAAGATATACAACAACGCGTTTTTTTCAGTTGATTTGACTATATTCAGGAGTGTGGAGCTCGACTTACATGTTTTCAATCACTTTGACATTTTAGGAGGGTTGAAAACAGATCTACATCAAAACAGAGTTTTATGAAACCCTAGTTCTTTAGATATTTGTCCGTTTCTGAAAGACTAACGTTTTCAGTACAAAAACGGGTCCAACAGAGGTCTTTCAGAAATCGTGCAAACAGTTGAAAAGAAGGAGTTCTATAAAATTGTTTAAAATCAAAATTTTACTTTTTTAGACCCAAAGTTTTCAAAGTGATCGGAAAGTCGCCGAGCTCCAGACTGCTCGAAATGGTCAAAATGGCCCAAAATTCAACTGAAAAACACGTTTTGATTCATGACCGGTACTGTATACTGCCCCATACCATAATGAAATTGTCCATCTTGTCATCCACAAACTTCCCATGATGATGCTTCTTCACATCGTGCGCTTTCGCAACCATTGCCAAATGATAGTCACCCATCTTGAACTCATCCATCAACGCTGTCACTGGCATATGCTCATCGACAATTCTCAATCTTCTCTTATTGAATCCTGCCACAGCTTTCACCGTGATGTTGTTATCTTTCCCAATCAACGCCAAATCACTTACATACAACAAATTTTTGACCTGTAGCGGAAATAGTCGGTTGGATGAATTTTGTGGTTTGTTATTATCTTTTTCTTTACCTTATTTCTGTTGTTCCCTTCATAAACCGGTATTCTTGTATAGCCCGAATCAGAGATTTTGGTCATTGTCTCAGCGTTCAGCACTTGATCTTCGGATAACATAAAAACATCCTGAAAAATTTAAATTGATGAAGTCTTGACTTATCACATACATCAATATCAGTCATCACATCTTTCACCGACTTCTTAATTAACTCCATCGCACCAATAGCAATTTTTAGAGTGGACAAATCCTGAAAAACACAATTGAATGAGGAGGGAATAAACTTGATGACCTTACGATATCACAAGCCTCATTCTCCATATTCATTTTCAGCATTTCAATCATTCTAGAACGATTGACCACATCAATATCGACACCAGCATATTTATCCAAAATCTGAACATCCAACGTTTTAAAAATTAGATTTTTGACGAAATTTTTCTAACCTTTCCAAGGGGCCACGTAAGTGGGAACAGAATTATCATAAAGAACTTGGTGATGAATATAGTGTTTGCACCAACTGCTAGGCCATACCTGAATTTATTCCTTTGAAGTTAAATTGATTGAAAAAATACAAACTTGACACAAATACTTTGCGGAAGAATTTCTCCAAAAATAACGATTCCAACGGTCGAAGCAACAAACGCCACTAAACCTTCTGCCATATCGTCAAACAAAAGGGCGATTCCGGTATTCACAATCTAGAACTCAGAACTTTGCATAGAACTTACTATTCTTTTAATCTCATCTAACGGTGATGAACCCAGCAGTTTACAAAGTAATTCAAAAGCGCTCCAAAGGTAATGAATCAAAAAACATCTACGGTTTTTACAAATAAATTCATGCGCCGTTGAAACAGTATTTCAGAAATAATTCACCTTGATTCATTTTGTTGTTTTACTTTATATGAAAATTCAGCTGATTACTCACAAGAATTGGTTAGAATTAAACAAAAACCATCAAAAATCTCAGGATACTGGCAAAAATCAAATAATTCCGAGATACTGTATCAAAGGCGCTTGAATATATTATATCCATAGTTGCTTTCCCTTCAGGACCGAAGATGCGGCTTTAAATGAACTTCAAACCGTGAAGTTTATTGGCGCTGGACAAGAATAATAAGTTCATTTTCCATACCACGTTCATAATAATAACTGTGCAGAGAAGTCGGTTTCCATGGATTCTCAATGGATAGATGGCAGATGCATATTTTTTTTCACTTGGTGTCCCTTAAAATTTTTATATTCTCGCATATCCCCCAAATTTCAAAAAAATCTATACCCGATTTCATAAGGATACTAAGCTCTTGTGGTGTGAGTGCCATTAATCCCAGTGTTAATCCCGAGCAAAGAGCGGAAATTGAAAACAGGAGACAGAGAATTGCGCTCTGGAATTTTCGATGTCAAGTATATTCAAATGTCTCTCTTTTCAAAATCAGAGTCTTCAAAACACTGAAAGTCAGGAAGTTTGAAATTAACCTGCATCCAAATCGGCATATACGTCTCATGAGTTTTTTCCACAGCCTGAATCCAGGTTCTGTCGTCATCAATTTGGATTAATCCGTGACTTTCGGATTTTAAACAAATCCTCCATGGAGTCGGCCATCTGAATTTATCCACTTTTCTTAATGAAATGTTTTGCCCAGACTATGAAGATATACTCACGCTACAAAAGAATACTTGAATACAATTTTCATGTCCTTATGAATATAAAATGTGCTTTCAGAGATATTAAATTCGGATGTGACACATACGGAGTCTGTGAAAGCTACCATGTCAACCTAAATTAATCTTTCTAATTGACATGTCTTTTGAAACATTTTTCTTACATCTTCCAATCCATGACCAAAGATTACAATGTCTACTATAGAGTCAGCTTCAACCATTATCTCTCCTGCATCGCTAAAAATATTTTATTATTTTATCTCTCCTTCATTCAGCCACAACCTATATCCTAGAAAGCCTGGAGCTCCGACATCGCTCTCCACTCTCACTCCCGACACAGTTGGTTTGACATCCTGAAAAATTCCATCAGAAAATATTCTATTCTCATCTTCATTATCTAAATTGCTCACCAGTTTTCCATCAATGCGCACATTTTGTATGCATAACAAGAAGAATAGAAAAAGAATTTTAATGATCATCAAATGAAGGAAAAGAGAAAACGATAATGAGTAGAGCGAATGGTGCAAATCAAAAACTAGGTATGGGCCGAGTGGGGGAGAAAATGCGATTGGTGATAAGAACTATAATTTAGGTAAAACGCGTCTGTTTGACATATTACTGTTTACCTTCCTGTTACGTTGTTATGTTTGAATTTTTTGACGTTTTCGAATTTAGACTGTTTTGTGATTTTCAAAAAGTATATTTTGTTTATGAATTTTTATCAACGAGTTCTGACAAAGTTCCACATTTAATCGATTGAGAAACTATCATCAAACTGTTTATATGATGTTGGTGCATAGATTTTGGCAATTTTTCAACGATCAAGTTCCAATATGATATCACCTTGACGAAACTGTTTATTTTCATGATTGTTCTTTTTTTTTCAAAATACACTCTTCAGTGGCTTGCTATTTTTCATTCCCCCTCAGTGCTTTCAACTCGCGAAGTGTGGAGAGTGGCCAGAATCTGGTTGACGTTGTATGTGTGGGATAATCCTTCCAAATCCTCTGAAATTTCCGGATTTGGCTCTTTTTTTTGAGTTTTCAGTCCCCTCCACTGGCACTTTATCTCAGCTTTCAAAACAAATGATGACATCAAAACGAAGTTGACTGCATGTTTTCAGGAATGTTTGGAACGGAATCCTGAACTCCGAAAATTCCAAAAATTTCTTTCTTTTTGGACTACAGTTGCACATAGCAAAAATATAAGAAAAAATTGAATATAGGAAAACTCCGAAAACTCCGAAAATATCAAAATCGAAAGATTCCAAAGTTTCATGGTTTCGAAATTCCAAACTTCTTTTACTGGGAATATTCTGAAGATCTGGAATTCCGAATTTTTAACACTCAAATTTTCATTCCCAAATTACCACTTCGAACATCCCTGCCTACTCTGATCAGCTGAAACTTCAATTCTGGGAGATGAGAATCTGAAAAGTATATCATCACCATAGCGCTCAGAAATTTGATTTTCCCATGAAATGTTCAGTTTGGTTTTACAAACACTTTCCGCTTTGAAACTTTAAAAGTTTTGAAACCAACTAGCGGAGTTCCCCACCCTTTACGTCCTCTTTTGCGTTTCGAATCATCTGTCTTTTTCTTTTTTCGAAATTCACAATGAAAGTTCTACCCATGTCTGAAATTCAGAGCTTCTAAAATTTACTGTTCAAATCAGTTTCAATGTGTGGGTCCATCAAAGATTTCTTTGCAAGCCTCTTATGCGTTACCTAAAACCTAAATTCTCAAAAATCCGAGTCTTAATGACACTCCAACACTTTTCTCATTTTTCGTCCCCTCCTTTTTTTCTCATTTTTTCATTTTTCCTCTGCGAATGCCAGAGTTTAATCTGACGCCAAGACGTCACATGCGTCCCTTCTTCTCTCAACTCCTTTTTTTTCGAAACGCTCACTCTCTTCGTTTCTCATTTGCTTCAACGCCTCCTCATTTGTTTTCTATCCGTCCGCGTTTGGGCTCCGGCTCCGGCACACACACCCGTCCATATCTTCTTTTTTCCTCTATTTCCTATTTTCTGCTTATCCGACGTATTCATCTCTTTTTCCATTTTTCTTCATTCTCTTCTTTAACGGCGTCTTTTCCGTTTTCCTCGTCTTCTAAGGTCTCTTTGACTTTGTCGTCTTCATTCAGTGAGGGTCGGACGGCGTATGAGTTTTTTCTTCTCACAGCGCCTTCTCTGGCCGTTTTCATTTGCGTTCTTATGCCAAAGAGAAAAGAAGAGAAGAAAAAGAGAACCAAGAGAGTAGATAGAGGGCCGGCTAGTGCGATGAGAAAGTAGACGTTTGCAGGCGTTTTGGCAGAGGAGAGTGTGGTCAAAAGAGAGAGACCAGACAGGCTAGAGTAGTAGAACAGCGAGTGTTACGCGGCCAACACGGCTGCCGCACACGTCTATTCTGGACTGCTTGGCGTATATGAGTGTGTACTCTCATTGATTTGTGCCTGGCTCACTATACACTCTCGCCGCTGCTCACTAGCTCCAGCGCACTAGGAGAGACGGCGACAGAAAAGACCTATGAAGTGAGGACGCTCTTTCTTCTAGAAGAGGTGCATTCAAATTCATTTTGTTTCAGCTTGGCAGCGAAAAAGGAGGAATCGATTGACGCCGACGCCCACGTTCTCTCCACTGACACAACTGTAGGCGAAGTCGATTCTTCTGAGCTTCCGTAAGCATTATTTTTTTCCGCGATATTGTTTAATTTTTTATCTGTTCCAGGGCAGTACTCCGTCGCCAAAGGAAGGCAGGTGCAGTAACCAAAGGAAGGAAGAAGCGAAAGAAGCGAAGGAAGACCGCCGTCAAGGGCGGCGTCAAAAAAAGAAGGAAAACTAGGAAGAAGAAAACAATGAGCGGCGTTTCGAAGAAGCTGAAAAGGATGACGGAGCCGGAACTCGGAATAAGAAGCAGGTTAGTTCTGTAGATATGAAGTGAGAGTGAGGGAAGAGGAGAGAGATAGAGAAAGAACGAGTCTCCCGATGAGTGTAATTTTGACCCTTTGTTGTAGTCTTTTTTCCCATCGTGTGCCGTCTGTTTGATCTGTTCTGTACACTGTACAAAAATCACATCGTTTTTTACGCCGTCTGCCAGCAACCCTTTCATTCATCGGGGGCTGCCTCTAATGCATCGTTCCTCTATTTTTCTTTTTTTTCCCTTCTCACCGAATTTTTTTTCCAAATTTTCACCTGACTTGTGTTTTTCACTTTCTGATTAGATCTACTTGTGAAGCACGGCAAAAATACTTGATTTCTTCCGTAGCAGCAACCACTTTTTTCGAAACTAAATAAGTTTAAACCGTCCCCAACGCAATGGTTCCATTGAAGTGGCAACGATGCAAAAGGCCTTACGGGGAAGAACTGTCCCAAAACGGGACCGCCGGTTCCAACATCGAACCACCGGTCCCGAGAATTGCGATAACGATCCCATTGTTTGGAAAACGGTCCCATTGTTCCGAAAAAAATACTAACGTCCCGACACAGGTTCCAACGGTACAACAACGGTCCCAACCCGGCTTGCTTTGGAAAACCTAATCAAAAGTATGGTTTTTCGGTGCCATTTTTTGATGTTCTTACAGAAATGAAGGTGTTTCAGCCTAAGCTTTAATCTCTAAACTTTAAAGAAAAAAAAACCAGTGGAAAAAGTTAAAATGTTTGGTATTTGGGAATTTCAATATTTTTAGACAGGACATTATGTTTTTTGTCTTGCAGGCTTAGGCTAAATCGCCCTTTTCCGGAGCTAATGTTAACGCTCCGTTTTAGCCTAAGCCTATAATTTTAATCAAAATAACAGAATAATCTGAAAAAATTCCAGTAAAAAAAGTGTTGAAATTCTCAATTCCCAGCAAAATTTTCATTTTGTCGCGGAAATGTGTTTCTTAGTTGAAACGAATAATTAAATTTCTAATTTTCCAAACAGGGTCTCCAGACCAAGCCTGATTGGGACCGTTGTCGTACCCTTGGGACCGTTCTCGCAACGATGGGACAGTAGTCGGATCAATGGGACTGTTGTCGAACCAATGGGATCGTTGTCAAAGTTCGTCGGGGCCGGCGGTCCGATGATGGGACCGACGGTCTCGCTTTGGGACCGTTCTTCCCGGAAAGAGCCAAAATATCTTGTTTGCTAGGATCTGCCCCTTTCATTATAGAACAATTCTGCACGTTTTGGAGTTTTTTTAAATTCAGAATTAGATTAGAATCTGAATTTTGAATTTTTCTATTCTAATTTTTCCTTATATAAATAGATTTTAAGTTTCACCAACTTACAAGGGAACCTCAGCACTTTGTAAACCTAGATTTTGATGGAAATTGAAAAATAGGTTGAGCATCGCCTATCTAAACGCCTCTAAAAATTTTTTAATCAGCTTGCCTGTTTCAGTACAACAAAAAACGCCTTTTCAGTGCAAAGGCAGCGTTTTCAAAGACGATTTTCTCGAGTTCAGACGTTTCAAATCATGAAGTGTGATGCGATGTACTTAGAATTCAATGAAATGTCGTATTTCAAACGTTTTCTCAACAAAAAAAAACCTTTCAATTTTTGAATAAATCTGGAAAATCGTGAAAAATTTAAAAAAAAACGTTTTTCTCGAGAAAATGTTTGAAATATGAAATTTCATAGGGATCTAAGTATAGCACAACAAGTTTCATGTTCTGAAACGTCCTCGAATTTGAGAAAATTGCCTTCGAAATAATTTTTTTGGACTGAAAACGCGATTTTTGGTACTGAAATTGATATGACTTGGCTAAAACTGGCGGGCATATTCTAAAACTTTCAGAAACGTCTAGATAGCCGATTTTCCACTTTTCCTGTAAATCTGACTATAATCTGGGTTTATTTCCTTATTTCAAAATTTTCACATTTTGACAACTACGATAAAAATGAAACCAACACGTAGTCGGTCGAAAAAATCTGTCTGCAACTGATTATTCAGGAAAATCAGTAATTAGTACAAAAAATCAGTCGGTGGCACTTTGCATTATATATGTTTTATGTTTGATCCCATTTGTCATTCTATTTTTTTATGTAAATTTTCAAAGCTCAGCTACTCTTGAATCACTCTTCCCCTTTCACCTTGACAATTTTCTCATATTTCCTAATGGATCCCTTTCTCTTCACAAATAAGGATTACAGTATCCTTGAGCTATTCGAAAGACGGACATGCATAGCCAGACTAACAGTTAGAGAATTAGGGATTACACCTGCGTGTAAGATTAATATTTTCGATAGAGGTTGTTCTAAAATAGACATACTGGCAGATGGTTCACCTTATAGATGGATCAGATAAGCCTTCTTAGGAAAATCGCACCTGCCAGGTCGTTTGCAATTGCCAGTGTCGAAAATGGGCTTCCCACTATTCTCTGTCTCCGTCAGTTTTGCATCCTCCTTCTTTCTTTATTTAGAATTAAAAATAGTCCAGTAATACATGAAACTTGAATTCAAGTGAAATATCATATTTTTCTATATCATGAAAATTCTC